TTTTTTTACAAATTAGACAAAAACAGGCTGTTTCAATTCAATGGCTATAGCGGTCTGGTGTCTCCCATCCAGCAAAGATTGCTTTTAGCGTGGCACCAAAGCCTTCTTTGAGCAACTTAATTATTTTGTCATATTCTTCACCAATCTTCACCAACCGGTAGATTTGTTTTTCTTTCCGTCTGCTAAGCAGGTCCACTTTGTTTGTCAACATGCAGAAACTCCCATCTAGCATGCCAAGATACGTCAAGTCAGCTTCATTCTTGCAATTTCATGTTGTTCTAGTGTGTTTCTGAACGATTGGTCCAATTTGAACTATTTGCGGCATTTGCGGTTTTTTGCGGTCATTTGCGGCCAAAAGCACAAAAGTACAGAAATTATTGAACTTTGGAAGGTCTAGGATTGCGTTATATAAGGAAATTTAATTGATTTTGAGATCGGAAAAAATAGTTTTTAGTATTAAGGGTTTTAATTTAGTATTAGGGGTAAGCTTCGAACTGCCATTTTTGGCAATATTTTAATTGCGTTATATAAGGAAATTTAATTGATTTTGAGATCGGAAAAAATAGTTTTTAGTATTAAGGGTTTTAATTTAGTATTAGGGGTAAGCTTCGAACTGCCATTTTTGGCAATATTTTAATTGCGTTATATAAGGAAAAATTAATTAATTAATTAATTAATTAACATGACTTCGATTTGGTTCCCTAATAATAAATACCCCCCTAATACTAAAAACTACCTGCCGTGTTTTGTATTAGGGGGGGGGGTTTAGTATTAGGAGGAAGGGATTACATAGTCAATATTGACTTGAGGTATATCCCATAGGGGCCACCCGGCTCTTCAAGGCAGGAAAATACACATCTGGCTGGCCAAGAATCAAACTATAGTTGGTAAGGTGTATGGTATCCTTGTGCAAGTTGCGCTTATCCGGCTCCTTCAGGCATCTTCAGGCAGACTCGAGAGGGTTGAGAGGTCCCTGTCTGTCCGGTTATGCAAAGAGACTGGACCCTGGTCCTTCAATAGGCTCATGGGTCAAATGACCACTTATCAGGGTCTCACAGTCTTCTACATTACTCTTTGAAATGTGTGGGCTTCCAATAACCATCAATAACCTATATATTTGAGGCCCCAAACAAAGAAATTACAAACATCACAACACCCCATTGCGTTTTCCTCCAATTGCATTCCATATGCCATCTCCCTTGATTTCGATGGTCTGTTACAACCAGCAAAATCAGCAAATGAATGTAACATGAATTACGTGCCAACGTGCATCCTCCAAACCATTTGACATCGACAATGGAAATCAATGGAAATCAATGGATCTCCTGGTATGGCTCTGTGCAAACTCGAGCAATGCCTTCGTGTGCCAGCCAGCATTTGAGGTGTCCGGAGTCTGGTACAACCTCAGCAAAACACCCTGTAGCGAACATGGCATCGACTTGTCAAATATCACCCTGAAGCAACTAGACTCCAATTTAAATGTTGTCAATCACTACCCTGAAGCAACTAGATGACTCCAGTAAACGACTCCAATAAATCTTTGAATATGTGAGAAATTGGCATGTGGACATGTGAAATAGTTCGCATTATCCGCAGTAGGCTTTAAGCATTCAAAACAACAACCAACCTCTTGAAGTCAAAGCCATCGGTTCAGGCCAGGGACGAGCGCAAAGAGTCGCCTCATGCTGTGATACTGTTACACAACCAAGAGCTGGTGTTTCCACTGCTGAATCTTTCGGATCTGGGAAGAATCACATCTCTTCAAATTGAAACTCAGCACAGGCAACAGGTTTATCCAAGAACCAGTTGTGAATTCGATATTGAAGAGTTCTAGCTGTTGGACTCCTAGAATCTTCCAAGTGCCAACAACCACGCCGCTCCAGGGCTCTAAATCACCCATTCATCCAAGGCTCAAGTCCCATTTGTGACCGTCAATCAGCAAAGGTCTGCAAATATACTCCTGTACAACCTGAATTGGCGGCACCAGCTGCGACTTTCTTCAATTTTTGGAGCATCTTTAGTGACTGAAATACAATGACTGGAGCGCTGTGCTGATGTGTGCGCTGGAATCCATGGAATGAAAGTTTTCGCACCAGGCCAACTGTTTTGCCCTTCTCAGGTTTCGTGCCTGTGACTGAGAGCCACAGAGCATCTATTAAAGTCTATTAACTATGGCTAAGTATGGACTTCAGCACCTCTCCTCATCGCTTCTCGTCCCCTCAAGTTCTCCTACCACTGCCATGCCATCCATGCCATGAATATTGTCCAAGGGTCGGCATCGTTGTCCACAGCGGCCATGCGCTGCAACTCTTCAGGCGAAGCAGCCTAGCAAATTCATTCCAATAGGCTGGATTCTGACTAGAATCCTCGTAGTACCTCTAGCTAAGCACAAGGATCTTGCTGGAATCTTTCCATGACTTATTGATTCCCAACATTTGTAGAACCGGGTGGTCAAAACGCCATGCATCCCCCAAGTCTGAAATGAACCAGATGAGTCTCGCAAGCAGCTTTTCCAGGCAGCTTTACCAGTTCATCAGGGTAGTTGCCTTCGTGTGATGTGTGGTTTTTTAATTGTGTTTCAAGATCTCCTGTGGAAACATGTTTTTGTCATGTACAACTCTTATGTCATGACTCTTCTCGGTGCACTTCAAGCTTCCACATGACTCGTACTGACACATACCGTACCTCTAACCCCATAAGTTCACAGACCCTTACTTTCCATTTACCTCAAACTTGAAAATTCAATCAGCCAAGAGGCCAAAGAGATGCCAAGGCCCTGCAAACCTGCAGTCACTAGAAATGTACAGTATCATGAGAATAGTGAGAATGAACCAATTTAAAACGCAGTTTGTTTGAGTTTGCGGCAATGTGGGTTGAATTTTGGACCCCAAAAAATACAATATTGCGCAATCCTTCTAGTTTTCCCCTGTTTAGCCTCGGTTGGGCTTCACGATGACCACGCGCGGAGAGTTGGCTTCTAGAAACTCCATCGCTGCCTAGGCATGCCGCACCAGATCTTGATAAATCATCCTGCAGAGAGTTATCCAGTTGCAATATGTTGCACTCATCAAATTGGTTATATTTCCTTTGGAGTCCTTTGGGCCAGTAGGCCACAAGAATCCAAAACCATGAGGTTGCAGCTCTTAGCTCAGCTGGCTTTGCCATCCTGGTGAACGAGTTGTACAGTACATGATTAATAATGATGTTGAATGACATGCCGCGCCAGTCACTGAAAATTAAAGCGTATCGAAATTTCATGACTTATCTATGCCATTCTAGTTCTTTGTTCAGAAATCATCACAACTGAATTCATCATTGTTTCCTATCAGCATGATGTTCCACTGCGAAGTCATGAGAAACCATGGAAAACCTCGTGCGGAAAACCATGCTACCAAAACACAAACATGCAACTTCATGATCTTCATGGGGGTGAGGGATCAAAAAAATGTAAGACAGCAAAAATATTCTCGTGGGGAGCAAAACAATATTTAAGGCATCCAAAAAAAAATCCCCTGGAATCCGTTGTTTTCTATGGTCCTTGCAACAGTTTGGAGACAAAACCGAGCATTTCTGTGGTATTTGCATCGTTTTGGAAGTGGAGCCTCTCGCCCGCAAGGTTTTTGCAGGACATTGGACCTAGAAATCGAGCATTCGCAGGGCTCGACGCTGCCGTTTCGACAGCACCTGCAACACTTTGGAGTTCGAATTTGTGATTTTCGATGGTTGCTTTGAAACTTACGTTGGTTTAAAATTTGTTTATGTTTGTTTTAGGGTTGATTTAGGTTTGGTTTGATGCCTATTACGTTGACTTAGGTTGGTTTAGGGTTAGTTTAGGGTTGGCCTATGGTTTACTAGGTGTCTATTCAGGGTTGGTAAAAGGTTTATTTCGGTTTCGTTCAAATATTATTTAAAGCTTTTTGGTGTTTATGTAGGGTTGGCTTAGGGATGCTTAGGGTTTATTTTGATTTCGTTCAAGACTTTGTGGTTTAGGTTTCGTTTGGGATCTATTGAGGGTTGGTTGTTTGTTTGTTTAGGGTTGGTTTAGGATTTGTTTAGCGTATATTTAGGGTTGATTTTAGGGTTTGTTTAGGGTTGGTATTTATATTTGTGTAGGTGCTTCTCAAAGTTTATTTAGGGTTGATTCAGGATGTATTTGGGATTGGTTCGTTGTTGGTTTAGGTGTTATATATTTAGGGTTGGTTCAGGGTTTCTTTAGGGTTGGATTAGAGGTTATTTTGGGTTGGTTTAAAGCCTATGTAGGTCTTGTTTCCGGTGTCTTTAAGGTTGGTTTAGAGATTTATTTCTGGTTGGTTCAGGGTTGGTTTAGGATTTATGTAGGGTTGGTTTGTAGTTTATTTGGGTTTGCTTAAGATTTATTTAGAGTCTATTTATGGTTGGTTTATAGTTGTTTAATGTTGTTTAGGGGTGGTTTAGGATTTATTTGGGGTTGGTTGAGGGATTATTTGCGATTGATTTAAAGTTGATTTTGGTTTCGCTTACAATTTATTTAAGGTTCGTGTAGGTTTCGTTTAGGGTTTATGTAAGATTTGTTTAGGCTTTATTTAGGGTTAGTTTAGGGCTGATTGAGGGTTGGTTTAGGATTCGTTTAAGACTTACTTTGGCTTGGGGGGTAGTTTAGGGGTTATTGAGGCTGATTTAGGTTTTTTGTACGGCTGGTTGACTTAAGGATTATCTTCAAAATGTTTTAAGGCACCAGAGCCACCAAAGGGCGGAAGGACCAAGGAGGGAGAGGACTGAAGGACCGGGAGATTCAAAGACCACAAGAATTGAAAATTGCATAAAAGGGCCAAAACACCGCACCAGCGCAGGAAAAAATAATATTCTTTTTGATCCCTTGTTTTTTTTTAAATTGATGCCTTAAATATTTATTTTTTGATGCCTTAAATCTTATTTCTTTGAACCCCATGCCTCTTCATGGTGTCTTGCCATGATTCAGGGAAACCATGGGAAACAAAATCATCTTCGCATACTTCAGCTCTTCACAGGGACGGAGGCCTCCAAGAGCGTGGCCAGAAAGGGGCTTGCTTCGCCTGATGGTGCCACTGGGCAGGTGGCAAGTGGATGCAAGTGGTGAGCAGCCATCTTTACATCTCTCCCCTAGCATCAGTTAGTCATGAATTATTAATGCATAATATTCCCATTCCATTCATCCAAGCTACCAAGAGTGGATTTGTTGGGCATGAACATAGGAAGTGCCATCAAAAAGCGGATCAAATGCAATGATCGGACTAGGCCGTGCCACTAATCTCTTCTTCATGTGGTGCGACACTATCTGGAGAAGAAAAAACTCGGAAACTGCTGAAACTCAGGAGAACTCTGTTCCTGAAACTGACATCACACTTTTAATCCCGGAAAAAAACCACCGGGTATATCAGTGTAGAAGTTTGTTAGGAAAATCTGTCCCGGCCGCTCATGTAGCTGAGTCCTCACATGAATACTCAAGAAGGAATTTGCAGTGTCAGATGCAAGACTCATACCCTGACTCATTTCCTTTGCCTCCAACGCTCTGGTAAGACTGGCTTTCTGACAAGCCTGACAAGTTGCGTTTGGTTTCTCTTCACTGTCGCTTTCCAGCTGCTGGCGGTGAACCCCCAAGAGTGTTGAAGCAGGCATCTTCGTTTGACAGCTTGATATATCTTGATGCAAGTTCCACCTCGTGCATGCCAGGGATGTGCGATAGCCACTGGCCAGCTTGCAGCTGCAAAAGGCTTCTGGCCAGGTCCTGTGAGCAACCAATACTGCAGCATACTTCATCAATTTGTGCCATACATTGCACTTGTTATTTGGCAATGGTGATTCCAACTCCATTTAGTTCTTATCCAGGGACGGGCATCAGTCCACTACAGCCCTTTAACACTCTGAGTTTCAGCTTCTTCATCTTCTTGCCACCTTGTTACTGGAGTGCGGCTTCCATTTGTACACATATCAAGCAACAAATGAATACCCTTCAGCCGACTGCTCCATCTGCATCGACCAGCAAACTGCAACACTGTCCTCCTTGCGCCTTAGGTGAGTGAGGCTGTATGGGAATGTGTGGTGTGATAAGAGACAGCCAGCAGGCACAGTACACAGGATTTAGAGAGGCTGACTGGCATCATGGCAGTCCAACTTGCAAATGGAGGAGGCAGGCTTTGATGAAAGACTGGGACTCCGAGGCCTTCATCAAAATGCTTGCCACCTCTATGTTGTGAAATGTTTTGGGCCTTCTTGGATGTTGCATGGCCCTGTGGAATAGGTTTTGGTCGAATGGCCGGACATGAAACATTGAGCAGCAGTTTGCTCATTTTTGAAAGAGCAGGTGGCTTCTGTTCGGCTGTTCACTGTCCGCTGTTCATTGTAATTTCAGCTGTGTAGGTGCTTGTTTGATGGATTCTGCTGCACTTATTTTCAGCTGTCAAAGGACTATTGCGCTGCCAGAGTGACCTGCAATTGTGGCATGACAGCTGGTTTGGTCAATTTTTGATTTTATTTTTGAACTGATTGTTTCAATTGTTTTTCTGGGCAGGTGGTCTTCATCAGTGGCACTTTGCAGTCTGCCGCTCACTGTTTCACTGTTCCACTGTTGGCACTGTTCCACTGTTCAACTGTCAATATATCAAATTTACACACACACACATACCTAATGATAAATCAACAAAAAAAACAAGGGGGCACTTGCTCAAGAACAAGGGGCCACTTGCAAGGAACAGAGATTCTATAAATAACTGACCCTGAGTCAGAGCCTAGAAAAATGCGTGACAAACACTTTCTGTTGCAATATGACGCTCAGGATACACCCCGACCAAGTTGGCACTCTTCTATCAAACTAATCTTTGAGAATCCGTCCAGAAAACGCCGTTGAGGCATCATATCACTCACGGGTCATTTCGTTGATAACAACACCGCGTTGGTAGAGGTTCAAGTTCGAACCGCAAGCTCTGACTCACACGTGGTTCGATTTGTTGTTCTAAGGCCCAAACACCACCCACTGGATATGGCCACCCTTCCTTAGCTGGCATGACTGAGTCAGTCTGAAAATGACAGAAGCTGACAGAAACTAACAGCCTATTTACTATTTACCGCATCCAGTAGCAGGATGGCAAACCATGGGAGGACTCCATTTAAAAGTCACCTTGGGTCAAGCTCTCCTTGTTTCAAACACTGTAGCTGTTGGCTTGGTAGACCAAGAATACAATTCAGAAGATTACAGTAAGCCATTGCAGTCTTTGCTGCTTCAAAATGTTTCAAAATCTAAATGCTATCAAATTCAAATATGTCCGCCGATGTCCATCTCCATTCATCTTCAAACTCTGAATTATTGGCTGCATATTATTGCTACGTGGCCGATCGTCTGGTCTCCTTTGGTGCAACCTAGCGACTGTACACATTCCCAGCCCAAGCATTCGGAAACCAATTTCAGGGCCTCGAGGGGGCAACAACTGACTGTAGAACATAAAGCATGCCACGCTCCTGATTGATCTGAAACCGTCAGAAACATCAGAATCATCAGAATATCATTTCAAATCCATTGGGTCTTGATTAAAAATAAGCTTCGGTGGTATCCCCAACAGGCGCAACATTTTATTTTTACAAATCTTTCTGAAGCGCGCTGCGAAGCCAAAAAAACAAAAGGAAGAAAAACAAACTTCTCCGGGACCTTCTCTGCAACCTTCTCCGCAACCCTGGGCCCTGCACCAAAGCCTCCCAGACCTTCTCCGGAACCTTCGGAACCTTCTCAACCCTGTTGAACCTCACCTGGCTCTGCACCAAACCCTCCCAGACCTTCTCCGGAACCTTCTCAGGAACCTTGTTGAACCTGACCCGGTGCCTGCACCAGTGCACACCGGAGCTATTCTGGGCTGAAGACCCCCTTAGCTTTCGTTGTTGGGGAAAAATCAACACTTGTACAAACATACAGCTCTACGTGGTTGCATACACTGAACATGGATAAGCATGGATATACCTCCCCACAGCCGCACACGGAAGGAGAGCAAATTTGGTGGGCATCATCCGTAAACCGTAAACGTTCTTAGTCGTTCCTCATGATAAATCTGGTCACCTGAGCAATATCTGAGCATCATCTCGTTTGGCCGTTTCAAGTCCCACGGGACTCTACTGCAAAAGGCCATCCTCCTTTTCTTTCGTCACTTTGGCCCTGCATTGGCCCTGCATGCTTGATTTATAGCATGCAACGCCGAGTCTGAGCGACGATTTCTGAAAAGGATGGAGCCAGTGGTGAGGAGCAACAAGGTCTCCCATATTTATGCCACGATTTTTTCTCCTTTGGGCATCAAATGCGATGAAATACCAAATGCATCCAGACGCCATCCTTTACTATGAAACATTCGATCACCTCGCGATTGCAAAGGTGGATGCCAGGCTACATTGAGCCCTCGGAAACCTATAGCTACTGAGAGTTCATCAGCTGGACATCAGCAGTGACACGCTGGAAACACAGCTTGCTCAAAAACGGTACCACAGTACCCATACGTTGGACATTGGTCAAGTACGGTCAATTGGTCAAGTGTTAGCAGTCTACTCGCTCATGCCCAGTGAGTAACAGGTAGGGGAAGATTTACGCATTTGCAAGGCTCCTTTCAGCCCAACAGGGGGGGGTGCAAAGCCATCCTGTGCTGGAGGCGTTCAAGTTTGTAGCATGTCAAAGGCTGGCAAATGGAGTGCCAGTGGGTATCGGGTGTCACCTTTTCTTGTAGCGATATGTATTGATCTCATAATTTCCACGGCTTTCTTTACAGCATTGCCTCCAAGAGGGGTGGCATTGCTTTCTACATGGCCAAACGGTGAAACTTGCGGTCAAAGAAGTCCAATGAAGCGAAGCAAGACCAAGCACAACCTGAGTTGCAAAGAAATGTGAAATGGGAAAACACATGACACAATTAATTGGAGCATCCAATTCTCAATCCTCCAAACACTTTCATGCAAACCAAACCGATCCAAAGCCATAAAACTATGTCAATGTAAAGCTACGTATGTAAAGCTGAAGCAAATGATAAGGTGCAGTGTAAAAAGGACGATGGGAATGATCTTCTTCATCAAACCCAAATCGGGCAAGGAGATGGAGAAGCCACCAAGGACATCTCCCCAACCACGTCCTTCCGCTGGAGTGACCAGTTGAGGATAGTCGTTGGGATCCTCGCGTCCTTTCCCTGCGCGTTTCTGATTGGCCTCACTCTGGGTCATGAACCACATCTCGAACCTTGGCAAAGTACACAGCCAGGTTTGCCGGACTCACTTCCGCCACTTCCAATGAAGTAACAGAGGGGCTGGACATGCCACACGGGAAAAAAAAAACACAACTTGGAACAACATGGAACAACAAATCTTTGGGCATGCGAAGCTGCGAAGTGATGCCATGATGAAGCATGACACACCGTGAGCCAAAGCATGAAACTGTTTCCAGAGCTCCAAGCAACTGCACAGAACCCACTTTCTCATCTTCCGCATCAGCTGCTGCTTCTCCACCTTCACCATCGTCACCACCAGAGCTAGCGGAGAATTGGAGGTCCGCTTTCTCAATGTAGATGCAATCCTCAGATCATCAACCTATATATATATATATATCAACTATGCTGCATATGTTGAATGGTACTTGCTGGCGTTCCTTTTCTGGTCTTGCCATACAAGAAGGTAGACTTTGCGCAAAGCCGCTTTACATGGTTACCCTGAGTTCTCTGGATGGTCATCCAAATTCCACACAATACTATCAATTTATACTATCACTGTCTATCAATACTTATTGTGTGGAATTAAAAAGTATTAAAAAGTACAAGCAAAAAGTATCAGCACTTTGTTGCCGCATGTTGCCGCTAGCATGGACACACGCATCTAGCCAGGCATCCATATCCCTCGCCACACGCTCCACATACCGTCGCAAGTCAATGCCGACGGCGCCAATGAATTCATCGGCGGAAATACCTCACAGAATCTCAAAGATACCGGCAGACGATTTAGCTAGGACGGCTATAGGAGGAGTTTTTGGAAGGTACTGTGGAGACTATCTGAGATATTCTGAGATCATGTCGTGCGACATGCAAACTCAAAGAATCTTACCCTGGTGGCAAATAATGCTAATTATATAATCCGCCACAGTGCTTCCTGTTAAGTACAATTGTCTACGGTATGTGCAGGGCCAAAATTTTGAGAATTCCGTGCGCCCTTCGAACAAACAATTAACACATGTGACATCCTCCATGCCTCTCCCAAGACCCTTCCTTTAGCCCAGGTGCTATTGGCTTGGTACAGTTTCCTCAGCGATGGCATCATTGATCGACAAGAACTAATGAAGAGCCATGCGTTTACAAAGGAAATTGGAGATTGATATTGACGGATTGATGTCGTGCGCCCTGCTTTGGCGCGGCCCTTGAAAATGATCGATCCCCACTTCTTGCTGAAACTACCTACTGTGACGACTCTGCGGTTGACATTTTCACATCTGTCAGAATCTGTGGTGCAGTCGCTGGAACCAATTTCTTCATTTGTGAATTTGTGAAATAGTATTGCTCTGAAATTCATGGCGTTGTAGATTTTTTTGTCCAGCAACAGTTTCGATAGTGTTGCTGCAAACCAATTCACTCCATAATGTATAATAACAATAGTATAATACACTATACAATAATGATGCCCCGCTCCTTTAGTTGTCCCGGCGAAGTGCCGATTCAGTTCATGACAAAGTACTAGCATAACAGGAGCATGACAACTAACATGTTTTTGCCACAACAAAAGGGGGAACCCTTGGCCACATGGTAACATGTTGCTACGAGTACATGAAAAGAGATTGGGCTGAGCATCAAATCCATTGTGCAACTCTTCGTCGGCATCACGATGCGCGGATACACAATGCGCCAGTTGAAGATTGCGTTACCTGAGCAGCTTGAGCAGTTTGAGCAGCTTGAGCTACAAAAAAGTTCCCATGTTTTTCCACTTTTCTCAGAGCTGTCTTGACGAGGTGCCCGTGGAGCCGAAGTGAACGTCCGTGGCTTGAAGCTTGGGAAAACCCATGGTGACTCCTTCGTACTCCCGACCTCAATCTGTTGGCCAACTCCACCAACGAAACTGCACAAATCATCATGAAAACAAAGGCATGATGAATTACTTAATGAATTGCGATGTTCCCTAGATCCTCCAAGGAGTCTTGCAAGCAGCAAAGTGGCATTCCAAGTCCACTGTGACCTTGACGTCAGTCTTGGTGCCATCCCACAGTTTGACCTCAAGGATCTCAAGGCGGTGCAGCAATAACTGGTGTGGGGGTTCTGTTCCTAGAACTTCGCACATCCCAGGTGGGCTCTAAAGGCATGGCGGCATGGTTTAATGTCATGCTGCCAAGCGGCATTTTTGCAGGTGCGGATCACCAAGCGAACCTCGATCTCCATGGCAGGTGGTTTTCGAAGTTCGGACGCCTCCCAAATGCCAAAGCGGTGGTGTCTTGGCGGCAGAGTCTAATTTCCCTCCAGCTGTGAGGAAAAAAAAAGAGAAACATACAGAAACACTGAGCGTTTTTTTCCCTAAGCGTTTTTCCCCTGGAGAAACACTAAACGAAGAGCAAATGTGCCTTGATGTCAGATGCACGCACGCTATCTATCATCTCAACCCACATCTCGATACCTGAAGCAAGTGAAAATCGGAAGCCTTGATCAACTGCTCCGACTCTGCAATTTTACGCACAAAGAAAGGAAATTAAATAATATGCATTCCAGCATTGAAATCTCCAGTCCTGCGGCAGCCTAATGTTTGCGTTGTATTTGTGTTCTTGGCCCACATGCGCACTATCTATAATCAACATAATTATGCAACTCACGCCGTAGTACTTCTACACTCTACACCACCATCCGGCTTTGCCTCTTCATGATGGCATGTTCAGCGTAGGATTCCGCTCTGGCTTGCTGTTTTCACCATTCTGAAGCATGAACATATTCTACACCCGTGCACGCCATTGGCACAGCTTCTGATTGGCATCCCTTGACCCAGAAGAAAGGCTCCATTCCAAAGATTCCAAAGATTCTCCAAGGATATTCCAAGGTGCTTCCGCAGTTTTGCCCCGAGAGTTGCGGGTTGATCAAGGCCCGATTCTCGGTGGGGATCTGCTGTCGTCGATCCATTGCATCCCGCCAGGAAGCTGAGTGCCATCGGTCCTGGCAGAAGCTTGAAATATATATATAATATTGTTAATTAAAAAAATATTAAAGTATATTTATCATGATCATATCACATAATGGAAAAATACCATATATAATCCATATATATCCATATATTATCTATCATTCAGGAAGTTTGAGCTTTGAGGGACTCTGATGCCCTATTATAGATTCCCAACATATCCTAACATCCCGCGGTTTACATCCGGATACGGTTTACATCGGTATTCCCAGTACATGATGTAACATGATGTAACATGATGTAACATTGGTATACACCAATCGCACAGCAGCATGCAGAGCATACCGCAGCATACGACAGCAGACCCCTGAGCCATCCTCCAGGTCAATCACAGTACTGCCAATCAGTTTTTCACCGTTGATGGCTTCACCAAATGCATCTTGATAATCGAAGAGGTCCACCTTTGCGCAGCTGCATAGAGGATGAAAAGGGTCAAACCATACACCCATGATAGACCTACGTACTGTAATATACTGTATATATCAATAACAATAATAACATGGTTGTCATGGCATATTTAGACCTCAAAACAATTTCAAAACCAAATTTAAATGCATATATGATCATATATGCATCATAATGCATCAATATCAAAGCGAGGCCCCACGCCTGCAATCTAGCCTCTGCAGGCATCACGATATCACGCTCCTGGCTGAATTCTCGGGAAATTGTGCTGCCAGTGGCAAGAATTGGCAAGACATATCCGAAAGGGAAAGTCATAGGAGGCACAGCGTGAGCGAGGAATCTTGCCACATCTTGCCTCTACAAGCGACTGTTGTGGCCAGCGTGGCAGCGTGCCATAATTGTTAAAACCACAACACCAAAAATCCTGAGAAATGATCTGCGCAAGAAATCTCGGAAAGCATTCTTGCTTACATCCCTTATGTACAAAGGACCCCTGGAGGTTTGGAGATGCTAAAGTCAAACGGTCACCACCTGTCCTGCGGCTTTGGGGACCATGCAAGAATGAATCACCCTAAGGAAATACAGCCCGAAATAATTCAAGATAATCCAAGAATGTAAATCAACATATTATAATATATAAATTTATCATGGTTCAGCATGGTTCAACATGATTCTGTATGCTTCTGTGGTGCTAACATATTTTCGATCAGCATCGCCATGTTCGGCTTCCGGATAAAATCTTCCAGTCAGCCGGTTCAACCCCAGCGGTTCTCCTCGACCCGATAAAAGCTCGGCACGTTGGTGTTGAACTGGGCCATGTTCCTGCATTCAGCATCATCCAGCCGGGCCCGGCAAAAATAAAGCAGCGTCTGTTCTCCATCCCTGGTAGTGCTCATGCATATCCAAACATAATCAGTCGTGTGACATCGACAAAAGATAATGGCTGAACCTTGCATCAGGGATATTCACTTTGTCTTGTTCCAGAATGTCCCAGATCACCTGGATTCACCTGGCATACTCTGAGGAAAAAAACATCCAAGGATCACTGATATCAACAGTACATCCCGTCCTCATGGAGACCAACACATTGCCCAACTTGTAAGCCAGGTAAGGGTCGATAAAGGCCTTCCCAAAGAAGCCTTCCACCTAGGTTGCCAGCCAGCCCCAGCCCCCGCAACAGTGATTAAACCATGTTAAACCTGAGCGAAACGAATTGCTTGGTGCTCCCTAGTGCTGATGCTGCCTGTCATTCTCACTACACCTGCGCCAGAAATTGGATCAAAAAGAACATTTAGGAACGCAAGCAAGGCGAACGCCCGCTCTGACCAGGTCAAATTGCCCACATTTGCCCACCCAAGCAAAGCCAATCAGCCAGGCCACCTGCTTGCCAAAAATGCAAATGGCTTTGACAAAGTAGATCCGCACACGAATCCGCGATGGCACACGCTCCTTGTTTTTGAAGCGTGAAGTGAGCTTGGCCACCTGAGTTGCGTGGGGCCAGCCTTCCGCTCAAATGTCCGACTGATGTTTTCCTCATATTCCTGGGGAAATCTGGAGACAAGTTCAAAATCATTCTACGTTCACATTCGTTCACAACGTTAACACGTTTCCTAACTATAGTCGTCTGAATTCATGCACATCAAAACACAAAGATACACAACGCGTTGTTCCGCATGCTCAGTTCTTCGATGACTTTCCGACACTGAATATCGGATATGCTGGATGCAGGTTTATTAAATGTACAATGAATTCAGGGATATAAAGGCGACCGAGCAGATCCGAGCAGCATCAAAGGCGTAAGAGTCCAGGTCATCGTCAAAGCCTCAGAACCACTTCGATGTTCAATCCATAAGGAGGCATAAATACAATTGCAAATGCTACATACCCAGTGTCGCGCAAGAAACAGGCTAAATCACACGTGCTGTATGAATCTTTATGAATCCTTATACTGCATTCCCACCATTAAGAATTGAGATAATTTACAGTATAATTTTGAGTAGTGAGTAGTGCCGGTAGCGTGCAACGGATCGAAATGAGCTGTTCAACGAAAATCCCAGCGAGGTGCAGCCACTTCATACCTTCCTGTGACGGGAAAGATTGAGAGAAGAACTGAAGAACCTGCCGTAGCCACCAAGGGCACTGTATTAAGCTATATAGTTACAAAAAAAGTGATAAAACGCGTTACGTATATAATTTACATACGTGCCTCATTTAATATACATCACTACCTACTGTACCCCATTATGCCAATCTGATGTCATGTTTGCAGTTTATCATTGTTTGCCGTGCCTCACTGCTGACCACTATCTCTGCCAAGGGGCCCACAGATCTGCGAAGCTTGGCAATATCTTCCTCCGTGACTCGAACGCCTAAGGAAAGCACGAATAGCCACAGAATGAACTTCTTCTCATTTTTGCGAGTTCAATGGTGTGACAAATGGTGTGACAATGCTATTTTTTTCAGACCTTTTGCCAATCTCCAGAAGTCAACGAGCGTTCAAAGTTAAACTGCCCCAATATTGAAAATGAGATCTGAACCAGGCAGCCCCTAAGCAGCCCTAAAGAATGAAAATGCATCAACTACCAGGACCTCTCATTGCATCACCTTGAACGGAATCGTGCTGGCCAGTTTTCATCACTTTCCCGACAAGCAATCCAAACACATCGACACCCAAGGAATCCCAAGGAATTTGGCAAGGCACTTTCATGATGCGCATGTTCCTGCTCCTTTTTATGAGCCGCTGCAACGTGGGTCTCTCCCAACAACATCTCCGTGGCATGGGCCGCTGATTCAACAGCATGGACCGCTGAGTGGGCCGCTGAGTGGGCCGCTGCAGCTACGAGCCCACCCAAGCCGCGCAGGGCCCCGACCGCACCGGTACCGGTGGGGCTGGCAGCAGGTGTGGCTGCAGGGGTTGTGGCTGCAGGTGTGGCGGGGCCAGCCACTGCTGGAGGCTCCTCACTTTCCTCTGACAGTTCTTCTTGGAGCACAGCACCTCGACAGGCGACATGAAAAACCACATGGATCACCAGAAATCGCCTTGAAATATTTGAGATTGCTTGTAAACCTTGGAAGACGACAGTGATAGACTGGGGATGTCTTAAAAAAATGTCGGCTCAGAAATTGCCACGGAATGAAGTGGCAAAGGGCGAAGCACTTCAGAAGACTTGAACAGGCAAATCAACTGGCATCCACTGCATTGATGCAAACGGCATGGTGGGCATCTGTATTTGGTGCCTACCTGCAGCCCTCATTCTGAAATGTGATGTGATCTGCGCTGACTGATGTCCCTCTACATTAATTACATCACGATCATGATATATCATGATGATATGTCCACCCCTGCCATGATAAACCTTGGATTCATCACAACTAGAACTTCTCCGGTTCCTGGCCTGTCTCCTGGTGAGCATCTGAATCCCAACCATCCATCAGTTTGAAGCAACACTTCACAAAGCCGAAGACTTTGTCCTTAAGATCCGAACTCTAGTCATTCCTGTTCCAAAATGTTCTGACTCAAAACATCTCAAATCGTCATTTTACTCAGATTCAACCCCCCCGGGAAGTGAAATCCTACATGGCGAGTTTGCAGATCTTTGGTGAAATCTTCCAGATCTGTTTGAGTAAATCCGTCAGACTGCTTTGATTACAAGGGTGCTCCAGGCTGCAGGAATCAGTCATTTTTGCCCACCAAGCACTTCCACTTCAACACCCAGCACCAGATTGTCTCGAGTCTGGAGGTCCAAAATGGTCCAAGGGTCATGGTAGAAATTCCAGTCTGCCAGCTCGTCATCTTCTACGATATCCGCATTTCGCATGAGAGGCGCATTGCGAAACCAGAAATCAGGCCTCACGGGCTGAACATGGAGCGATAATGAGCATTAATGAGCCATGAACGCAAAAGGATGGTTTCGCATAGCTTAGCCTCTCCATGCATCTCCAACAAAATCAACAAAACGGGGGAAGGGTAGGGACCTCGCATGCACAGGATGGGGATCTGCCAGGACACTGGAAGACATGTATCTGCTTGGAATCCTCCAGTTTCCCACGCAGTCGTATCCCTGCTCCTCCGGCTTCTCCATGGGCTCTCTCACCAAAGCAGGTGGGGAAATTCCCAAGCTGTTCCATGTTCAGCACATGCTCCTGTGGCAAGAAAAAATAAGAAAAGGCAGCAAATCTCTGCCAGAGCAAACTGAAAAACACTACAAATCAATAAATAATATTTCAGCATGATATCTTTTTGTGTAGACTTGGGTTTCTTGGCATGAGCTTAACAATTTTAAACATTTAATATCACTTTGTCATCAATACTGTTGTTGACTTTCAATTTTGTGAATTCCATGTCCATTTTCAAGGGCCAGGTCCGAACCAAGCTTCAACAGAAATTTCAGGTCTTTGTGATCGCTCAGCAACTCTCAAAAGATGCATGGGTTTTGCTAACCAAGTAGTGTTTGCAGTGTTTGCAGTTTTCATTTTCTCTGCACTGCAACTTTCAACCTATCCACTATATCTCTACATAATCACTAGTTCGCCAAAACCCTGAGATCCCTGAGACAACAACAGCTGAAGTACAGCTCCAGCATGTTCCGTCCTCACGCAGCTGGAGGACTTCACGATCCTCTGGCAAATATCCCGCCTGAGTTGATCGAAGCAGCTGCCATGCGCAGGCCGATGCAATTGCAGGATGCCACATATCATGAACACGCCGATGGAGAGAAAAAAACATGATATGATAAACATGACATTGGCAGCCTTTCTGCACATACATTCACAATCCCCTCACCCTTTGGCAATTGGAACGCGTGCAAGCATGGTGGACATGTGTAGCACGGAATCAAACAACCCAAAAGGCGTCCTTCGCCTTCTCCGCTCATACATTTTGAACGTATTTGAGAACAATACGGTCCTTACACCGGTCACCTCTGACAGACTTCTAGCCTGCTCATATCCTCTGCTGCATTTGCTGCCCAAGTGCTGGATTGAAAACGGACTTGAAAGGTCTGAGTTCCAGTGGCAATGCTCGAGAATCGATGACTTCGGCCTTCTCTTCTTCCATGGTGATCAGGGACTTCATGTAGTCCAACCTCGGTCTTTGCAACTTTGGCACTTTGGTTCAGGGCGGCTCCTTTCCAACAGGTTTCCAAAAGTGCCACGAGCAAACGTCATTGAATAATATTGAAAAAATCCCCAAACAGTGTGGCCACACTGAGGGGTTCTTACGGTAATTAACAGTTAAGGCCCGGTGTTCAATCGAGGTGGTATCCGGGGCGTCCGGCATTTTCCCTGCAAATTTCCGTCCAAAATGGCTCTTGTGAAATGTCCATGCGCATATCGCCTGCGCAGGCTCGCACACACTGTGCTTCCCGGTCTTGGGATCGGTCTTCCTCCTCAACTTCATCATCTTCCTCCTCCTCCACATCAACATCATCATCTTCCTCTCATCATCATCATCATCACCACCATAATCATCATCATCATCATCCCCATCCTCATCCTCACCATCATCATCATCATCATCATCATCAGCGGCAGCAGCAGCAGCAGCAGCACCATCCTCATCCTCATCCTCCTCCTCGTCCTCCTCCTCCTCATCATCATCATCATCCTCCTCATCCTCATTCTCATCATCATCATCATCGTCATCATCATCATCATCAACATCACCACCATCATCGACATCATCATCAACATTAGTTAACATCATCATCAACAATATATAAAATTACATTATCCTTTTACCTCCCCCAGACTGTTTGGGGTCTCTTGCCGGGATAATATTACGAACACGTCTTTCATCCCGGAAATAAGGGGTCCTGAGCTAGTACGTTGTACTAGTACGTTGTGGTACTAGCGGCACTGGCCGAAGGAAGTTTAAAAGTCAAACTTCTGACAATATGGACAGATGAAAAGCAGAGATGGGAAGAGTCAGAGAAGAGGAGAGAAGAAGAAAGAAGATCACAAAAGAGAAAGTCTCAGGAGAAAGAAGATCCAGGCGCACGAAAAGGCAAGTCGCAAAACACTGTGTTTTCCAATATGTTCCAATGATTTGTGGCTCCGGAGGGTCGGAAAGTAGGCTCGCTAAAGCGGCGGGTGCGGAGCCAGCTGGCCAGATGAGAGATGAAAAATTGCACGCCGTTGCCACGCGAAGCACATTTCCAAGTCAAAATGCGCAAAACACACATCAGGTTCACTGTTGGAAGTTGCAATGTCGAAAAAGTGCGCGCCGTTGTGGCGCGAAGCATATTTCCAAGTAGTCAAAATGTACAAAGCACCTCAGCTTCGGAACACTTTTAGAAGTTGCGATGTCGAAAAAGTGCACACCGTTGTGGCGCGAAGCACATTTCGAAGTCAAAATGTACAAAACACACCAGGTCCGGCCACTTTTGGAAGTTGAGATGTCGAAAAAGTGCACGACGTTGTGGCGCGAAGCACATTTTGAAGTCAACATGTTAAAAACACCAGGGGTTCGGACCATTTTTGGACGTTCAGATGTCGTTTCGTGTGGCAGGCGCAAGGAATTGTGCACCTTGTCAAAAGTGAGAAATGCGTGAGGGTTTTGTAGCATTTCCTAAAACGATGGCAGGCGTGGGACATATGCAGAGGACCTGGCAAGATGCATTTTCCGTGGCAGGCGCAGTAGAAGAGACATGTTCATCAGAGATGTTAGGAGGTCAGGGCGCTGATTTCCTGAGAGGGGTTGCATTTTGGAGCATCAGATCTTCAGTTTTGGGATGATGATTTTGCGTGACAGGTGCAGCACTTCGTATGACCTGGCGTCACTTTTTCGTGGCAGGCGCAGTAGTTTAGACAGGTGGAGTCAGCTCTGCACTCAACTTTCCACTTTTGAAGGAAGTCTCACAGAATTTCTTCGTTTTTGAATGTTTTTGATGTTGTCAACTTCGAAAAATGAGGAAGTCTGGCAGAATTGTTTCGCTTTTGATGTTGTCAAGTGCAAAAATTGGGGAAGTCTCGCTGAATTGCTGCGTTTTTGATGTTGTCAACTTCGAAAGCTGAGGAAGTCTCGCAGAACAGCTTCGTTTTCAAGCTTGCAGATAGACAGATAGATAGATAGATAGACAGATAGATAGATAGATAGATAGATTAGTTAGACAGATAGATAGACAAATAGACAGACAATTACAACTACAACAACTACAACTACAACTACACTACACTACACCACTGCTACAGCTACAAATATACGACGCTACATTACACTACACATAATTACACTACACTACACTAATTACATCTAGTTGCACTACACTACACCGCACTACACCACACCACACCACACCACACACAACAACAACAACAACAACAACAACAACAACAACAACAACAGCAACAACAGCAACAACAGCAACAACAGCAACAACAGCAACAACAGCAACAGCAACTACTACTACAACAACAACGACAACAACAACAACAACAACTACTACTACTACTACCACAACTACAACTACAATTGCAACTACACTACACTACACTACACTACACTACACTACACTAATTACACTGCAGCACACTACAACTACAAACACAACTGCAACTACACCCACACTACATTACACAACACTACACTGCACTGATGACATTGCATTACACTACAACTACAACTACAACTGCAGCTGCAACTGCAACCAACTGCAACTACAACTAGATAGATAGGTAGGTAGGTAATTAGGTAGATAGTCAGAGAAAGAGAGAGAAAGAGGGGAGACCTCAACCACCTGTCGGTCCATCAGTGGATTCGCTCTGCCATCCGTGAGTCACAACAACCAACCTCTCCTATAGGTTTCCTATTTTTGAAACTTCCGCCACCGCCTTGTGCGGTACTACTGATAGTTACAGAAGGTGCCCGAAGCGATACATGCGTGGCTGCAGAATCCGCCGAGCAGCTGCTCCTGTCGCCTCTGCTCTCTTTCAGCCTGCAGTTCTCTGGCTCGATCTTCAGGGGTCTCCTCCTGGTACGCCGTCCTGGGTGGAAATGGGCGGCTTACTATGACTCCGTTTTGACGTTCATGATTAGCTATGGAAAACACATATGGGTGCGAGTCAAAAATCGGGTATGGATCGCTCCGCGGTGATCCGTACTATGGATCGCGAGTGCTTACGTAAGGTGCCTGATCCGTACCCTTTCGTAAGGGCTCATCATAGCATACAAACTGTGCTGATACTCCCCGACTTGCTATTACTTCTCCTCCTGCTACTGTTGCTGCTAAAACTGTTACCACTGCTTGTCGAGGGAGCAGAAAAAAAAAACAGCACCAGCAGCAGTAGTGGCAATAGAAGGATAAGATGCAGCAGCAGTAGAAATAGCAGTAGCAGTAACAGTAGTACTAGTAAAAGTCAATAGTAATCTAATGGTAGTAGCAGCAGTAGCAGCTGCAGTAGTACTAGGAGTAGTAGGAGTAGGAGTAGGAATAGCAGCAGCAGCAGCAGCAGCAGGAGCAGGAGGAGTAGTAGTAGTAGTAGAAGCAGCAGCAGCAGCAGTAGTAGTAATAGAATCGGACTTTCATATTGGCATTTGTTGTGGCGTGACTGGGTTCGGGTATGGATCGGGTATGGAACGGGTATGGATCGGGGTATGGATCGGGACACGCTATCTGGGCCAGCTTTCACGCTATGGCTGTGAAGGAAGAGAGTGGGGTATTTCAAGTCTAGTCTAGTTCTACACGTGCCAGATAAAGCAGAAACAGAAGGACTTGTAATCATAGCGCCACTAGAAGTACAAGAAGCACCTAGTGGAACTAGAACCGGTCTTACTAGCCTCCAAGGTGCGCTTGCAATATTGCTAGTAGCTACTCAACTAGTTGCATTTGTCCAACTACCAGAAGCACACGGAGGAAGTGAACCAGCACCAGCAGCGAGAGCAGGACCAGCAGGAGCAGCAGCAGAAGCGACAGCAACAGCAGCAGCTCCTGGGAGGAAGATGACTAGTAGTGGCAGCAGCAGCAGCAGCAGCAGCAGCACGGAAGCAGCGGAGGCAGCGGAGGCAGCGGAAGCAGCAGTAGCAACGATAGTAGCAACAGTAGTAGCAACGGGAGTAGCAACGGGAGTAGCAGTACGAGGACCAGAAGCAGTATTAGGATTAAAAAAAACAGCATTAGGGCCAGCATCAATCTTTCTTCAATGAGAAAGGGGTATGGATCAGGGGTATGGATCAGGGGTATGGATCAAGGGTATGGATCATGCAGTACCACAGGGTATGGATCAAGGTATGGATCGGGGGGTATGGATCGTGTGTGGGTTCGGGGCCTTGATCCATACCTTGTATTTTGACTCGTACCCATATCATGTTTATGCATTTAATATCATTTAATCATCTACAATTTCTACAAGTATGGGATGCATGTCGGTGTAGCTGTGTAGTGATTTGAAGCGCCCATCTCCCAAGAAAGTCCTTGAAGCGCAAGCCTTGATGGCTCTGTCAACACCCCGCTTGATGCGGTTTTCCTGCAACTCTTCGGATCGCATTGCACCAGTTTGTACCAGTCATGAACGTGACCATACGGTGGACCATACGTGACCATTGCATTGAATCTCTGAAGGCTTATATTGAACAAAGGGAAGTGTAAGTCTAATGAGCAATTTGAAGATTCGGAAGAACTTTGGGGATTCTTGGCCAAATCGTCACCTGGTAGCTGTAGGGCTGATCCAAAGTAACTCCCTCGTACCAAGTACCTTCCGCGCCACTGGCCAGCACATGAGCATGGGAACGAGGTGCGCTGCAAATATGCAGGTGAACCATCAAACGATCAACATTCTGCCAACCCTCCCATCCACAAAAAGTTGGCGGTCTGCTGTTCAAACATAGTCAAGGACTGGCAAACTTGTGACATCTTGTGCCGCTGGTCTTATGGACCACTTTGATGCCAAGTTGCAAGGGTAAAGTCGATTTAGACTCTGACGGCTTTCGCCAACCCTTAGCCGAAAGCTGATGCGCTCGGGCCAGTGGGAGATAGTGAGAGCTGCTACCAGTGGCATGGAAGCCGGTTGCTGGTGGAATTTGAAGAAACAACAACCAAACTTTCAGATTGCAGTTGACACACTAATCACACTAATATCACTAATTGCGACTCGTTGTGCACTGTCAGTTCTGCTTCAATCCAAGCCCTGCCCATTCCCTCGAGTTCGCCTTAGTATTCCTACTTTAGAGTTCCATCCACAACTCACCCAAAAGGTCTTGCAGCTGTTTCAAATCAACCAAGCTGCAAAGCACCTTCATCTCCGAAGGGCTTCATTTGAAGCGCAGTTCCTTCCAGCAAACGTAATGGAAGCAGCTGCAGCTTTCGTCCCCACAATAGTCCACTCCCCGACTGCGCCTTGAAACAGCTCCACCGCTTTCTCCAGCACTCGGATGGCAATGAACGGCTGTAAAATCTCCTGCCGGCTATTCTTGTGACAGGTGACGGGACTCGGTTTGCTGGCTAGGGCAGCTAGAAGTTGCGACAAACCTTTTTCTTATTCAAGACACAGAAGAATGTGCCAGCTAGAACACTCAAAGTCAGACATCATTTCCAACTGACTCGATGAAGTGGCAACACGTGGCAACATTGGCTATTGAACATTTCTGAATGCCATTCAAGTGCGTTCAAGTTCCATGGCTCATGGGCAAGGTCCACATTGAGTCCACATGCTCGCCGGAATTGGCCGGACGTCCTTGTCAGGCACCTTGACATTTATCTTTTGAACCTGTCAGGATGGACGACAAATGTGTTGTTTGCATCAGGGCTTGAAACAAAAGGAGTTCTGTATATCGACCAATCAAAAAAACTCAAATGCTGGCCAATACTAAATAAATGAATTTGCCCGGAAAGGACTGGGTGCCGCCCCCATTAGGCCTTGCCCCATGCCAGAGTCGGTTCACCACACCATTTTTGCAAACCCCGCCTGAAAGAATTCCAAGTTGCGACAACCTTGATGCCCCAAAGCATCCGTCCGCCACTTGTGCAGGTGGTCATCTTTGTTGTCCTCTTGCCCTTCGTACACCAACTTTTCCTCAACCCCGGCATCTTGCCATCAACACACAAGACCAAAGATGTAAATTTCCTGAACAAACTACTTGGGAATCGTCTCCAGCTGAAACCTGCAACTCCAAATAGCTGCGCAGGCTACATTGCTTCCTACACTATCATCATCATCATCATCATCACCATCACCATCACCATCACCATCATCATCATCATCATCATCACCATCACCATCACCATCACCATCACCATCACCATCATCATCATCATCAGCATCAGCATCAGCATCAGCATCACCATCATCATCATCATCATCATCATCAAACAAGTGTGCATGTGTCTGGCAAGATCATCAGGGCAAAGGATTTTGATGACTCTGGACAAGGCTTGTCCAGTTCTTACCCTGCTTGGTTGCTGCAAGCGGCATACTTGAAGTTCATGGAATAGTACTTGCTCGGAGGAGGCGCGCCATCTTCAGTTGGCCGTTGCTCCTCAAACTTTTTCACCTTGACAAGGCGGGAATAAGTGAAACCATTGAAAAACGGGACCTTATTTGCATGCAACTGTTGGAACAAGTTTCATCAATTTCGATGCCTTGAACCGCTGGCTTGGAACAGTGCTTGGCCATTCCCTTCAACACCAGTTTTGACATAGGACGGCGTTCTCTTCATGTTCGTTCACGTAAACGCCAAGCAACCCTCACGTTGACCAGGGGATCCTCTTGGCGACCTGTGGAGATCAAATCTCTGAGGCCATACCTCAGCGCGGCGCAAAACTTAATTACAAGCGACTCCCATCGATTCCCAATGGAAATGCACCGGCATGTGCGGGTGCAAAAGAGTGGCTTGGTTTGGATTCGCACACCTTTGCCAAAGGATACCATGCAAGGAAACCATCTATCCGTGCACGCTTAAGCCATTAAGCCAGGCATTCTTTCCATCTCAGCGAGGAATCCTGATGACTTGTGGCCAAGAAGCAGGGTGAAGTGAAGGGTCGCCTTTTTCAACTTTGAGAAGTGGCGCTTTGGGTCAAACTCTTCCTCAGCTGAGCGCTTTCTAGAGCCCTTTAGGCAAGGTAATGGAAGCCAAATATTCCACAAACGCCACCAACAATTTGTTTCTACATTGGAAAGCGGTGTCTGGATTGGTTTGGGTGTCCCAACTTAGAGACATCCCCCACTAGATCATCAGAAAACAAATCAATCAGCTGTCCACATCCATCACTCAGGCGCTGGAGAAACCATTGAACATCATGAGCCCACGTTGTCCGGTCCACAGTGGGGTTCCACAATTGCCAAGCTTCTTCGGAAACTGGCCACATCTGGATGGCTGGAAGGTCAGCTCTAAACTTGGAATGAAGAAGTTCAAATCCAATGAGGACTTCACCTGCACAAAATGCAACAACCATCAACAACCTCCCTAACTTTCCTGTAAAATCCTAAACACCCCAGGACAAGTACAGAAATGTTTGCAAGAGTGGTCGAGGAGCAATCGCAGGTCATGCATTTTCAAGCCTCTAAGATTATCTAAGTCCAAGCAAGCTCAACTTTCAAGGCCTTAATGGGCCATCTGGTCAACCTGAACGAATATATTGACTATGCAGCACAGGAACCCATGGCCACGCTTCCGTAGTTCCCTCCGAAGAGTTTCACCCATTGGGGCTGCAACCTCAGTGTCAGCACTCTCAAGGGCCCAAGGGGGTTCCAAGGGAACACAGCTTGAAATGTTGCCCATGGGCCTCAAATGCTGTGTCGCACGCCGCACCCGCCAAGGTTTGCAACAACAACACATTGAACTGAACAGAATCTGTCGTTGACCGGGCTGCAACTCACAAGCGCAAGCTCCATACGCCAGGAAAACAAGAGAAAGAAAGGAATGCCTGCGAAAAAACAGCAATATGATGCAATATGCAAATACCTAATACATGTCATGATTTTGTAGATTGCAGATAGAGAATGGTAGAGATAAAGTGGGTTCCTGGCGTTCGCGCCATATAAAAAAATGATTCGATATGATTCGATACTTAAATAATGCGCAAGTGACCGTCCCAAAGCTCTCTAGGACCAAGCAACCTATAAGGTTCCCATCTGCCCATGTTGTCTTTCTGCCGCATGTACTCGTATGTGCACACCGTCTTGCCGATGTCTCTGTCATTCCTTAGCCCGCCCCTCTTGCATCGATGCTGGCCACTACCTGGTCCGGTTTGCTGTAATGTAACTCAACTAATGCGGTGGACCAAAGAATTACAGTGGTACCCCAGGCTCTTCAGCTATTATAGCTATTCATTTCATAAGGAGTGCTAACCATTTCTGGCCCTCTAGCTTCCCCAATTTTAATGAGCAAAAGAAAGAAGAATGTAGAGTATGTAGAGTATGTGTAGAGTATCGTAGAGTATGTAGAATTGCGCATTTTGATGATTTTGATGGATGCTATCTGAAACCATGACCGAAACTGTTTTGCCAAGTGTCTTCACGCCCAAAATCGTCTGACTATCCAGCAAGGTCACCGTGATCGGCTCCATGGTGGGTGGCTCTTTGGGATGATCCGAACCTGAGATGAGGTCAACTGGGACAATCTAAGATGTATCAAATTGTATCAAAATGTACAATAATGTAAAATGTGAAATACTGTAAAATAATGTAAAATAAATGTCAATGCATCCCAATATTCCCAATATTCCCAATATATCCCAATAGTATAAATAGAGTTCCCTTTGAGTTCATCATAGTTCATCCAAAGGCCACATCCTGTCATCAATGCGGAACTCCGCCATCCTGGCTCTATCTATGCCTATGGCTATGGCGGATTTCTATGGCACCACTTGCACCCGGGTGGCACAGAGTCACTTTCAACTCCAAGGGCTTCATCCACATAGGTCGTACCTGTCCACCCAGGGCTGCTGAACTGCTGACATTAAGTCAAACGTGACAAACAATAATCGTTATAGTTATATATGGTTATATATATATATGTATAGTCGTCATGTATATTATGTTTTCATTTTTAAAGCAATAACATGCAATAACACCCGTTTCGAGCTGGTGGCGGGAATTGCAATGTCGGATTCTGTTTCGTCTCTTATGAAGCATGCATTGTTTGTGGGCACTTGGCCGGCTTCTGGAGCTGTAGTCTTGGAGATCCCTGCGCAAGCCACCCGCAAAGCCAGGTTAGTTGAAGCAGTATCCACCTGCACAGGATGAGCAATCTACGGCAACCGGAATCTGTTGGCAAATTCAGCTTCATTCCCTAGGGGTCATGGATGGTCACTACATGCCCTGACCTTGATGTTGCGGGCCATGAAGGCATAAGCGCGAACAATATACACCTGCACCATTGTGGTCTTTCACTGCGGTACCATGACTCTATGTGGCATGACATTTCTGGGAATCGCTCGACACAGAAGCAAAGCTTTGTGACAATTAAATCCAGTTGATCAGTAACATTCAGTGAATATGCAAACCATGAAAATGACAAGAATCTCTTTGTGCCAGTCCATTGCGGTCCATTGCAGTCGAGCTTCCATCGGCTTGACAGTTCTCCGATTGTGACGTGGCACGTCATCCGTGGTGAAGTGCTCGATGACCATCAAAACGGATCCGGGAATACCTGCAAAGAAACACAAGGGTCAACTCCACAGATACTGCCACACCCAAACAAACCAATATCAATACCTAAGTCTGGAGCGCATGCGAACATATGCCAATGCTATTGCCCCACATGTTTTCTTCATCGATTCAAACTTCAAAAGTGCAGTTCAAGTCACGAGCATGGGTGTTGAAAGGCATCGGTTCCAGCGGAATGTATCGAGGTCGTCCCGGATTCCCAGGTTCGTACTTCCGAAAGGTCTCGAGCTGCCTGGATCACATGGGGATCAGCATTCATGCTGAAGGCGAGCTAAAGCTGCCATATGGTGGTCTGACTATGTGTTTCGGATTTTTGGTTTCTGATCGGGGTCAAACAAAACCGATCGTCTACATAATCTCTGAGCAATAATGTGGTACTATGTAGTACTATAATATAGTATAGGATACATAAGTATACTATATGTCATACATTGATCTACATTGTACTACCATGTTGTGAGCATCCCCCTTCACGGCTGGGCTACATCAACGCAAACCGATGCAACACCAAGATCTTCTGTTGCCCTGGTTGCCCTGCCTCATCTGATAGCCAACTCGGCTTTTGCCTCAGGCTGGTGCAACAAAAAACGGCTCTTGTCAGATCTTGTGATTTGTTCTCAGCTTTTCCGACATCTTGTGACATCTTGTGACATCTTGTGACTTGCCTGAAAGGACACCACGAGTGTAGACGTTGACCATCACCAGCGGCTGTGACTTGGCTTCTTCTGGCGCCATGGACAATATGGGTTCGATTCGACCTTGCTCCTGAATCGAGGTGGTCGGCTCGTGCTGCAGAACAGCAACGCCAAAATGGGACTGACATATATTATACTTAACATCACTGCATCTGATGCACTGCATCCTCTTCATACTTAGTCAACAATCCGATCCTCCCAGAAAGCAATTACTGACCACTGGTCCTGCGTGAAACTGAAGGTCGTGACGTCCTCCACATCGTAGACACGATCGTCTTCCCCAAAATCATCAGTCACTGACTTCTGGCCATGCTGCTCAATGGCTGCAATCTTGTCAAGGCCACCTCATGCCGTTGGCACCGCCAAGGCACATGAAATAAAAATGGCAAAATGAAGATGACAAAATGACTCACAATTCATCGAATGAACGCGCTAATCTTTGTCGTGCTGCCCAACAGCCAAGATCATTCTTCAATTCTAATGTGGCTCAAGGATCCAAACAAGCAAGAATCAATATGAACAAAGTCTGCCAATCTGACCCCATATGTCTCAAAATGTGATGTGGATTGATGATGATTGATGGTGATTGATGAGCATGGCTTGCCTGGTGATACCCACTCCTTGGTCTCTTTGGTGCTGCTGCCAAAGGCCAGTTGCACCTGACATTCTCTGCCCACTGCTCCGCACACCTCGTAGACATCCGCCAGCCTGTCAGCCAAAACATGGCTTCGGCGACTTCGGCTGATCTGCTGACATCGTATATTACTAGGCCCAAGACATCTTCAAGGATCTTCAAGCGTTCAAGGCATGTTCTGACATTTTGCCAAGAAACAGTGCCAGTTGCATGTTGCGAGGCTCCGGTGCAGATCCTCATTTCACAATAACTTGATGTTTGGGCACCGGGCACCACACTGCAGGGCCAGTGCAGCAAGGAGAAACTCCTTTTGGGATACATAGTTTGAAAGACCAAACTTGAATCCAAGCAATGGCTGTGATTCTCGCCGTTGTATCTGGATGCCTCATGATGCCTGCGCTGACCATATGCCGAGTTTCTGGACATGGTGATGCCGGCCGGCATCATGGTATCTTCTGCACCCAGGCGTTCCACCCGCCCGCTGATGAGAAGTTTGCCCTTGAAAAAGTTGGGCTTAATGTTCCTCAGGTGATGATAACTTCCCCCGAGTCAGGTTGGGTGAGTTGGGTGACAAGAGGAAAACAGCTATAGCATACAACATGTTGCCATCTCATAGCGAGAGGGTAGTGAACGTACAGGATACAGTAAACAAGTGACCAACTTCATGCCTACCTGAAACTATGAGACGTTTGGATACATGTAGGAGCACAATCCCATACAAAAAGGAATCAACCAGCTGTAGAAATGTACCGAGACTGTCGGCCCATCATTAAGCCACGGTGTAGTTGCAAGCCAAACACCACAGTGCCACAACTTTAGGATGCGTTAGGCACTAAAGATTTAAGAGTCTTATCTCCCTACCGTGAATCACCACAGTTCTAGAGGTTCATCTTGTTCCATGTGGATCATGTGGATCGGTTTTAGGTAGTCTAAAATTATTTTGTATGATGTTGATAAATGATGATAAATGTGTTGTGGTGGGCCCAGGAGTGCGCTTGTGATTCCAGTTTTGTGCAAGCAGCTCGCCACTCTTTGCGATCTGCTTCACATCGGGTACCTCTTCAGGATCCCAACCTTGGCAGCCACAGGTTAATAGGGCTACTGAGAGGCTCGGGAGCGCTACTTGGCTACCAGATTAAGCAAAGCACAACCAACTAAACTGGCTGTCAAACATACTCTCTACAGATTTCAGCGGACCATTTCCTGAAAACCCAAGCAGTCTGGCCAAGGCACCATAGAGACAAAACCACCTCGCAGGCAAAGAGTTGTTCCGCAGCTCGCTGAAGGAGATTAAACCTACACAGGTTGTCAATGGTCGGCTCCCTACCTGACTAATTTGGAACCATAAGGGGCATTTCCATGCATTTCCAAGAGGAAAAAGAAACAAAGTGTTTCTTGGGTTCCATCAGGTTTATTGTTCATGTTCCCTGTTCCATGTTAAATTTGACCACGGTGAGCTGTATGATCAAATTGAAGCTACTCGCACAGAGATTAGAGCTGTGAGAACATGTGAGCGCATGCGAGCGCCAGTTGACATCAGCCCCCTTGCACCCTACATAGACTTGAGCGGAAGAATGTTACAAATCTCCAACGTCATTGTGCTGAGCAATGCTGCTCACTGAGGATCTTGCTATATCAGCTGCCAAGGATGAATTAATGCCGTTATATGCCGTCTTAAGATTGTCTTAAGTACAGGATGGGAGCCTTGTGCTAGCAATGAGTCAGGCGTCATCGTCAGCGCAGAGCCGCCACCTATACGCGGAGGGTCGGTGTGGGTGTAATGTTTCCAACATGTTCGAACTACTACGGTAATGAACGGGACTTGTTGCGTACGTTGAATGTTCTGTCATGCAAAGGAGTTTGGGGAAATGTTGGGTGGTGGAGCCTATCAACAGTTTATTCTAACGGCGGTCTTGATCTTAGCTTAAAAAAAGAAAAAGAGCGACCAAGACACTCCAAAGTTTGATGAGGATGGTGTCCTCATAAACCTGCCGTTTGCCATGACAACAATGCCATGCTGGCACAGCTTGATCCCACCACTCTTGTGACCTCTTGATTTGTGAATATTGTGAATCAAAGTCACGGATACTGTAACTTAAAGAGATCTTAAAGAGCTTTCTGGTTTGGTAGGCCAACAACACACACAGCCAATTACTCTAGCGATACATTTCACACCTCACATTCTTGTTTGAACTATAATTTTGACACGACTTCTGGATTCTGAGCTGTCACGACAACCCGCTGTCGCCACATGTACCACCCAAAAAATATTGACTTCTACGCCTGAAAGTCGCAAGGCAAAACTACAGTTGGTCACTGTCACAACGAGCACTAGCAAGTACAGGTCAACCTATGTCAACCTGCTTAGCCCAGGCACAGGGGTTTGAACTGGTATCCGCGCACATTCGTTCCAGGTATATTGCTCCACGTCATACGCAGGAGTTGTCTTCCTCGGCGCAGAATATTTTGCCACAGAAGGAGGAACTGCCCATGCCATTTTCGAAGACTGCAATGAATATCAATGATACTGGGGAGGGCAGCTCCCATACCACCCACCGTTCAGCCCGCCAGCGATACTACAGTAGCATACAGTAGTATAGACAGTATAGAGTACGAGTAGCATACAGTGCTTGTAGCCAGGTTTCACACATGCACCTCCAAATTCCACGGTCACGAAGGGGTTGGGATTGGACCCGCTGATCTTCGCCAAATTCTCGGCCCTATAGATGTTGATCAGCACCTGACAGGCATGATAGGACTTGAATTCCGACCCCGGGGCCCCGGGAGCAGCTCACAAGATCAATTACAAGTCTTGATTCAGTATCTTTGATCCAAACAGGTCATCAAGGGACATAAATGACGTCCATTTGGTACACCATGAGAAAACGCGGTTTCTACGCCTTTCTCTAGTGATCTCTGGTGAAGCAAAAATGTGAAGCTCCTCAGGATCCAAACATATCCTGGCATATCCAAGCCACGTGATAGGATTTCCCAGTGTCTGCCGTCTCTGCAGAGGATCCGAGGACTGCTTTGCCTTAGCACTGGTCATCACAGTCATCACATGTTCAAACCTTTTTTGGGAAAGGATTAGCAGCGGTTAGCAACCAGGCTCTCATGGGTGATGGGATCAAATGGGATTAAACTTGCATGTGCACACTTGGATGATAAATGCTTGTTGTCTATTGCTATGTGATTCTACCAGTTTTACAAATGGTTCTATAATGTTCTATAAGCATGGTTCTACTGTATGTGTCGCTTTGTGATAAACATGTCATCCCTCTTGAAATCAGCACTTTGGCCCAGAGCTGCTCAGATCTTCCAGGTCTTCCGCAGCATCACCTTCCTCCTTCACCTGCAAGGCTGGCCATGGCCATAGCAGGCATAGCAGGGTGGCTAGGGCACGCGATGGCAAGCGCTGCTGCGCCTCTTCCCCTTGTGGCGCTGATTCGCCGGGTTTCAAGCAGAAGGTAGTCAAGGTGATCATACCTGCTGGATATCGGATGGAGCAAGGGATGAGGGAAGAACATGAAAAACAAAACGATCCATATCATATATATATATATAGGTGTGCGTGTGTGTGTGCGTGTGTGCGTGTCTGTGCTTCTTCACCAGGTAAAAACCTACGTAGAAATACGCCTATCAACAAGTTCGGCCTTAATCATATGTACAACACAGATTCAACACAGTAGCTAGAAACTAGAAACAAATAAATACAAATACTGAATACTGCAGTTGAGTTGTTGAGGACCATTGAGCGAATCAAAGCACACAGCAAAGACCAGATCAGCTTGCGAAACGATGCGAAACGTCCTGCCTGTGGCAGCTGTCTCACCTTCCTTTCGCAAAGGTAATGACTTCTTCATGTAGACATGGCCTGGCAGGGTAAGAACTGGCTGTATAATGCATGCGACCCAAGAAAACTGGAAGCCAAGGGAAGGTAATAGATGTAATGTAATAGATGTAATAGTGAGGTCTGGGGTCATTGAATCGATCTGTCACAATGCCATGAAACAGGGCTACAATGTGCTATAATTACCCAGTCGATAGAGAGACAATTTGCACCTCATATGACTCATATTATGGCATCGAACACGCCACCCGACCTTGCCGCGCGTTGATGCTCTTCAGCTGGAGGAAGGCTTTACCGATGAGGAAGTTTCGAGTGAACCAATTCCTGCTGCAAGAATTTTGGTTCCGGCTTTAGAGGAGGGCTGAGACCACTGCAGAGTCTCGTTGAGTTCGCTACCATTCCTTACCCCCAAACCCGCGAAGGTTTCATTGTTTGATTAATTGCGCCCTTCACTTCTTCATGAGTTGCTCCTTTGAGATGGACTCACTTATCCCTGGCTGCGTGATGCGTACCAAAATTACCAAACCACCACAGCCATACCTGGCGCATTTGAGGCGCCTCGCATACACAGAGAACTCGATGTAGGCCGATTCGAACTCCTCTGGTGAGAGCTCCACATCCGGCCAAATATTGTCCTCAGGCGAAGGGATGGGAAAAGATTCACGAATTAGCAATGGCAGCAATGACAAGCTCCCACCACGCTATAATTAATGTATTAAAGTGTAGTGGATAAAGAGGGAAGTGTTGATTAAGGCTAAGGTAGAAATGTAGGCAACTTATTGGCAGGTGTAGGCGCCTCGTTCCAGGAGACAAACATGGCCTTGGCCTCCTTGGTGTCGGTCTGGTAGCGCTTCCCACAGCACTCCACCACCACGAAGGGGTCGCATGGCAAACTATCTTGCGTGGTGAGGTTTCTCGCCTTAGATGACAAGATATGACAAGAATGTGCAGAATCACGGGATACAAAATGCATCAAAAAGGGGATAACCACAGAAGGATGGTGAAGAACTGAAGTGAAACTTGGAGGGTTGCATATTGATTGCATCATTTTACAGTTCAGAACGTGGTGAACACATGTGTAAAAAACAGCTTCGACATGTCGAAGTTGCATCTGCGATCTCAAAGCCAACCACATACTTCTGCATGTCAACCCGGCATTGTGGGAGCAGCCACTTGTTGCGCACTATTGGCCGCTTCTTTGAGCCAAAGTCATCCAATCCCCAAACGTATCCAAATTCCAGACCACACGCAGGGAGTTTTGCTTTTTGTCCAATGCATAACGCAACCATATATCATATAAACACAATAATACCTTCCGAAAGCAGCATGCACACATGATCTCAAACACTCTGCCCCTGAATTTCACATCTGAACAGACTGCAGTGACGGCAGTGAAGACTAAAGTTGTGTGCAAAAGTAGGGCAATTCGAAAGTGAACCTCTCAAGATACAAACATCATTGATCCATCATTGATCAATACAACAAACAACGACAGGGACCAACTTGCTGCCGCCTCTGTGTTTCTCATGGCATACGCAACGTTGATGCGCAAACATGGGCCACCTGGGCAGGCTTCACAATGACCAGTGATGTGGGCACAATCATGATACAGCAACCTCATGCAACCTCCATGTGCCGACCTACCTCCTGGACCTATAAGGGACCAGTACGGGAGCTATAGTTCTTCATGCGTTCTTTGTGGAAGCGCAAAAGCAAGCTGTTTACCTCGTCGTCTGGGTCGGCTCAGCAGCAATGCACGTCGTCGTTGCTGCTCGCCCATGCGTCTTAGTGAGGCAACATCCAAAAACCACGGAGATCCACGGAGCACCGTGTGGCGATTCCGAGCTCAGCTGCGGGCCAACTGGGCTCCTGCCACGGCACAGGGAATCTTGGCCAAAATGCTGCAGTGGAAGAAAACAAGGGCGGCGGCCATGCTGGTGATGAGTCCAAGGCAATCTAAGGTGGATTTTCTGGCTAGCTGTTGAACCAACCACTTGGCTAGCTAGAGATTGGAAACCGTAAGATGGTGAAAGGACCGTCTTCCACATAATATACTGCATACCCATGTTGGTTGAGAGCTCTACTCTCAAACCGAATCAAACCTACGAGGTAGGTCCGGCCTGAGGCAAGTTTTAAAGTAAAATCGAGGAAACACAAACTGCTTGTAGCTACAACCAACTCTTCTGCAAGCCCATCACGGCAGGATCATCTTTTCTGATTTTTTCCGAAGCACGCGCAGCTCAGGTGCCACCATGTGCCAGCCTGTGCCCACACCTTTCGAAGAAATCGCATGAATTTACATCGTGGACTTGAATGATGTGATGAGACTAGGAATGGACCATCTGTGATCATCTCTGACACAGTGCGAGATCCTGCATGCTTGCACCAAATAATAAATAAATATATATATATATATGACGGTATACCATATACCATATATTATAATATCAAATGAATTCACATGATACCTCTCAAATTCTCGCAACCTGTCAACCCTACTACTGTTTTGAGAAACGCGTGATACAGGACTCAACCTAGATCGCACAAACGATCAAACACGCATCCACGTGAAGAACAAACAATTAATAGGAATGGGTTGGAAGAACGAACACTTTCTCACCTTTCTCTGACAATACCTCCAGCATCCTGAAGGGATCTGAAGTTCAATCTATTTCAATCTGAAAATGAAAGTGACCTGGCAAGGAGATGCAAGGAGAAAACCCACATACCCAGTATGCCATATGCCCACACCCCTGAGGTCACCACGATCAATAGACATTGTGGGGACGAGGCTCCCTTGGCACGTGCCACCAGATCCACCAAGGGAAAGGACATAGGAAATCAAAGGAATCACATGCAACCATTCGGCGCACAAGCTTTCATGTCATGTGACTGGGCATCATGGGTAATGTCAAGTCAGGATTTATCAACCCCCCCTTATTAATCAACCTCCTCCTCCCCCCCCAAAAAAATGCAATTTAAAAACAGGTGGTCCCCCCAGATTAATAAACACCCCCGATTAAAAAAACACCAGTGCTGAAATCCATTTTTTATCCAACAATGTTTATTTCCAATCCTATTTATTTCCAATTATTTTTTACATGTTTTTATCATCATTGTTATACTTAAGGTTTAAGTTGATCATTGAAAATTTCAAAAAACAACTATTCCCCAAATGATCGATTTTTAATTAAAATCTTTATAAGAATCATCAGTTTGGATAGCTCCCAAAGTGTACCCCCCATGAGCCCATGTCCCCCATTAATAATAACCAGGGTTTGCCCCTGATTAGTCAACCACCTTTCTGATCCATGAGATTTTAACAAATCCAATGGAAATCTATTAAGATCTAATTGACGTAAGCCATATCCAAAGTTTTATGGTTCAGAGTTGATTCTTATTAAGGGGGGTTTAAGGGGGGGACCTACAAGGTAGAGTTCTGACCTTCTGGGGGGGTTATTAATCCGGTGTTGGCATTATCATGATAGTGCCACATGTGTCACTCACTATCAAAGTCAAAGTCTTAACAACCTACCATGTCTCGGAACATGCAATAAGTGCATTGCATGGGAACTTGGAAGCAACATGAAGAGCTTCGCGGCCGCGAAACGCATTAGAATCATTAGAATCACCCCGAATCACACATCTTCTGTTTGATCAGTTTGGATAACAACATGTTGCCATTCGGAAAGCTGCAATCAGGTTCCCTCGTTTCACCGGCAAGCTGCGTGCACAAGCTGCCATCATGGACTTTCAGGAAGGTCTGCCTTTCGCAAAGACCATACTCTGGACCCATGAGGCTGAGCTGCTGGTAGCGTACCCCTCGGGTTGCCTGGCGGAGGTCTTAGTCTTAGACTGCTGCAAATGCCATCCGGTGAATCGCCCCCGGAATAGTTGCTTATAAATTATAAATTTGAATTACAGTAATTAGATGTAATTAGTCAAATTCGATCTATAATGTACTTATACACATGTATTTACAACCAAGTTAAGTGTCTATGACATCCTACAAATACCCGTAATTCACTGTGTTTTGCACATTGAATTCCATTGATCCTATCGAGGCTCCTGGTCTTTTGATGTCTTTTGATGGCCAGCTCAGCTCACTGCCCTCTGCCACGTGCGACTGGGTGTGCCCCACATAGCTGATGTTCATGTGCGTGTGCCCAAAGATGTGCAGTGGAGCGCCAATGGTTTGGATCTGCCTTCAGGGAGTATGGGAAGAGCCTGGAAGAGCTACAATAATTTGAATGTTAATTTACGATAATCATTGATCTCAATATATCTCAATGCCGGAACATGCCGGAGCTCATGGCATTCATGGCCAAGGCGTCCCCAACTATTTAACTTTTACAGGGCGCTGAAACGAGTATTCCACACTTTCCTAGGCATCTTCAGGAGCAGCAAGATAATTCTCAGGAGCAAAGACATGCAAAGATATGCAAAGACCCTGTGCATCTCAACTTGCAGCCTTTGTGGGAAGTGGCTTGGGACATTCAACTAGCTGAGAAGCCCCAAATGGGCCCCTGATCTTGTGAGTTCCGGTCCTGTGTGGCAACTACTAGTAACAGTAGGTCCCCGGCTCTTCAAGCTGCAAACATCCGCTCGCCTGCATTCGAAGGCACATAGATATACGGGAGGTTCTCTAATGGCACCGACCTAACAAGAATTAACTTTAGTACAATATCGCGGTTCATGGAGAAAAAAACACTACATCACACGGAATGTCAAAACCATAGATGCAACGATTGGATCAAATCTCAAATATTTTCAAACTAAATCTATAATTACACGGGTTAAACGTCACAGCTGACGCAAGGTCTTCCATCATCAAGAAACATCCTTGTTGAACAGCACATGCCTTCACCGGCGCCCCGCCGCAGGGAAGATCGGATGTGGGCCTCAGTGGCTGAGGGCTGTCTGCAAAGATCTGAGAGTCGCCATTCATATTATTTCATATTGAATTCTCTATACTCTGCGTCTGTCAAATTCTGAAAGCATCCCATTGCCACCCATTTTGCTTCACCGCTGAGTCCTTTAGGGTCATCCTAGAAGACCCAACCCAACTGGAGTAACCTTGTGCCGTTGGGTGCTCAGTCGTTGCACAATGTTTCCATCTGACAGTGTCACACCATGACTGTTTATTGCCAAGGTGATGCTATACAAATCAAGCAAAGTCCGGGGTGCGGCAAAAATGCATGTCGATACAGCCCATCTGATTCCAGGGCCATATCTGGCCACTTTACAAGATGGTTCGATGTCAGCCCATCTCATTCCAGGGCTAAGCATCAGTGCATGCTTGAAGTGGCTGCATGGGGCCAACCCTCACCTTTCAGAACCAGGTAAACGACCAAGTGTAAGGACCGTGCCTGTAAGGACATAGGTCAAGGATAGTCAAATGATGACTTTTGGCCTAGGATTGCTCAGTACCTGGATCATCGTGGCTGGTTGAAAGCACCGAGCTGACATGCCTGAGAATCCTAAGGATACAGCTGCTACAGCTCTCAAGCCTTGCCAGCATTCCCTTTGGGAGGAATTTGTCTACTCTGACTTGCAGCTTGGCAAGCACCTGCCCGTGGTGGCTCGCCGATAACTGATCATCAAAATGTTCAATCCCTGCAAGCGGAACAGAAACCTGGGTCAGTGCCCAATGGACACAAACATCCTCTGCTGCCAACCGCTACTACTGGGCGTGACAATTCTGTGTATACATATATATATATATTATATATATCAGTATATATATACACATTATATCTGTGTGTGTGCGCATACGATGTGCAGTATGTAAATGACATTCTTAATGTTGTATCCTGATTAGTGGCTAGGTTCGCTATTGTGGCAAGAATTTTCCAAATTATTCTGAACCCATGTATTGTTTGGAAGGTTCACTATTGTGGCAAGAAATCTTGGGGGGGCAATCTTGTTTGTCCAAAAACATGTTTGTGTAAAAAAAACGAACTTTTTTTCTGAAAAAATATTGCTTTTCTCACTGTCGCAAAAGAATCAGACCCTTATTAAAGAACAGTTTTTCCACAAATTTCCAAGGCATTGGGCCATGAGAGGGTGCAATTCACTTTAGTAGGTTTGTTCGCAGGGTTCACAATTGCAGCAAACGTTTCCAGAGCTGATCCTGGAGCCAAGAGAAAGAAAAGCCTTTTACAAAAGCAACCTGTTCTGTCTCTTTCTCTTTCTCTTTCTCTTATCCTTTCACTTTATCTTCCTCTTCCTCTTGCTCTTCCCCTCCCTCTTTCTCTTCCTCTTCCTCTTCCTCTTCTTCTTCCTCTTCCTCTCTCTCTCTCTCTTTTTCTCTTTCTCTCGTTCCCTTTCTCTTTTCTTTCTCTTTCTCTTTCTCTTATTGCATGGTTCATTCAGAAAAAACTTAAGGTGAAAAAGGTAACGCAATAACATGCTGAACCCCACTCACTACAAGTATTAAAAGTACTACAAGTACTACAAGTACTACAAGTTCATCGGCAAAAAGAATGTTATATAATTTGATTTCAATTGTAGCCAATTGAAATTCTTACTTAAGTGTAGTTTATTTCCCTGGGACACAACTTTTTGGCACCCAACTATAAAGAGGGTTTGGGGGGGGCGTACACTAATCAGGACGAAACATTACATTGGTCAAACCAGTACCGGGAGGCATCAGCACCAGCAACGCGATGATGTTGTAGAAAATGGTTTCCACATGAGTCTCGCCCATGGGCCAAATTTCGTCCATGCCAAGAGAAGCAATGCCCTGATCACAGGTCAACACTGGGCAAATGCCGCCTGAAGCCATCATCTCATGGGCCGTGCAACAGAAATCGCAAGGAGAATCGTCACAGAGATCTGGGGAACTGATGCGCCACACTGCAGCGTTGCACTCCGTTTTCTCGGAACCTCGGGAGAACATACGAGAACTCTCCCCAGGAGAGATGACAGTATCCTAACGGTCCTAACTCTCATGAGCAAATGGATTTTCAGACTCACCGCAAACTATCCAACAAAAATGTAAACTTGAGATGATGCTGCCCTTCATTGTTCAGAGATTGACATGGTGAACAACACTGAAAGATACTGAAAGCAAGCGGTATGTTGGCATGTCGCCTGCACCATGACCGCAACCGATGTGCTTCATCCTACCTCAGCTTGACATACGGGGTGTTCCTGTCTTGAAGCTCAGAAAAGCAACAGGTAAACTCGTTCACCACGGTAGCTTGCACTGCGTAGCGTGCCACCATGAGGTAGCTGATAGCATTGAAGGGCTGATACAAGTCTTCGATCTTGATGAAAAGCCCTTCCAGGACAATGTCTATACGGTCTCTACTAGTCAAACAAACTGGTCAGAAACAAACTCAAACTATATAGACATCTACTCGAGACAAACACGCAAACACCAACAAACACACACACAGAGAATGCCACCCAGTCAGGCATGAAAGCTCTATATGAAAGACCGGAGAGACACAGCGGAGCCTCCCAGCAAGAGCTGTGGCATCACCAAAGCTGGCGCAATAGACAAAGCCAAATTCACGCTAGGCACAGCTGCTGAGACGCAAAACCCAACAGCAGCACCACAGTTCGACACCACCTCGCAAGAGCCCAAACATAGACTTAATATGACTTAACTCAATATATAAAATTGAAAATTGACACGATAATAATTAGATTCAATCTCTGATCTGACTTGGAATCAGTTCTGTTCTGTGAATGTGATTTGGATTGTTATTCCTGCAACAAACACTGCCACTCTTACAACAGCCACTTTTCCAGTCACATATTCTGAGTTTGCGCTTGAATTGTAAAAACTATCCTACCATCTGCCGTTAGCCTTCATCCAACCCCAATCCATCAATAGACACTCCAAACGGATTTCGGAAAACATGCTGTAGGCTCTAGTGAATCCTTCAGTATCCTCATCTTCTGTATTTATTTTTGTTTTCTCGCTTTGAAGGGTAACACGGTAACATAAACATCTGCTATGCAGTCATTTTGGCCAAGGCACCGCCATGATGAAGTAGAAAATGAGAACGCGGTCAGCACTCTCACCGTTCAAGCCAATGAGCGGGTAGCTGATCGCTACCACCAGAATTGGAAACGCGCACTGCATGATGGTATCCTCATTCGGCAAAACATGCGAAACTAAGCTGAGTTGAACAATGCAAGGCTGAAGAAGGACATCAACAAAAACACATTCAACGAGAAACAAGGATCTTAAATTGAAATGATGTAGATATACACAGCAATTAGAGTTCTAAACATCTATATATAATTGTTATATATATAAGTACACTGTTCCCAATTTAGGGAACACCATTTTTCAAGACCATTGGGGTTGCCCTGGAAAAAGAGCAAATACAGTACGGACGGTCTCTAAAGCAAAAGGCAATAAAGACCTTTGCCAAGTAGAACGCCGCTGGATGATAAAGCTTGTCTTGCGTCTCGCGCAGGAAGACGGCCCGCTCCGCAGGGAATGCATTGACCACACCCAACAAGGCAAACATAAACCTGAGTTTCCCATAGGAGACTCTGAGAGTGGCACGCCTTTGAGTGCTTCAAGGCTTCTGAACCCTATGTAGTTGAATTTATAACTATGGTTTCTGGCTCTCGCCTACAGTATCTTACTTAACGATTCTCACAAATTCTAACTAACAATTTCTCACAAATTCTCTATACAGTTCAATCCAAAGGCGATATCTACAGCATAAAAAATATGCCACAGCGACTTTAATCACCGCCAGGCAGCTGGGCAAACACCAGGAGGAAACTGGAGAAGAGACGTGGCGAGAGACTGGACATGTTGCGTTCCAGCTGCAGAAAGATTAAACCAATCAACAAGGCCGACGCGATGGACTGCACCGATCGCACCACCGTGAGGGCCTCACCAGAGATCTTGCTCAAATGGATCTCTCTCTCTCTCTCTCTCTGTGCATTTGATAAAACAATTACTGGTAATAATTAATTAACTCCCTATATATCTCCAGAGTCTGAAAAAACCCACGATTCTCAGGCAGCCCGAGCTATTCCTATAGGATCCTATTTTAAGGTTCCCGTTGTTGATTTCCCTACCTTGTTCCGCTTCACATTGACCAATTCCCGTTGGAACAGAATTGCCAACTGACGGCAAGGCCCCGCACGCTTCACCGGAGCTTCCGACTTGGTAGGACTGCCATGGTCTGCGCCGGAGGCCTTGTCAGAGAGCCTCGGCGTTGGAAACACACCGGATTTCATTGGCAAATTGATTGGCAAACTGCCAACGAACATACTGCCATTAACATGCTACCATCAACATCAACAACCACCCTTGTTGTATCGATGGTGAAGTTTCGGTTCATGAAAATTTAAGCCCAGTGACTGCTTCAGCTCCTTCAACTTGCCAACATGAGCTTCTTTCTCAGCTTCGTCGCCGGGTATCTCGAGCACATCCAAGAGCAGCTCAGGCAGTGGGATTCCTCCAGGGTGACCACTGGTGACGCCAAAGATCTCTGACTTTCCAACCGAGCTTTTACAAATCATTGGATTATTCTGAATCCACACCATGGTTCAACTGTCCTATGCCAGTTTGTCAGGGTCACCCTTTCTCCACCGCATTCCCCCGTCCTTCAGGACAAGCAAAACCCAACTGCTTCAAGCACCCCCTGAGGCTTTTGACCTCACCATAGTAGGCCACACGTCCAGTTTCCAGGAGGAGGACTTTGTCAAATCGGGCGAAGACAGCTTCCTCGGCGCTTGGGAAGAATACGCTCGATTGACATAGGATGAGGGGGAGAACTGGATATGACAATGATATAACATGATATAACATGATATAACCGCATGGGTTCTATTGAGCTTTATTGAGCTTTATTGAGCTGCCAATTCAATAAGCGTACTGACGTGACTGGTTCCTTGGCTCCTAGGATCTATGTCACTATATGTCACTATGTCTAGCTCTTGTTTAGGAGTTGTTCTGTCCCTTTCCCTTCTTGCAGCGTAAGTGCAGGACGGAAAAAGGGAACCAGCGACTGAAGACCAATCGAATCCAATCGAACAAGTTTCGGATGGCTGATGGATTGTAGCAATGACAGTGCAACCCTGCTCCCCAATTTGCTTCACATCGCGCATCAGGGAGTCAGACATTTTGGAGTCCAATCCACTGGTGGGCTCGTCCAGCAAGAGCAGGGTAGGATTCCTGGGTGCCAAGAAAGAATGGAACCAGCAGCACAACTGTCCGGGAAATGCGACACAGATTCCACATACAGGCAAACTCTGCCTCGATCGTGGAAGCCTTCAAATGGAATGTGCCCCAGGCATTACCAGTCACCACCATAATCAGCACAAAATACAACACATTACAACACATTACAACACAGAATTTATCACAACTGAAACAAAGAAGAGCAGTCCCCAACAAGGACAGCGCCACATTGGTGCGCTTCCTCTCACCACCAGAGATGCCACGGACGAGTCCTGGGGAACCCACCACCGTGTTGCAACATTTCTTCAGGTTCAACTTCTCGATGACACCTGGAATCACCAGAGTCACCAGAGTCACCAGACTTCGGGCTGGTTTCCACATGTTGCAACATGTTCCCAACATGTTGCAACATGTTCCCAACATGTTACAACTCTTCCCAAGTATTAAACTACTGTATATTAAACTTCTACCTTGACATAGGGATAATAGATGAATATAGATGATAATAGAAGTTTAATTTAGGGTCAACTTCAACTATACTATAGGAATCTATAGGATATGTTTCGCTGTTGGAAAGAGTGCAGTGAATAGGAGACACACAAAGACATGCAAAAGATGGGGACCATCCTCTTGCAAAAGGTTACAGTAATCAGGATACAAATTCATCAAATTCTTTGTTTATTGTTTTGTAGGTCATTTGTCATTTTCTGAGCAGTCCTGCCTTCCACCACCAGGGAGCGCTTCTCTTTGTCTAGTTTTGGTAGAATGAAAGCAGCTGCAAACATCAAGTTCTCCCGAGGTGTCAAGGTTTCCTCAGGTTTGAGAATGCTGTCACAACATGTCACAACGAACTTGTCAATAAATAGCTCAGCTTGAAAGCCGGCATCTCCAAAAATCATCAAACATCGATATTTTCTAATTTTGTGGGCCATTGGGCCATTGTCGACACAACGTCTCAGCATGACTGCTCCAGCAGTAAATTACTTTACTTCGTGTGATCCCCACCATGACATTTATACATTTTCTTACTGGCAAATCTTCTGGCATTCTATCTGACATATCTTCTGACATTCTATTTGGCATTCTATCTGGCATATCTTCTGGCATATGATCTGGCATATCTTCTGGCATATCTTCTGGCATTCTATCTGGCAAATCTTCTGCCATTCTATCTGGCATATATCTTCTGGCACTCTATCTGACATATCTTCTGGCAATCTCAATCTGGCATTCTATCTGGCATATCTATCTGGCATATCTTCTGGCATATTTTCTGGCATTCTATCTGGCAAATCTTCTGGCATTCTATCTGGCATTCTATCTGGCATATCTTCTGGCATATTATCTGGCATTCTATCTGGCATATCTTCTGGCATATATTCTGACATATCTTCTGGCATTCTATCTGGCATTCTATCTGGCATTCTATTTGGCATTCTATCTGGCATATCTTCTGGCATATCTTCTGGCATATCTTCTGACATTCTTTCTGACATTCTTTCTTTCTTCTGCACATTCTTTGTCCCATATCTTCCTACATGAGGTCCGGCAGGGAACACTTGGCATGGATACCCGCGGTTGAGGTCCGGCAGGGAACACTTGGCATGGATACTCGCGGTTGAGGTCCGGCAGGGAACACTGGGCGGGGATGGTCGTGGTTGAGGTCCGGCAGGGAACACTGGGCGTGGATGGTCGTGGTTGAGGTCCGGCAGGGAACACTGGGCGTGGATGGTCGTGGTTGAGGTCCGGCAGAGAACACTGTGGATCGCGGGTCGCAGTTGGACGAGGACGACGAGGACGACGAGGACGACAAGGAGGACGAGGAGGACGAGGAGGAGGCAGGAGGCAGGAGGCGGCAGGAGGAGGAGGCAACTGACATAAAATCTAACAACCCTCACCTGGCAGGTGGGGAAAAACTCGGCAACTTTGACACGAGCTTCTCAATGCAAAACAGCATGGCCCCGCACACACACACACTTGTCCCCCACATTTCAAACAAAGCTGAATGAGCTGAATGGGCCTAAGTGGGCCCAACAAGCAGACAAGTTTCGTACATGATGTCATCCTGAGTGACGTATCCAACATTGCTTCTGATCTTTCCCAGGGAAGCACCATCATAGAAAATGCCACCCTCAGTGGTTCCTGCCTCAGCACAGCCGCTGACTGCATGCTTACAAGAAGCAAAGGGATTGCGAACGCAGTGGTGTAAGAAAGTGCCTTGATGAAGGCTGGGTGTGCCACACGACCTTTTTTGAAAAGAGTGTGCCCCGTGGTATGAATGGTAGTTTCTCTCCCCTCTCCCCATCCCATATGCATCCCTCCAATGATTCATACCATCCAAGACCTCCGCCTGACCACAGGGTCAAAGAGCTGCCCAGCTGCAATGGGCCGTCCAACGATGCGGTTCAGCAGGGTGGTTTTCCCTGCCCCAGAAGGACCCATCAAGGCGACCACCTCCCCAGCCTGCACCAAACCGCTCACATCATCTAGGAGCTTTCGGCCACCTGCGGGAGCCAACATTTCAAAAGGCCAACGGCCAACGCTTCAAGCTACACAACCTCCCATGACTCCATGGAAACCCATAGTACATCATAGTACAGTATATCACAGTAATTATAATATCAGTACAGAGTATATCATGGTATATCTATATTAATATCTCCCATCTCTCAAAGCCCCAGCCCACACTATGTAAATTGTCTCAGGTCGACTCTTCGGAAGACATCTGCTTTCATCCGATGCTTGGCCCATCTGCCCCCACCTGCCTGCCACTTTGATGGTGAGATTCTCGATTGAGACGTTCATGACTTGTGACCGTGACTGGTGTTCAGCTATTGCGGATGTGGCGCTGAAAGTAGAGCCAAACAGCTGCAAAAACTGTAGCATGCCGTAGCTTTGGCGTCTCCCAGAAATAGGAGGACGTTCCTTGTTCCCAGGACCATGATTATACTCCTAGAAAACATAACTCTTGAATTCAAGAGGCACTTCCAAGGTAAGCTTGGCTGTCTTTGACATAAATGACGAGGGATTGGCCCGGGCTCAGTTCATCCTGCTTCCAAGCATGGTGCCACGATGACATTTGGGCATTAGCCCTCTCCGACTCAAGCAGCCCCAAGCTCCCCAGCAAAAAGTGGCTGAAGGTGATGACGTCACCCTTGCGCCCACGTGCCGCCTGCAGAAGCTGCTCTGATATTACTAGTATGGTAAGATAAGGCAACTGCTTGGGCACCGAATGAACATGAATGAACATTTAAAATGAGACCTGCCACTGCCACGCCTGTTGCTTCTGGATGCGCTGCACAAAGTAGTCATTCCACATCAGAAAGTACTTGTGCGCACCCTCTTCACCCATAGGCCACCTGAAAGCCCAACTCGGGCAGCACAAACACATTCACTGAGACAGTCTGTAACTCCCAAATAAGCAAATCTCACGAAGCAAACCGTACATGAAGTGATGGTTTGAGGCTTTGAGGCATTAAATACACAGAATTCTCTCAGACAAAACTCCCGCATGGCCGCTGAAGCAGCTGCATTAACAGTTTAACCCTTGTAGAAGCCTTGCACATGTGTCTCATGGTACTGATTTCAGCTCTTGGTGTCCCAGCTTGCAGAAGGAGTCGTACCGCACATCATCCGGCCGGGGGTCACCCTCACAAAACCTGAGCGAACATCTTCACACAGCCGCAAGTGATCCCAATGGATCTAAGGTCATGGGATGAAACAGGGAGGATGATTGAGGGTCAGCTATGGGATGTAGCTTGTCATTCACAAAACTAAGGAGAACAGCTAAGGATTGGGATGATTGGGATGATTGGGATGATTGATTGGGACACTTGGAGACTAGAAACAAGTTGCCCAAACAAGCCTTGAGAACAAGTTCTGGTGAAACCTGGTGAATTACATGTGATTGCGGACGGTTGACATGCGATAATAAGCATGAATTTCCTTTAACGGTATATAAGATAGATGATTGATAGATGATTTCAATCCGTGGCCTCTTCCGGCCAGCAAGAAAACATTGGTCGCCCGACGTGCAACTCCACCATGATAGCAAAGGCACCTCACTCCAGGAAAGGGGGATTCAGATTCTGATGGATTCAGAACGAAAAGCATTCGTCAATGAGCCGTGTCAAGTCAGAATGTTACGACAGCGGAAGTCAATTGCCCCGACAATGGGGGAAAAGGTTTCCCATGGTTTCCCATTCAAAGTGGCATTTCTGGAGAGTCTTTCTCCTTGAGACCGGAGCCACGTACACATCTGCCATCACCTGCCGAGTTGCACCAAAACGCACCCAGATCCCAGCAGTTTCGCCATGTCTGGTGATCCTCAGAGGGGCTGCAGCATGCTGCTGCTACCTTTCCACACTTTGCCTCTGCAGGCATCATCTCAGCACCAATCTTGTCACCTTGGAGGAGAACGGAGGAGACTGGAAAACTTCTATGCAAAACCAACAGCGAGAGCTGCGCCTTGGCACACACACACATGGAATACCGAGCGGACTCGAGGAAGTTGGTTTGTACACACTAGATGTGTTGCGTGCAACCCCTTGGTGAATCAATTCAATCATGTACTTCAGATCTTCAGGATGTCACAGGGCTTGCTGATGGGTTTTGATGTCAAAAAATCACTGAACTACACTTTGAGATACCCATTAGGATGCCATAGCTGACCACTAGCAATGGCCAAGTGGCACATTTCCAGCATCACCAAGAGTTTGTCGATAGAGTCCTGCTGGGGGACTAGGATGAAAAAGCAGGGGTAACTTCATCATCCAATGGGTCTTTCTGAGAAGCCCTTTTGGCACCAAGAGTTTCCAAATGTCACCGTCTGTCAATGTCAGTGTGTGGCCTCGAGAATAATTTCAACCCCGCGATCCGTTCCTTGAACTTCCTTTTTGTGGAATCATCCGTGTTTGGACGAATCCACATGTCCTGGGCAAAGCACCATTCAACACACATGCAATGAACTGAACGTGCTGAATGGCTTCGGAGCATTTCGGTGCCTATAGGTCTGAAAGATCCTGAAAGTGGCAAATATAAATATAATCAAATATGACAAACCTGTTCCATCCTGTTCCAACTTAAATTCGCTGTTCTCGCAGTTCGGCTGAGGGACATGATTGCCAGGCACGTAGAAGACACGTCTGAACTTCTTTTTGAAGATCATCAGGCCACGCCTCACAGCTCTTCACAGCTCAGGTGCCAATCACCTATGGTGGTTTTGGTGGATTGTCGCGGCACTTTTCGAGTTAAAAATGCTGAACAAACTTCTAGCGTACCATCACTTCTCAACATGCCAAAGTTAAAGGTGTTCCCATAAAGTGACCCGTAACTCTCTCTCTCTCTCTCTCTCCCTCTCCCACACAGGACAATGACTAGAGGAAAAACAGAAGTGCATTAGGGACCTGCTAGCCATAGACTCTGTGGTCTCAGCGGTTCGCACAAATCATCCCAAGATAAAACAGTGAGTTAGACAGACCAAGACATGACGCCAAGACATGACGCCAAGACATGTGACAACAGTCTCTCAAGTGAACCAGCACTCATGAAGCCAATGATAGAAAACCTTGTTTCCTTTGCCAGCTGTCCCGGATGAAAGCTGTACACTGTACACAATGTGCCACAGGTGGCACCATCTAAGGCAAACAGGCTGACATAGGCTGACCCTTCGTCAAATCAGATAGGTCCCCTCTGTGCTGAGGGGGAACGGCAAGTGTCTGGAATCATTGGACCTGGGGACCTGGCGAACGTAACCAGCAAATACAGCAGCACGATTAGATCAAGATGTCTCGTCACGTCACGTGTTGCAGCCTTTAGGTGAGATGGCTGGATCATGTTGGACCGAAGTTGGACCCCAGGAAGTGCTACTCTAGTGCAAAGGCTCTGCAACAGCAGATCAGTGATCCGCCCTGCTGCAGAGAATTCACAGCCAGGAAGTAGCAAAAATAGCGAAAGCTAATCCGAGTCTATCCAAGTTCAGTCAACCATCTCTGGTTCACCATGCGGTGAATAGGTGTTGCCCATACGGTAGACGGATTTGATCTCCTCAAGGAGCAAACACGCCAAACAGAATACTGTAGAACCCACAAAAAAATACTGCCGGGATCTGCCCGGGAATTCTCTTGCAAAAAGATCCGTCGCTTTTTGCTTCCCTCTGTCTTGCTTGCTCTTGCTTTCTTTTTTTTTGTCTCTCCCTCTCCCTCTCCCTCTCTCCCTCTCTCTCTCTCTCTCTCTCCCCCGATTCATCAGCTCCTCCAAATGAGCTGGGTCAAGCGCTTCCTGAATCTTTTGCCATTCCTGGCAGGTGCTGACAGGAAACTATGGACTCGAAAGATTTAAGAGCAAAAGGCTTCAAGCCCACTGTGCTGAAGCAGCACTAAATCATACTAAATCAATCACTGTCAGTCACATTTCAATTACAGCAGTGGCTGTACTTCTGAACTTCAGGAACAATTTAACATGTCATTGCATGGCTCCATCACGCTCCATCACTCGCAGCACCTCTGGTGTTTCCTGAAACTTCCTGCGGTTTTTGTTGAGCGTGTGTCGAATCTCTTCACCTCATCCCGACTGCTCGCTGGGACATCCTGCTACAACTCGGGTTGCTTCAATCCTGGATCATAACATATCATAACACACCCATACCCAGAAATTCATTGATCACAATTGATCATTCCCATTCTCCAAGACTGGAATCCGGGATCAATGTCAGGAGGCGCGTGAGCTCATTGTAGGCGATTCCCAACTGCTCCAGTTCCAGCCTGGTAGCAACTACGCAACTAAATGCAACTAAGCTTCGGGAGGGACTTCTGCAAGCAAACCATAGATTTAATAGATAGGGGGGCACTTGGATTCAAAATGTGATACAATGAGGAACTCTGGGCTTTGGACTTGCAATGCAAAAATCACCCCATCCCTGGCGCCGGGTCTGAGAAATTGCCCGCCACCAGCATAACAGAATGATCCTATCAAATATATCTGAGGGGGAGATGGTCTTGTCGAGGAGCTTCACCAGTGAGGTGTTCTTGCTAATGGAGGTCTGAATCGCTTTGAGGCCAGCTTGGTGAATGGTGTTGTGCACCAACACGAGCCCATTCCTCTGATCAGCTGGACATGATTTTTTTGTGGAACGTCAACCAGACTAAAAGCATCTAAAAGCGGTAAAGGGTTGCATCGCAAATCGATATCGATGTCGACGATGATGATGATGATGATGATGATGATGCTGATGCTGATGCTGACGCTGCCGCTGACGGTGACGAGGAGGAGGAGGAGGACGACGACAGCGAGGATGATACTGGTGGTGCTGGTGTTGGTTGCTGAAAATAATGCGTCCCAGGTTTCAAGGTGGAGTTCTCCTCTAGGGCTGCAGCGAGCATCATGGCGCCCTCCTGAGCGATCAGACCGCAATCGCTGCCTTTTTTCGGACACAGCAGTGCCTTGACCGCATCCCGCTGCCAAGGGGCATCAGTGATGCGATTGGGCACCTCGCCCAATGCAGAGGTTGCTTTCAGAAGACCCAAATCCAGGAAGCGCAAAGTGCGATTGCCTCATTTGCTGCTTTCTGAGCACTGCAGTTCAGCCCAGATCTAGCCAGCCCTTGATGAAATATGTGACAACGCGTTGCCAAACGTTGCTACCGAGTCACTTCGCAACATCTTTGCTACGGCGGCCGCGCCATCCACCGCCATCCCACAGGAGGCCAGGCACAGCCGTGTAACGGACGGGCTCAAGTTGGCACAAACCGCCTCCACACCTTCCTCACAGCCGTGGCCATGCAGCCAACGTTAAATCCGCCCTTCTCCCCCCAAAAAATACTTAGCAAATTGGCCTAATTATATATACAGTTATTTGATGTTATACACTTATCACATTACTTGACCAACCAATGGAATTGGCCAGAGGGTACCTATATATCTATATAACATCTATATCACATACCTAGCAGGACCTAACCCATAGGTTCAATCCGCCCACTCAGGCTACGGAACCCACAAAGCTGAGTTGCATCGCACAGTCGATTCATGCCCAAGGACAAGGTGTGGAGATTTCGACCTGCGCTGATGTTACATCAAAAGTGTCTGGCCAGTGGTGGCAGCCAGATGCCATGTCTCCCTCTATGACACCAATTTTGACATAGGACTGATCAAAACATATCAAAACTATAAATTAAGCTGGTGAGTATCCGCTGCCATGTTTGAAACACTGCAGGACGTAGGCCAACTGAACAGGTGCCGACGCCTGCAACCGCAATCCCTGCCGCTGTTTTGCTGGTTAGGCCATTGCCATCCAGGTAGAGATGTTCCAAACCTCGACATCAGTTGGCGACCCGTGGGTTTAACATGATGCTTGCAAGTTGTTGCATGATCGGCATGATCTGACATCTGCCTGCACAGCCTCATCACTGGAGTAAATGCATTACATGATCTTGCATGAATGCGTGCCGAATTCCACTTCCTGCAGCACGATATTTACTTTCGCTATAGTCAGATTCCATCACACTTCACAGCGCCCAGGAACTTGACTGCGCAATGCCATCCATCAAGGCCTCCGCGCCAGCATCCATCCTCAGCACAGATCAACGTGGTGATGCTAACGGCCCTCAGTGACAGCGATCATGCGAAGGAATGCCAAGGCTGCCAAGGCGCAAACCACAATTGACCAAATCCAAGACTTTCAAAGTGCGATTCGATTGCAGCATGGATGATATGAGGCCTGGCTTGGGTGTTCAACCACAACAGTACCATTTGCCAGCAACTGAGACCAGCAACAACTGAAATCTCACCGGCACCCCAGTCGCACACCAAGCCTGCGCCATCTGCATGTAGCGGATTTCGCTTCAGCCATAGCTGATGCACAAATTGATCATCTGCAGGGGAGCAGCTGCAACTGAACCATTTGAACAATCCCAAGAGTCCTCTAAGAGTCCTCTAGTCTAACCGCAAGTGACGAGTGTCAGAGATCCACAACAAGTCTAGAGCCTACTTTACATACTTGACGCCCTTGCCGAGAAGAATCCATAGCTGGGTTAAAGTAGTGGAATCCTGTAGTAGTTGTTGAATATTTATGCATGAAGCACAAATTCCTTCTCTTTCAGACCCAGCACTGTTGTAGACAGAATCATGTTCCTTTTTTCTGGCACTCAGACGGGCCGTGCTGCTTTAGCCTAAGCCAGGTCCCTCCCACTGGACAGTTGCCTCGCAGCACTTGGCACAGCGGAGCCAGGCCCTCTCCAGTGATACGATTGCCAGCGATATACCAAGTGCGCAAAGCGACCTCCAGGGGAGCATCATCAGGCATCATCCAGTCCAACAAGTCCAACAAGTTCGACAAATCTATACGACATCAACATTTACCTGTTGAGTATTGTTGAGTCACCCGCAGCCAACACAGGCAATTGGAACGTATTTATAGATTAAATTTAAGCATTATTTAAGCCATGATGCACCGATTTATTGCCACCGGTGAGCAACATCCATGTTTGCAAACCCACTACATTCATCCAAAATCATCCACAGCTTCCAGGAGATTCCAGGAGCTTTAGCCCACCAAGGGATAGCTGCTGACGCCTTGCCCTCCTTGATGAGCTCAGCAATGCGGCGTGGCAAGTCATTACCACCTGATGGCTATGGATCACATCACCCGGGTGACATCAACATTGATGGCAAAAGCAAGCAAAGATGGTGGTTGATGCCATCAGGATACTTTGTCTTGGAATTTGACCCATTAAACTATATACCATAACATATCATAACCAGTCATAACCATAACATAACCAGTCATAACCCATGCGCAAATCAGATCAATGGATTCGGAAAGCAATTCAGGTGAATGAAGTGCCGAAGTCCTTTCCTTTCTACGTGAGCTATGAATGTTCTGAAAGGCTTGTCCAGGTGTGGAATTGGCGGCTGGTTATCCTTCGAATTGAGTGGTCCAAGTCCAAAATGTCATTGGATTCTGGCCATAGCTGTGCCCGGACCAACTGCCAATCATTTGCTGACCACTGTGACCAAGCGACAAATATTATTCCCCAGCAATAAATGCTGCACCAATCCAGCCTCAGTCAAAGGTATTGCACAACCCATACCTCCCCAAACCAGGAACGTTGACAACTATGACGACTCATTGTCAGGCAAGCAACAGTTTGGTTGGTGCAAATGGATTGGAGCAAATCATCCACGCCTCCAGGCCCAATGACTTGCTTGCACAAATCTAGCCTTTTGTCGCCTGAGTGCAATTGAGTGCAGGGACAACAAATCGAAGTAACTTGTACTGTGAGCACACTGGCTGGGCAAAGAGGGGGGGAAGTCTAAAACAGGAAAAGGGTAGAAATCCAATGGTCACCTCGAAGTTATCGGGGCCAAGAAGCGTGTGATGGTGCCCTTGGTAAACACCAAGTCATCATTGATATTGGGCTGAAAGACATTGCCGCTCCTCAGAACATCTGGGATCTGACAAACATGGCTGGGTTCCTCCAGAATCATGCCATCAGTAAAGCCGCTTCTGGGGCTTTCTCTTGTAGCCCGACTGTGTGCGTGAGTGTGGTGCCACATAATCGATCACAATCAATCACCTATAATCTTGAAACCTTTATGGTGCTAAAATATCTCAACTATTCACTATTCCGAAATTGGCAACAAGCTGGATCTGAAACATGTCTGAATTACCTGAACAAGCTGCTGCAAGAAGGAGTACAGGGGGTCGAACTGGTCTTTGGTCGAAACCTCCACCTGCGTGCCAGAGGCAGAACACCCGAAGCAACACAGCACGGGTTTCTAATAGTTTCCATCAGCATGATATGAATTGACATGCCTCCGACATGAATCAAAACACTTCAACCGGCAGAGATTCTGTATGGAGATGGTCAAAAAGGAGCGCTTGCAGGTTCAAGTTCAAGTGATATCCAAGGTCCCGACTGGCTCTGGCTCTGGATACAAAACCTGGAACACGCGTTAGAGTACCACAAACACCATGAACACCAATGAAAACAATTGAGTTGCTATGGCGCTGTGGCAGGGTTTCATAAAGTCCTCAAGCGGAGCAAGCACGAGTAAACACACACACATATTAAAAAAAGTCACGGTTCAGTGGACCATGTTGGGTGCTGCCAAACAGCCGCGTCAGAAAGAGGGGAGGCTTTCAACTCCTCGAACCTTTTGATGTCCATCCCACCCATGCGCCATTGCTGTCGTCGTTCGCCTCCAAAGAAAATCATAACATGGCGCAGTCAAGGAGTAGAGTTGGGGATGCGCTCGCCTCTAAGCTTCTAATGCAGTTTGGACTATATTATGTCACACATACATACACGCTCGCCGACACAACCGCAAATATATACTATATGTATCTATATACGCATATATGTAAATGTATAGTAACTATAGACTATATATAATTATTAAAACTGATAAATTCCTCGGAGAAGTCACCATCCCTTTCAATCTCAATCGGCGCAACACTCTCGCAGGCCATTGCCCTTCGATGCCTTTGAGGTTTGCTTGATAACCTTCGGTGTGCTCATCCAAGAGGGTGATGATGTCCTTTGTTCACAAGTCATCAAGTGCTAGCTTGTTAACAAGTACTGGCACCAAGTAGAAAATCAGATTGGGTTGCCTAATGGTTGCGTAGTTGATCATACCCTATATCTTGAGCAAAACTTCACAGGGCATGATTCAAGTCATGGACTTTGTGACATCAAGCTGGATTGGTCCATTGGTCTGGGAAATTTCCCAATCACAGGGCCTATAAGATTTAGTACCCGACTGAGGAGATCGACTGCGATCAAGTTGCGCTGAGAACTTTACCTCACGGGCGTGCTGTGGCCCACGCTTTCAGACTTTGACATATTCTGACATTGGATGGTGATGTGTCTGAAAAACGCCATAGTTCATCATAGTTCCATAGTATGTTCAAGGTCATGTTGATTCATGTTGGCCCCTGGTGGCCACCACAACCAGAAAGTGCGGCCCAAGTGCGGTACATTGTGCTGAGCTCTGGCTGTTGCTGTCGCAAGTCATCGGAGACAGTGCCACCGGCCAAGTGATGGACTTCCGCTGCCACTCCTTGGCCAAGTTGGCCGTGGTAATGCAAAGGAGATCACAAGGGCCCCAAAGAAATGGTGAGCTATCACAGATATGCCATGGTTTGTCTCCCTGGGTCCCTGAACCTCCCCAAACCTCCCTGAACTATGTGAACATATGACATAGGATGATATATGTCTTCTGATTACATATGTCTCTCTCTCTCTCTGTGAATTGCACCTGCAGCTTGGGTATAATGATCATAATGATATGATATAATCATAAATAATCATGCCTTACCATTGATCATCATTGATATCAATGATTACCGGCAAGAGTCGCAAGGCAAATCGCCTCACAGCTCCACCGAAGCGAGGAACAAAACGAGCGCATTGGCTGAGGGCAGGAGACATCCCTTGATGATCTTCCTCAGGGCAGAAACTTGAAATAACATGAAATAACATGGAGACACATGGAGTACTTGTAGGAGATATGTCAGCCATTCGCGGCTAATACTTGTGTTCAATGAATGAGGAGGGTTAAGTAAAGATGAGTAAAGATGAAACACTATTATGTTGTTCAAAAATGATGCCAAATCACATGCAGCCTGCCTCAGACCCGATTCTTGGCAGTTTGTTGCCAAGCATCGCGTGCCCTCCAATCTTGCACCACCTGGCTGCTTTCTTTGTGTGATATGTCTGGGCAAACAAACGCTGCACTGTGCACTTTCTGTGCTGTATGTCTTTCAATTTTATTCAAATTTCTTATATCGATCGTGAATAGGATCCCCAAAATCTTGAACTTGATTATTGGCTCCAAAACTCAGATTCCAATGCATCTTTCGCATTCACTGCTGGCCTATCATACTGGAAATTCCTAAGTTTGATTGATTTTGTTTCAATTTGGATGTACTGATTTTTTTCTTAAATTATATTATGTATATATATGTATATATATATATTTGAAAGATTGCTGGAAGAGGAGGTGTGCGGTCACAAGATCGCAAATCAGGATGGCCTATCCAAGATGCCCTTTTAGCAAATTCTAGTCCTATTCGCCCTCCTTGGCCTTGTGGTCTTCATGGATCTGCTTTGCAAGAAACCTGCAGCTGCAGCCGAGCCATGACAACCAGGCTCCAAGCGGTCAGCGTCTAAAGGACACACTTTACCTGTCTGCATGTCCAAATACCCGCCTACATCCTATAGAGAAGTCACGATAGGCCAATCTTTCTTTCGCGCACATGCGGGAGGATGAAGGACTCGAAAGTCTAACATCGCCGCTGAATCTACGCACTTCGATGTCACTTTTGGCATCAACATGCTGAATGTCTACAGTTTCCAATAGATTTAAGAGCGGCTGATAATTCAGCAAGCAACATGTAGATGTACGAGTACATAGCTGAAACATGCTGCAACTCTCAGCACTTCATCATGACACCCAACGTATGTGGGTCATGGAGAAAAAAATGCATGGGGACTCAAAAGTGGCGCTATGGTCACGTTATCCCCCCAATTTCATCAAGATTCTAGGCACATCATGGCACATCATGGCTAGGTACCCGCTCTTAACGGGATGGGTAAACGGTGTGAGTCAAGAGCACCTCACCGTCGTAGTTCACGGACTCAATGAAGATCTCCTTTTTGCTGATGGTCAAATCATAGAAACCATACTGGGCCTCCCCATACCAGTCCTCCGTATGGTCCGGATCCGGTGTCGCCTCCGAGGTAATCCCACCACCTCCACCTGTGACGATGCAAGTGACTCCCATGTGGTTTTTGGCATAGTCATCCGGGAACCAGAGCTCCTGGTCATGCCGGTGCCCAGTGACCAACAAATCCAGTCCCATGTTGGCCAAGCTCTTGTAGAAGCCCTGTTCATGGCCACAAGGGAAATGAGTCACGGCAATCTGCCAAGTGGCCTTGCTCTTGGGCAACAACCGGGTGACCCATTCCTTTTGCTCCGCCCACAAGGCAGCGAACCAACCAGGGCAGCTGTCCACCGAGACGGGACCATCTGCTGCCGCACAGGTGGCTGAGGGCTTGTTGTTCTTGCGTGAACACATGTTGTGATTTGGATCTTCCTCTGGCGGTTTGGCATCCACAAAATTGGAATCCAAGAAGTAGTAGTCCACATCAAAGCCCAGGTCGGCATAGACCACTGAGGTAGTGTAGTAGGGGGCTGGCATCACCCAGCGATTGCTGGCCCAGGTGTAGGACATCTGCTGGTCCCAGCCATTGTCAAACTTGAAGCCTCCCCAGTCGTGATTGCCCAAGACGCTAAACCAGGGCTTGTTGCTGAGGCCGGCTCCCTGATAAACACCCTCGAAGATCTGATCAAACTGGTGCTTCGTGGGGTAGGAGATCTTGTTCATTGGTTCCCCGCAGGTCTTCTCAATGCCTCCCCAGTAGAAGTTGTCCCCCACGTTCAAAATGTACTGCGGATCCTTCAGGGCGGCGCGTGCCTTGAAGGCATTGGCCACCAAGATCTGCGGGTTGTCATCCACGCCTGCGGATAAAAATGACACAGGACTCAGGACAAACGGATAAAGTGACTCATGTGACTCAGGTGTTCAGTGTTGTGATGTGTTATGGATGCTTTTAGGAGCTGCCATAACCTGACGACTCATTGAAAAATCATGAATTTGTATATCGGTCCTTCCATCGTCAGAATTTAGGGATTCATTCAAATGATGGCCTGGCACGTAGCCGCATTCGGGAGTGCAGGGAGGTTGTCCGCGAGTGTTGAAACATTCCACCAGCTGGTCGTGGTCACAGAACTTCACAGTGTGTGCCTTGTTCCAGCGACTCCTGGGGAAAACACTGGGTCCAGGCCGTTTTCCCCAGTCGTAGGCCACAATGTTGGGACGGCCCTCATTGGTATCCAGGGATCCGTCCATGCCACCCCAGTCGCCAATGGCAAAGATGTGCATCTCCTGAACGCCGTACACCACGGTGGTTGGCCAATGTTGGCCCTTGTAGCCCATAGCCGACTTGGGTGGGACACATCCAATGCCTCGGTTGTTGCCATCGCAGCCGGGCCGCAGGGAGGCGTACAACTGATGCCCTGCAAAGCAATCGTTGCAGGGAGGGTTGCTGCAACCAGTGCAAGGTGGCACGCCGCAAAATTTGTCCTTGCCCGGAGGGGCACAGTAGTAGAGCCTTTGGAAATCCGCCAGGGTACCTTCACTATACTTCACTCCTGCGATGCTGGGCATGTTGTGGTACCAACCGCCGGCACTGGGGTCATTCTTGCCGCCGGATGCGGCCCATTCCACCACCTCCTTGCCTGGTTGGTGTCATCCCATCCCCCAACAAATTGTAGCCCTTTTGTCAAAAAATGAGAAAACCCCAAATCATACAAAATCTTTGGACAGTCTCCAGTCCAGTTGCAGTTGGCGTTCTGTGGCAAATCCAATGGCCCACACTTCGCGCCCTGGGCCGACACCTCCACAGCCGAGCGGCCTAGGAAATGGGATCGATTGGTGGCCGCCACATCCGCCGAGGCGCGGGTCAAGGCCCCCAGGGCCAACTAAATCGAGAACGACATGGTGCCGTTGTGACTCTTTTGTGCCTGAGCCTTGAGCCAACCAAACATAACCAAACATACCTAACAAGATAAACATAAACGAAGGGAAGATGTCATGAGAATGTATGACAAATGAGGTGTCAATGGTTGTGGCAGGCTGAGGCAACATCCCAGCAGATTCCGATTGGAGTTGCAGTTTTGACAACATCCCCGATATCACCAGATTCTCCTCTCCAAGCAGCTGAATGATTGACTCTTTCAAGCTCTTGGCCTCCCGTGGAAGTGGATATAGGTCATTGGTGTGCTGCAGTGGCATCTATATACATTTAGCACCAACCTGCCACCCAAACATGCCTGGTTAAATCATGTTAAATCTCAGAATCGTTTGTCCGCGCTTGTGACATCCAGAGACTTTGGTGTCCACCCTACTCCAATACTTGCATTGTTGGGGTCCAAGTAGCACATTCATTCCATATTGCAGGACTTCACTGTATTACCATTGAGCTTGATTTTGTGCTGCACCATTGGAAATCACACCGATCATGACTGACGACAGGTTTCTGATCGCTCCCGAATCATTAAAGGCGACGTGCCTCCTGAGAGTCTTCATTCATCTCCTCGATGATTTGATGCAGGTGAAGGGTGGTCTTCCAACCGCCTCCCGATTTGGATCTTTTCATGCCGCTGTTTGAGAGGATTGGCCAAGGTCGGCAGTCTAAACATACCGACCACTTCAAGGACCAAAGCTACAGGAACCGACAGCAACTGGGGAGAGATCTCAAAGAGATCTTGGTTGCTGCTGTTTCACGACAACTACACATCAGAGACTCTTTGACTTTGCAAAACATTGCAAGACAATACGGAACATCATGAAACTACAAAGATGGAGAAGTCGGCATGAATTGTATGAAGCCTATTGTGATTGGCATATTCAAGGCAGGAAAATGGGAGCTTGTAAATCTTGTAAAACACAACGCATGCGCTTGTTGCAAAGTCATTCAAGCATTACACATGTTCATTTCCAAAGCAGAACAATGTATGATACATCATACATCGATATACATCGGACATCGGGAAATCTTAACCCTCAAGAGAAGACATCACCAAGATCTGTTCCCCGCACCTGCGTCCACTAGTTCCTTCAGCAAGTCGTCATGGCAGCCTGGCAAAACACAAAAAACACATACATTTAAGACATGATATAATAATATCAAATTTGAATTTATATAATCATGTTTAACCAACCAACATGGTGAAGCGTAAGATCTCCTAAATTAAGATCTCCTAAATCTCCTAAGTTGTTGGTCACTGTTGTTGGATGGCTGGAAGCAGCCTTGCCTTGAAACGGGTGTTCCGAAGCCACCAGGATGAAGATCCAGTATGCTGCGAAGGGCTGAGCTACTTTGGAATTCCACCTCAGCCAAGGGCAAAACATGTCCTACAACTTGCCACCAGCAGTTGTAGTTGACCACTGAATTGTCAAAGAATGTCAAAGAAACACTTCAAACTTTCATGTTTCTTACTTTCTTCAGGATAGTGCCTATATGTGCCTATCTTTTCGGTCTTGGAGGCAGTGAGAGGGTGAGAGGTTACGTTGCACCAAGAAGCGGAAGCAGTGACAATGCTCGATCCAACAGCTGTCGCAGCTTCTTGGTCTCGTCGCCCGCTACTTCCACTGCTTCCTGGATTCCACTCGATCCGAAGCGGCTGGAAATCGTTGGAACACATAGATCTATACCGTCTATACCTCACCTGAAGATGAATCCATAGAAGTCCTATATCTATATGTCTATATAATCCTATATGATCCTATAATCCTATAATTAATCCAAAATGTCCCATTATAGTTGAGATGTGCCATGTGGAAATTCCCAAGGATCCAAAAGCCCAACGGCTAAAGGCCTTCACATCCTCCAGGGAGACGTGCGCCACTCCGCTGCCTTTCCTGGCAAACGCTGACAATGTCAACACATCTTGGAACCTTGAAAAAAAGGAGAAAATGATAAACAAACCGTTGGCATTTGCTGAAATCTCAGTGGGGCCTAAGCTTCCAGTACCAATTACTCAACAGGACACGAGACTAGACCGAACCATGCCTGTGCTAGCCTCAACATGCCCTAACATGCTCCGTCGCAAGTCCGGCCGAGTTTCATTATCCTGGCCCAAGGTGACACATCAGCAGAGTCTGGTGCAGCCACTGTGGGCTCAGCAGCAAGTCCCGATTTCAGCAACCAGTCAGCCAGCTGGGTGATAGGCCAATGATGACGTCCTGATGAAAGGCTTCCGTGTGAGCTCGGATTAAGGTGCCGATGTGGTGTGGTGCAGAAGTTGTTTCGATGGTTTTCCGGATAGAATCCCTTACTCCAGAACAGATTTCCTTAGAATCAAAAATCGTAGTGTAGATGTAGCAGCTGCAAATCAAGATTCTCATCCTTTCTGGAGCTGAAATTGTTCAAGCTGCCTATTTGACAGCCAAGCCATAAAGCTATGAGTCACCGAGTCTGCTTTTTATCTTAATCAAAACATGTGCAGTTCACAGCCATCATCCACCCATCCCCTCCTTGGCTGAAATGATCTGCCTCAACGCTGAGGAAAGGCAGCAAAAAGAATATCTACATCGCACATGAAATTACAAATTGAACATAGGCACCACACTGGAACCACACTAGGAGGAACAGGAAAGGCACTTGAACACCGTGCGTATCACGAGAGTCTGCAGCCTTCCCACCCTGAAAACCACTGGGGCAATGACTGGGTGAGTTGCAATGATGGGATCCTTAAAGGTTTGAGACAAAATCTGCGAACGCCAGGGTTCCACCAGTTGATCCTGTACGGCAGGCATGCCGCAGCATTCCGCAGGATGGTGTTGAGGGAAAAAATCTGGCACCAGATCCCCGCATGAATCACTGCTGAAACCACAAGCCATTCCTTTTAATTTTATATCGCTGATCCAACTGCAACTTCTGGCTTTGCAGAAGTGTTATATAAATCCAGCTTGACCACACAAAGACTTTGGATGTCTCAGGCGTGCCTACCAAGCACCCCTGATGCCAAACTTAATCAAACTCTTCGTTCATCGTTTCGTCCCATAGGTTTTTTGATTCCAGTTGGCCGATGTTGGCATCATCCTTTCCAAAGGTCGACGGAAAGGGTCCTCCAAACCCCAAATGTGGAAGGATGGCATCTCCACAGCACCTTCTTTGGCCTTCACCAGCTCCTAGCGGATGGTGCAGGAAGTGGAAACACTACCAGTAGATACCAGTTAGATAATCGGTAGATAATCAGTAGATAATCAGTTAGTATCCAGTTAGTATCCAGTTAGTATCCAGTTAGCATCCAGTACTGTATGTTACACTGTTACACTACGTTTCACTATGAAGAACTCAAATCCCTGACCGTCAAAACCCCCGCAGAACGGGAGTGATTCCGCTTACCTCAGTTTGGTGTGCAACCCATCAACGCTCCTGCTGATGCCTTTCAGGCACTGCTTCCAGCTGCAGTTTGCACAGCTCGACATCACGGCAGTAGAATCCAGAAATCAAGACCTAGCTGCTTGCTGCGCCACACATGTAGATACTGTTGAGGGCACTGCTCAACTAAAATGGCCAACTCGCAACCTGAGTTATCACAACCTGATGCCGCCGCACAAAAATTGAACCTCATGGCTCTGTCAGGACAGAAATCTGCACCACGTCAGCTCTCTAAACATAATTCGGTGCTGTTCAACATCGTCGCAGGATATAAATTCATATAAATTCTCATAATGGCAAAACTTCTATCAAATCCTTCCCAACCGTGCAGCGCGGCCCGTGGGAAACCAACAAATATTGGTTTGATTCCATCCCAGCGTATTCCAAAACACAAACTGATTACCAGCATCTTCACACACACACAATAGATCCGCTATTTTCGATGTCTCCTGTGGTATGCCATGGTCAACCGGAAGATAAAGAACATATTGCTGTAATCATCAAAGACCTTCCAAAGCATCTTGCAGGTGAGCGACTTGATCGCACCTCCTGGGCAAATGCGTGTGGTCTTGGATGATACTGCTAATGAAGGACAAGGGGTTGCCGATATCCCCCAGCATGGTAAATCTCCAGCAAAGCTTCAATTCAAGCAAATGGATGCAAATGGTCAGATTTAAGATAGGCTTATGGGAGGTAAAACAATCCCAGTGGAATCCAAACTGTTTAACACACTATGCCAAATGATACACATCGCATGTTCAAGGGCATGCTTGATCTGTCTATTTGCTAGGCTGTCAAGTCGAAGTAATTGTGGTGCTCGAGCTTAGCTAGCTCACAAGGCTGGGCAGCATCACACATGGAGAAGAGGGCGCCTGCATTTTTTCTAAATGCTCTACTATATTACTATATCCTACTGCATCATAAAAACTGTCCGACAATGTCATTCTCGCACTCATCTCAATCTCACTCGATGAAACCTACCACCAGTGCGGCTCTGCCACGTGGCTGCATAGCTGCAAGCAGCCCAGCAAGGCATCCACCCTGAGAGAAGCCGACCACGCCGTCGAAGGGGCCCTCTTCGACAAAGGCCTTCCTGGAGCCGAACCCTGCAAGGGCTTTGGCTTTCACACATTTTCACACATTGGACCAAAATCATTCAAAATCCATCATTTGCCGCAGTCGTGAAATTATCAGTCATGGATCAAGTTCATGTCAGGCCTTGAAAGTATGATATATATGTATATAATCCCCTAGAAAAGTGCTCCCAGACTAAGAACAGGGTACAGGCAAGGTTTCCAAACCTATGTCCAACAATGGCTTGCTCCAAGTGGAGGTTTCACAGTTTGACAGGATGATAAATGAAACTCACAGGTGGTTGTGTAACACCCAAACAAATCACACAAATACTTCTGCTACTGGAGCCGCATCTCCTCATAATAAAATGTCATGACTCTTGGTGGGCATCATCAACTTCCGATTCAGCGGCCACACCACTACGATCAAACGCTCCGAGCATCTCAATGTGTTCCAGAGTCTTGTCGAAACCAACCTGAAGCAGGAGCTGCTAAGTGCAGAAGGAACTCCCCGTTGATGTGTTATACAGTGCGCTGCTTGTGACCCTGCTTGTGACCTTGAACAACGGCTTCATGAAAATCAGCATCTTACACGTAAGCTATGGGCAACCTCAACATTGCACTTGGAGAAAGAATGGCCAGCAGTTCAGTTTGGGCCAGCAAGCATGGGCCATTTGAATCCATTTGAGTCACGATAGCGTTCCTGATCTTTTCTGTCATGAACTCTTATTGCCTCTATCAAGCTCTATTATCTCTATTTTTTTAACATTTTTAGTATCTTTTTATTCTCAATGAATACTCAACAATACTCACCATTCTAACCCAAACCCTGCAAGTGACATAGCGCATGGTCGCTGGGTCATCAGTGGAATTCCTCAGCAACCAGGCCAGAGGTCTGCAAAATCTCTCACAGAGATATGGTGAGTGTGGCGATCAGTGTCAGTATTGGCTAACAGCCTTTGCATTGTCCGAAGTTGTGGCTGGGCCCTCAAAGTTTTCAAAGAGTAGCCGAAGCATCCGAGGGCTACTGAACTGCATATAACATCAATAACTGTCAATAATAACACTCATTAACGTTATATAACATATATATATATATAAATAACGACTGTAAGTCATGTGAACCCAGAAAGATGAAACAAATTGGGTCATCCAAGTCATCCGGTCTTTAGACTTCGCCAAGTCTCCACCAGCAGCGGTTCTTGGCAGCAATTCCCAGGTGGGCAGATTGTTCTTCGGCCTCGCCAATATGATCAATATGGCTGTGGGACAAATACGAGTGGATTTCAAACTCCACAACCAAAGCCATACCAAACCCATATATTAGTTCAGTAATGTTCAGTAGTTTGAGAAATCTTTCAGCTCTCAGATTTGTTGTTCCCATCAAAAAATGCGAGATCATGCGACTATAAATGAGTCACGAGCCCTCTCTCTGTGGATGTTTGTTGCCCGCTGACCTCTCCCATTGGCGTGTATGCATGGGGAGCTTCCAGGAAGTGCAACTTGGCGATTTCCTGGACATCATTGCTATGAGACACCATCAACACACATGCCAAAACCTTACACCAGTCACAACAGTGATAACATGCGTCCCCGTAGTGAAAAACAGTATATTCTTATTAGAGGATATTAGAGGTGGTTGTTGAATGTCGTTGACGCTTGGTGTTGTCGAAGATCCGCCAGTGGCTGCAAGGCTGCACGCGTCCTCTTCCTAAGATCGGATCAAAACACTGTGAATGGTGCCCCTGGGCCAATCCACAAATCATGCTGGGAGCGCATGGATTTCTTCCCAATCATCAAACTTGTTATCCACTGTCAGGTTTGGCATTGAAAATATGCACCATTGCTGTGGTAACAGGGGAAAGGCATCCGCTCATTCAACCCAAGAGTCTTGAAATCCTGTGAGTTTTGGCGATTGCTATGGAGAACCAGAACTCGCGTCTTTGGGACTGCAGACACCGAAGTGTCAACCACCATCCCTGGCGCAACTGTTTCTTGTTCTGTGGTGGACTCAGCAGGCGTGCGGTTGAATTTAGGTCGCACTGACATTGCCCACGCAGGAAGCTTTTTGGAATGCCTGGGGCAAAATGAAGCAAGGGGGCCGGCAAAATACGAGACTCAAAAGCTGCCAGACTAGCCGCCAGTTGCATAAAAATATATATAAAAAATAACCAACTCTGCCCCAAGCTGTCAAGTCTTCTCACATCTTGTTACATTAATCCTTTGCATCTAAACCTTCTCCCGTCTTCTCCAGTTTCTTTATGGCAAGTTGCAGCCACTTCTGCTCTCCCACGGTGCTGGTTCGGCCCAGCACTTCATTTCGATGTGGATATCCTTGGCAAATCATGGGCCAATGGCGGGCCAGAGCCCCAAACGAGGCGGAGGCGCGGCCGAGGAACGTCCGAAGTTTCGCAGCGTCGTCGCGTGATGCCGTGCTTCCACATGCATGGACTTGATGCGGTTCTCCTTAGCAGTCTTGGCGCGGGGCATGCTGGGCAACCTCACAAAATACCACAAAGCAATGATAAAATACTGAACAAATACTGATCAAATCTGGTCATGTGCGGCTAAGTGGCCACATTTGCCTCCACTGATGCCGAAAAACCTAAATGTGAGTGTGATTCTCACATGCGGATGCGAAGGGAGTGGACATTGGCCTAGATGGAGGGGCCCTTTTCCACGCATCCTTCCTTATGCCCAATGGATGCCAATGGTACAGGTTTGACATGGTTTGACTACAGGCTTCAAACAAAGCCGCACATCTTGAGGGTTGCAGAGGATGTGATCCATCGTGGTACCATTGCAGATATTGCAGTAAAATGCAGTAAAGGCACGCAAAAGACCCAAGCAGGCCTCCTCAACCATCTCCACTTTTTCGGAGTGCATGAAGGCAACGTAGCAGAATGTGGCCTGAGATCACCACCGAAGCCGCTACAGGGAATGGAAAAGATATGGAAAAGTCTGCTTTCTGCTCTTCTAATCCAGCTAGGTTGCATGCGGCCAGGGAAGATCGCCCTTTAGGGCTTCTTTTGCCATTTCCTCGGCCAAGCTTGGGTCATCTCTTGCTCTCTGGAATATCTGCAATAAAATGGAATAAATTCCAACATGTTCTCTGGAACTTTGCAGATCCATGCTCATATTTGCCTGGTTGTGGGAATTGGATGGAATTGGTAAGATGTCATCTCACACGGCAATGCACTCAACACACGCATGACCCTGGAACTGAACGCTATTCAAAACAAGGCTCCTGCGCCAGGGAATCGTATTGAAACATCTCCTTGGTTGGCTGCTGAGTGTCAGTCGCAGTTTTAAAATTCTGGCTATTTCAGAGTCACTTCAGCGGCAATTGGGGATCGAATCGAATCCATAAGCGATTTGTACCCATGGTTTTAACTCCTATGATTTATCATCCATGATCCATTCAAGGGTAAACGGTAAACGTGTTCCCTAGGAGTAGATGACATGACTGCAGCTGAGACTCAGCTGTACCGCGAAATGCATTCCGAGGAAATTGATCCAAAAGCAGCACCAGGGCGCAGCAGCCCTGAGGGCTTTGGGTCCAGGGACGCAGCGATTCTGGGAGACCTGAAGGCGAATGCAGGCAGGGGGGCAGGAAATTCAATGCTGCTGATGGTGATGAAGAAAGGAGCGTGATGCTGATATGACGCATACGATCTGGTGTTAGAAAGGGCATGATCATGATCATGATAATGATGGCGATGGTGATGACGATGACGATGATGATGATGATGATGATGATGATGATGATGACGATGACGATGACGATGACGATGACGACGATGATGATGATGATGATGACGACGACGACGACGACCATGACGATGACGATGATGATGATGAGGATGAGGATGAGGATGACAATGACGATGACGATGATGATGATGATGATGATGATGATGATGATGATGATGATGATGATGATGATGATGACGATGATTATGATGAGGATGATGAGGATGATGATGATGATGATGATGATGACGATGACGACGATGATGATGATGATGACGATGACGATGACGATGATGATGATGAGGATGAGGATGATGATGATGATGATGATGATGATGATGATGATGCTGATGCTGATGATGATGATGGTGATGATGATGATGATGATGAGGAGGAGGATGAGGATGAGGATGAGGATGAGGATGAGGATGAGGATGACAATGACGATGACGATGACGATGATGATGATGATGATGATGAGGATGATGATGATGATGATGATGATGATGACGATGACGATGACAAGGACGAGGATGAGGATGTTGATGATGCAAATGTGATGGTGTGGGGGTAAGGATAGTAAGCTGGATTGAGCATGATGGTTTGAGATGCGCGATGTACGATGCGCTTTGCGAAAAGTATTGAACACTACTAGTAACGGACACCAGACAACTAATCATTGAAAACGCAAACAAATATGTTTTTTTCACGGACCCTCTGTGGCAGCGTGCTGTCTTCATCCACAATGGACAATGGATGAATCAAACATCGAGAAAAGAACAAGGATGGGCAGACTCATGTCGCCCCCCCCTTCCCCCAAAAAAAACAAGAGAAAATGCATCCAGCCTCTGCCTTTCTGGCATAAGGTTTCGGAAATTGTGGCTGGTAAAGAAGGAATTGCTTTGAAGGTAAACCAACTTTGGACACATGTAAACACAGTCTTAATGCACAACATGGATGCCCTGAAATGTCATTGCAGCCAAAGTGACCATTCGCACAGCTGCGAATTAACTTGCTGTACCTCTCGCGGATTCGACGATCTGTGCCTGGAAGGCGTCGATCAGTAAAGTAAATATATATATATAAATACTAGCCTAAAATATTCCAAACATCCTGTCCTGTTGTCCTGGCATATCCCATTCGCAATCAAACACGTGTAATTGTATTAATCAATTTAAGTACCAATATAATCCGCATATTTTCTGTCACACGCAGGTTCATATTATCATGTAATTTATATAAAACTATTTACAGGTAACTTATATTTTCATATATTTTCGTTACATCCACATCCATTCCGACCCAAACGTCCAAACCAAACTGCTGATATCCCACCTTCCTGGCCATCCAACGGCATGTTGGGATCGATGCCCCGCCACCAAAGTCCACCACGGAACTTGTAGGGCTCATCGCCAAACCAATACCTTGATGCTCCATTGATGGTTATTAAGTGTTCAATGAGTGTTCAATGGTGAAAGCATGTTAAAGCACTAAAGGTAAGTTGTCAACGATTTTACCAATGTGTGTGAACAATTTGCTAAATAGAGTTGAATTAAATTGTTGTCTGGTATGATGTGAATGGGACCGTGCTGTCTTGTCTAGGCTGTCCATCTTTCAGGGCCATGGCTTCAGCAACATTGGAAAGAACTAGGAACGACCTGCAACAGCTTCTCTGCACAAAAAAGGTTCACCAATTGGCTCAAGCCCAAGTTGCTTGAGGATCTCCTGGGGGGTCACTTCGGGAGTCACCCGGAACCATTGCAGCAACTTGGCTCCAAAGGACCAGCAGCTGGGTGCAGTGATGGCAGTTGAGGTGGCCACCGACTTCGGTGGCGTCGCTTTGGGCAGGGCCTCACGGAGTTCATGGAAGCCCATGGCAGGAAATATCTGGGGATGGCAATATGATGCAATATGTCATTGTCGAGAAATGTGCCACAGACGATGCAGAAGTGTGATATTCCAACCTACAAACTGCAGAAGCCCAAACTTCGAGACTTTTTTCGGTTCAATGGCAGCAACCACGGTGAATCCACAACCAATGTCGTGAAAATCCCATTGGATCTCACTGGGTTGTGTTGGCAAAGTTTGCAAGCATGCACATATGTCACAGGTATGCACATGTAAGACCAACATGACACACTTTGTCAAATTGAAGGCGGGCCTCTTGCGGAGCTGGAGCCTCTTTGGGAGCCTCTTTCTGAGATTTCCATTTGTTAAAAGCCTCACCGATTCCTCAGGCGGGACTGGCACCACTAGAAGTGCCTGTGGGTGACGTGTGTACCCGACCGTGCATAGCATCCAAGAAGGCCCTCAAATTGTTGCAAACAAGGATATATTTTAGGTGCTGATTTGGGTTTCGCGAAGTTCCAATTCTCAAAACTTGGGCCAGCAAACAACCCACAAATTTTCCATAATTTCAGCGACTTACATCATTTGCTATTCAATCCATCAAACTAAAGCATCATCTTTCTCTCTCCCCATGCCATGAAAGCATCATATTTAAACATATCAAGTCAATTTAAACAAGCTTCATTTGTTTTAAATATATATACAGTAATTATTTGTAAATCATTTTTTGGCATCATTTGTTTGTTGATGATGTTGATGTTTAAAGATCTTGTTGGGATTTCTTCATGTGGTGCCATCCCCCGATGCAGCCGTCGAAACAAGGCTCGTTGCCCCAGAGCCTTGGACAGCTCGGGGCGACCCTTGCTTTTCAGCAGCTCCTGAGCTGCCAAACCTGCCGAGGTTGACTCAGTTGACTCATGACATATCCTTCTTTAATGTAGTATATATAGGTATATACTACTATAATACTGTATATACTAGATATATAGACATAATATGACATAACAGATTTAACAAAAGTGTATAGTGTAACTATGTAAAACAACATGTGTGAGGAGAGAGTAAAAGTAAAATGAGAATACCATACTATAATTCATGTGAACATGTTCAGCATCCAAAAACCAATATTGTTTTCCTCCAGTGTTGGCCACACCACGCCTGCACCACGAATGTCTTTCTGTTTAAAGAAGGGCTCCAACTTCGCCTCGTCGATAAGGTCTTTCAAAAACCTTAGTGGCGTCTAGCAAGCATGCAAAGATAGGAAACATTTTTGGTTATTTTTTGTAGCAGAGCCTGTATATGCCTTTCAAGTCATACAAGGGGCACGCCATGGATTAAATGATTAGACCAACGCCATGTACCGTTCGTAGCTCACGGTAAAGGTGGGAAATCCAAACTGACTTTTTCTTGAAACCATCATTTTTGTTGAAACATGTTGAAACTCAACATGCTTGTGGAGTTTGGCTAAGCAAGTAAAAACATGTGCTGGGAGGAAGCTGCAGGTCAGGCTAACTATCTTTTTGTCTCTCTGTCCCGTCGGTCCGTCCGTCCATCCATCTGTCTGTCCGTCCGTCTCTCTGTCCATCTACAATAATCATGATCTGAATCTCCTGGAGAGCTTCCTTTTCATGATAGACTCTGATATTCAAAGTGTGAAATGCAAAATGTATCAAGGTCTTGCTTCATGTTCTCCCAGCTTGGTTTATGTTGGTTCTATGTCCTCCATCTCCATACCTAGCAACTTCACGTCCGAGGGCTGCAGCTGTCCGCGCTGCTCTCGCTTTGGACGCGGCTCCACAGGCTGACCTGGACCTGTTGGACCTGTTGGACCTGGCACAGACTCCTCCAAGGCATCGTCGAGACGGTGTTGGCCATTCCTTGCGGCGATCACGGAGGATACTGCAATCGACTGCAATGTTTCTGCTGGTTGCAACATTTGCAACCGATAAAATCGAATACTGATATGGGCTGATGCTGGGTATTGCTGAATTCACACGGCAGTATTGGCTGGCTTTGACTGCAAGTAAACCAACGGCAGAAATTTTGTCCCTCGCACGGAAACCAACTCCTTCTGTGTGGAAGGAAGCTCGTATCTGGAAACTCTTCGTTACGCTCTTTGACTCTTTGAAAGGAGGCAGAAATTGTGGAAAATTGTGGAACAAATCTGTTGCTGGCAAGAATCAGCTCAGTTGGCCAATTCAACGAAGCATAGCTTGCACCCTGTCCAATCAAATCCCCTGAATCAGTCTTGTAGGATAGCACTCGACGGAAGGTGATTGATACGCGTGGCCCAGTGGCAGCTGCTGTGGTTTGCTTCACGGCGTGATAGTAGGATGAATTGGTCTTGGCACCCAACTGGAACAATGCACCATGAGACAAGAAGATCTCTGTCCTTGGTTTTGGGCCTCATGATTCGTAAACCGAGGAAACTGGTGAAGCAAGTGAAAGGTTACAATGGCATGCGATGGCATGCGGCATAAGTCACAACAAACACAGCCAGAAAAGTTGCGAGATGGTGCGAGTACAAAAAGCGACCTCCATCCATCGTAAGACGCTTCTGTGACCTTCAGATCCTACAGATCCTACAGGTCCAAACACCACAATCTAATAAAATCATTTAATGAAAATCTATAGATTTTGCTCACAACCACCGCAACACTTCCCAGTGATGAAGTGAGGTCCAATATTGCTCATATTCATCCAATTTCATCATATTTCATCCATCACAGAATATCACCGATTTGCCAAAGGCCAAAGCTCTGCTGCGTGGGCTGAAAAATGTTGTCCCGCAAGATGTAAGGCCGGCCAGGTCGTCCCAGGGAGATGCTGACAATGGGTGCCTCTTCGTCTAAATCTAAGGTCTTGTCCTTGTGAAATCCAATGCCTCACAGAAAAGGCTTCACGGGAATGAAATTTCTTCACTGGTCCGGAGGTCCACTATGCAGATTATGCAGATGCTAGATGCAAACTAAGGACCGCAAGGAAAGCGGAGAAATGAGATTTGATGGTTCGCTCATTCAGTCAGCGAAGACTCGTCCCCGAAGAGTGGGCCCAATGCTGTCAGAGGTGCATTCATTCCCATCAGCGTAGTACAACACAACAGCATGATTGAAGATGAAACCAGTGCGCTTGCTTGCACGCGAGCAAAGCTCCCGAATGGTTGGCGACATGGGCAGAATACCATACCGCTGTTGATCCTTGTCTCGGAAATTGTGTGAGGTGCACAGGTTTCAGGAAAAAAACACATCAGATTGAAGAGTTGAAAGTTCAAAGCAGGATAGGGGTGCAGGCCTGGGAAAACCATGCAAATGTTGGTTCCTGGCATGAAACCTCCAAAATCATGAAACATCTGCCCCCTTTAGGTCACACAGTACACATCTCAATTTTATCTCTGATGTACGCTGTATATTGCTGTATGATGTTTAATCGCATGGAATTAGCAGACTGGACATCAAACATTCGCGACATCCGCCCAGGCGCATTCACCGGAAATCGGTACCAGGGCAGTCCAGCCTCTTCTGGATCTGCCATGGCCACTTTGACCCGCTGCAAGCGCTTCAGCGCTTCATTTGGCTTCTTCTTGTCCTCAGCTCGAGAACTTAGCCCGCTGCTGGTGGAATGACATGGTGACTGATTCATTGATATATCTTGTAATTACATGGGTGGGGGTAGCTGGGGAATATCTTGCAAGTCATCTATGGGTGTGTCACACACGGTAGGGTAGCAACGAACGAATGATATTGGCAATAACCTGCCATTGGCAATGAGAACTGCATCAATATATACATATAAATGTATGTATGTATCATATATAAATAAAATATATAATATATAATATATAATATACAAATAATCTATATAATATAATATATATATATATAACACACACACATATATATATAATTAAATATATTATAATATATATATATATTATATTATATATATTATAATATATATATATATATTATGGTAAATCCTCTTGCCTAGGCGCTCTTTCTCATCTTTCTCTCGCTAGATTGCTCTTAGTGCCGACTAGCGTCTGGCATGTGATACCACTGCTGATACTCGATCTCGCCACCAGGCAGCAAATTCTGAAAGAAAAGATCAGCTTCTCCTTCCTCCGACGTAGGTCCCCCTTCTCATTCATTGACAGCGCTTACGTTCATGTTATGTTTTCCATTGTTTTCCTGTATGTCTATAGACTTCTTGGAATAACTATCACATAACGGCATCTTTTTTCAGCAAACACACACACACGATGCTCATCAATTTTAACTCATCTACAATGTGTATAATTAATTAGATATGTGCAATACGCAATTACAATCATTTACAAACGCGCACGAGGACACTTAGCTAAACATATCAAAACATGGTGTCGGTTCTTTGGATCTAATTCCTGGCCTCCAGGAACTTGGCAAGCAGAGCAGAATCGCCAGCGCCCAAACCGCTGACATCCACATCACCTGCCAATGGTCAACACATGGTCAACATATAATATTAATATCACACGTATATACATATATTGATCAAAACTGGCATGATTTAAATATGTTGGCCAACCCTACTTGAAAAGGCTGGATGTTGAATCATTAATTCCAATCTTTCCAGTAACGTGAATACCATCCGAAAACGTTCCCTACAGGAATTACTTGGGATGTGGAGCTTGGTCAAAGGCCGAGTGTCTCGCCTGCGATGTGTTGTGTTTGAAGCGACTCTGGAAGGCTGTCCAGAAGGGCAGTGCCATCACCATATCGTAGGGCCACTTTTGAGTCCTGTAGCCCAAACTCTTCACGTGATCCCATGACCCTCTTGGGCTCAACCTGCTCAAGCTTTTTCTTCGAATTCATCTGAGTCAGCACAAATCTGAAACTAGCAACACATTAAAGATCATTAAAGGCATGTCCAAAAACAGAAGCTGCAGTTCCAAAACAACTTAATTATAATGTTGTTCTCTGGGATGTTACGATGACCCTTCCCTTCAAGATTCTCTTCTGCTGCATACCGTTTGGACACCTATTTCCTTAGAAAACATGAAAATGAACATCCCTGAGTCCATGAGCCCTCTCAAGGCATGCTTCGATTGAAGGGCAGTAGTTGTAACAAATCCAAACTCATTGTTGTTTATGTTGCTAGCTATGGTCCACTCAAGCCAAAACATTACTAGATTATATAATTGAAATTAAACTCAACAGTTCTTGCAGTCCTCGAGCTAATTAGTTAGTGAAACATCCACCCCGCTCCCAGTGTTTCAGAATTTCCTTCCCAGGATTTCCCAGGTGTTTCTTGTGCCGACAAGATACCATTTCGTTCATCGGAACCGAGCGAAGCGATGCAATGACCCTCTCGATCACTCGGGGAAAGCGTCTGATCATTTGAGCCAGGACGGATGACTTACAGTCGAAGGTTTCGAAACGAGTTGGCCGGTTGGCCTTGACAATCACGATCATGCAAATCAGCCTACTAATTGCAGCAATGAAAACTTAGACTCATATGACTCATACATTTTTCTTATCTTGAACAATCTCCAACCACATGCAGGTTGTCAGCTTCCCCCCCGAAACAGCCGCGCTTGATAGCGTTGAAGGTGTCGCCCAAATCACCGGCAACGATGAGAATGTCGTTCTTGAACTCCTGGTTGATCGGAAGCATCTGTTTCCGCAAGAAGAAGGTGATAGTGGTTCATTTCAAGCAACATCAAATAACACAATCTTCACAAGAAACCTCTGGGTGCTGCAAATTTCGGGTGTGCAATTGAAAGTGATTCTGATATTCACAACAAATGTTGATGTGGCTTGATACTCACCGTGAAATTCCACCATCGTGCCTTGTCATTGATCCCTTCTGCCCACTTCAACACCGCACCGCCGTGGTCGATGTGGACCTCACTTGAGATTTGAGAAAAGGGTCTGCAGCACCAGGTATGATGAGGTATGTTTTGTAGAGGCCCTCACATCCGAGATCGCGAAGATGCGGCACCAACCCTTGGGCCGGTTCTTGTCCTGCCGAAGAGTCAAGCTGACAAACTCTTGCGGCTCAAGACTGTGCTGCGTCTTCCATCATCGTCAACCCCCATCAGAACCCCCAAAGTCCTGATCAAAACGGGTCAGGCGCTGCTTGGCCAGTGGAGACCTCTGCCGTGAGGATGACCCGTGGGGTACACAAACGGTCTTGTCATGTGAGCCATGAAAAAGAAAACTTATCATCCCTTCTCCCATCTCATTATACTAGTTGGTTGATAGGTACCCTTACTATGGATCTATGGGTTATCATAATCTCCAATAAATTATAAACTTTATAAAGCAATCATGGCATCATGGAAGTATAAGTCCCAATATCAGCCAATCAACAACTTTTTAATGGCTCATGCTTCATGATGGCTCATGTCTTGTCCAAACATCTGGCAGCCACAAATTGCACATCGATAATTAGTAGGGTCTCTAAACGAGGCATGGACTCCAAGCGAGGAATTTGCCAGAGCGCATGTTGACACTCCTGAGATTTCGCAATGGGGTCTTCATATCTTGGGACCCTGTGCAAAAATGAAACACGACATAGCAGCAAGATGCCGGAAGCAAAGCCCAACTCTAGAAAAACATGCCCGCACTCAATCATTGCTTGTTCCTTCCAGGTTTCCCACCTTCATCGCTTCGGCATAGCCCTGTGGCAAGTCACTGGCGAAGAGATAGGTCCTGGATGAGGCATCAGTAGTTGACAGCTAATAAATCTGTCAGGAGATGGCTCAAGTTTGCTAAACCATTCTATATTTCACACACCAACTTCAGATGAGCTGTACATCAAGCTCTTAAGTGCGGTTATCAACCAGATCCTTAGCACGTCTAAGAGTAAAAGCCGACATCAGTTGCCACGGCCGCAAACAATTGCAAACCAGGTCCCCCAGCTTGTAGGCATGTTCAGCCTTGGATGCGGAGGCTACCCTTTTGCACACTTCTGTTCAAAATTGCAGAAAGTACCTTGGAAAATTATCCTCCTCCTCCTCATCATCATCAGCATCATCATCAAGGTTGGCATCGTTGGCATCAGCATCAGCATCATTGATCATCCACCCCTCCGGGATTTGGCCCAGGACTCCCAACGTGGCCTTGCCCCAAGTAGGCGGTGGCAATCCGTAGCTGCGACTTGTACCATTGGGGACCTCAAGAAAGCTGCCATAACCAGAGACCAAAACAAGTCAAGTATACCCCCAAAACGCCCAGAACATCTGCAAAGTGTGGACAGAAATAGACCAACAATAAGAAACAAACAGATCGGAAAGTGATCCAGCTCTGCCCTCTGGGCACGGGGCTAAGTCGCGCTGACTCCTGGGCATCACCCAACGAGTAGTGCCACTGCCTGGCCCAAAATGGAAAGAATCACCGACTTGGAAAACATCAGCTGTGCAGGTCCTTGGATGGAAATGATGGGATCAAATCCAACCAGAACGAATCACATTAATTACATATATGCATACATATGCGAATCATCTTTCATGTGTCATCTACAAATCTCCCATCTTTGCCAAGCAAAATCCACAATTTTTTGGGCACCATGTGACCTACATGTAGCCCCCAACATATCTCAAGACCGCACCGCAGCTTGGCGAAGGCCGCGGAACGGTTGGAAGAATAGACTGCAGCCTCAGCGTGCAGATAGGAGTTGAACCAGCAAAAAATGGTGAAAATAATGGGAAAATGAGATCTATATATATATTATATATATAAGATTCAAGACGACTTGTACCCCAAAAAACTATCAAACACAAGGGATTGATCGGTTTAATCACCACTTCTGTGGGGGCGGTGTATAGTGATATAGCATGATAGAACCAATTGGTACCAGTGGCCCAGTTTAATTTCATGTTTAGTTTAGCCTCGCCCAGCGTATTCACCACTGCTTCTGCCTCATTTTTAGTACTTAACTGAACTTATATGGAGGTTGGGGGCCTCCATTTTTTGGATAACAGTCATATGTCCTGGAGCATACCATAGCATCTGCTCAGTCAAAATCAATCAACATCAGTCAACCACTGTTGGCTCGGCAGTCAACTGATTTTTGCTCGGTTGCTGACTGTTTGTTTTAGGTTCTGCGCACTCTCAGCGAAAGGTTTGATGGCCTGAGCATCCGAGACCCTCATTCTTTGGTTGATGGGGGCTCTGATGACGGATTATACAGCATAAGTTATAACTCAATTATGAGCCCACCCCAGCCCAGCCAAACCGAACAAGGCGTGGTTCTTGCCATATTTGAATAATTTTGAATATATTTAATTTGTTGATGTTTGTTGTGAAAATTACACAATTATTCATAGAAAAAAGGCTGTGCCTGGGTGGCACATGGGCCAAGTCGTTTGGGACGATGAGCAGCCCCTACTGCAGCGAAGCTGCGGATATGGCCATAGTGTAGCAAGCGATTGCCAAGGGCAGCTGCCCAGCCTTCAACGCTTCGTTTCCTCAGGAAATGGTGGGGATCCCAGGTGTGAAACGCCCTCGCTTCATACTTTGCAAAGGTGTTTGCCAGACATGGTTTTGCACTCGTGGAACTGAAACAAAATAGTACAGCATTAGAGCAACTACAACGTTTAAATGGTTGCAGGATGTTAATATAATATAAATATCACCTCATCCCTGAGCAGAAATGTCAACTACTCATAACTACTCCATGTGTCTGGTTCTGATCTAAACAGAACTATATAAACAGCGCAACACTTCCCAGCGAACCAATTGCTAGAGCATGGTAGGCTCCCAGAACTAGACAGTTCAAAAAATACTTTACTTAGGGTGATCCCCCACCGTGGCATTCTATCTTTCTGGCATTCTTTTCTGACATTCTATCTAGAAATTCTGGAATTCTATCTGACATCTATCTGACATACTTTCTGGCATTCTATTGCGAAATTCTTTCTGACATTCTGTCTGGCATCTATTCTGACATTTTGTCTGGCATTCTTTCTGCCATTCGGGTCCAGGTGTGCCCCACAGCATCCGGAGCTGGCGATATGGTGTCCGGCGATCACTCCACAGTGCAGAAGGAAGACGGGAGTGATGGCAGCGAGTGAAGGAAGGAAAGGAAAGGAAAGGAAAGGAACGGGAAGGGAAGGGAAGGGAGGGAAGGAAGGAAGGAAGGAGGAGCGCACCTTTGCAAAAATCTACAGACCCCCAACTAGCAGATGGGAAAAACAAGCTTTTGGCAGCTTTCGATCCAGCCCCGCCCGGAGCTCCTTTGGACTTCTTGAGTTCTGCTTCCGACTGCCGATCTGAGGAAGACTTGCCTTGAGCACTGAAGATGGCATGTCACTGGATCGCTCTATTAGGGTAGAGCATCCTGTTGGCAATCCGTTTCAGCCTGGAGTATACATACGCAGATGCATGCATCCCCAAAATACATGTATCATCAGTACACCAAATTGCATTCGAATTGGGCTCCATCGTGCATATGGCAACGCATTGCCTTGGCAAATTTCATCGCGATCTGGTATCTGTGTCTTGTGCAAATAAACAGACATGTGAAATATCCATAAATATAAATAATATATATATATACATCTGTGCGTATGGTTTGAGTAAGTTTTTCTAAGTAGGTTTTATTCGGATACCAACCAGTCAGCATTAGCCAACTCAAATCCTGTGGGCCCCTTAGCAACCACCTTGCAAAAGCTTCTCGGTCGCTTGACTGAGTCCAGCCTCGGTCAGCTTACTAGGCACCCTTTCACCCATGGAACTGCTCACATTAAATGGACGTCACATCATACCTTCAATGTGAAGCAAACATCAGTGATTCCGTGTAAATATTTATATATATATATATATATTTGTGTATGTATATATATTATATATATTGGCCGTCTGGTAGGCCTCTTTGTCTGTTGTGGGGCCCAAGGCCTTGGAACTATTTGCAAAATCTATTCAGCTAGTCATTTAAAATTGAATCGGTTTTCATGAATACCAGTCAATCTCTGGAAGGGGGTTTGCATTTTTCGCATGGTATATATTTAACCCACTTGTTTTGACATGTTGCATGCATCATACCTATATATATATATAATAAGCTGGGCCAAGCAGATATTTAAAACACAAAACTTTTAAAACACACATGAAAAGTTTAGGGCTATATTACGACAAACTGATTTTGTATATGTATATGTATATATATATTGACATACAAGATATAATTGTATTCTAGTCTATATGCTTTATGGTTCAACACGGTGTCAAACAGTTTCGGTTTGGTTTAGGTTCTGTGTAGAGTTGGTGTAAGACCTACTCAGAGTTGGTTTGGGATTTCTTTATGCCTGGTTTACATCTATTTAGGGTTGGTGAGGGGTTTATTTAGGCTTGGTTTAACATATGGTAACTACATTATTAAATATACGGACTTTTAAATATACGAACAAGTATTTGAGACTACCTCCGGGAAGGTTTTCCTTGGCCCGCCCGGCCATTTAAACATACAGAATCCAATTCATTTAAACATACGGACACTACATTTAAATATACGAACAGTATTTCATACTACCTCCAGGGCCTCGCGGTCTGGCCCGCCCTCCACAAATTTAAATGTCGTTACCGTATATGTGGGGTTGGTTTAGGATCTATTTAGGGCTGGTTCAGGGTTTCTTTAGGATTAGTTTCAGATTTATTTAGGCAATGCTTAGGGTTTCCTTAGAGTTGCTTTAGTGTTTTTCTTTGTTTTCGGCTTTGTTTAGGGTTCATGTAGGGCTGATTTAGGGGTTAGTCTATGTATTATATGATGCTTCTTAGGGTTTATTTACGGTATGAGAAACAAAAGACAAGCAGGGAAAAGCAGAGAAGCAGGTAAACAGAAAAAAGCAGAGAAGCAAAGAAGCTGGAAAAGCAGAAAAGCACGGAAAAGCGGAGAAGGAGAGAAGCAAAGAAGCAGAAAAGCAGGAAAACGCAGAAAAGCAGAGAAGCAAGCCAGCAGGGAAAAGCGGAGAAGCAAAGAAGCAGGGAAAAGCAGAGAAGCAGAGAAGCTGGGAACCAGAAATCCAAAAACAAAAAACAAAACGAAAGAAAAAAACAAAAACTAACCCTCCATTAGTTACTGGTATTTAGGGTTTGTTTATAGTTTTCTGTGGTTGGTTGAAAATTTATTTGCGGATTATTTAAGATCGCTTTAGGGTTTATTTAGGGTTGGTGTAAAATTTATTGAGGGACAGTTTCTGGTTCATTTGGTGGTGATTTAGGGTTTATTTTGAATTGGTTTAGAGTTTACTTAGGGTTGGTTTAAGGCTTATTTAGGATTGGTATAGTGTTTATTTATGATTGGTTCAAGTCTGATTTAGTGTTGGTTTAGGGTTTATTTAGGGTTAGTTTGGGGTTATTTGGAGTTGGTCTATGTCTGGTTTAGCGTTGGTTCTAGGGTTGCTTTGGGATTTGTTTGGGGTTGTCAGATTTTTGTGGGCTTGGTGTCGAATTTCTTGAAGATTTATTTGCAACTCATTTCCGGCGTATTTAAGGTCTATTCTGCAAAGCTACACAATGCAACATGTAGAAACGAATGATCTTAACAACCCCAACCAAGAACCTCCGGAAACGAAGCACTACGGGGTCACATTTAAAACCCATGACAAGAAACTCCGAAAGCAAGAAAGCGAGAAACCTAGAAACCAAGAGACCCAGAAACCAAGAAACCGAGGAACCAAGAAACCAAGAGACCCAGAAACCAAGAAACCCAGAAACCGGGGGAACAGAAAGTTAGAACCATGGCGCGTTGCAAAATGAACGCAGCGGCTGCACGCACTAAATTTAGACACGAAGTAACAGCCCTGGCGCGTTGAGAAATGACCCCTGGTGCGTTGAAAAATGACCTAAATAATACCGCGTTGTAAAATGACAATTTTCTCGCGTTGAGAAATGGCCCCCCTTCCATTTATAAATAGTTCCGCCCAATTTATAGGTAGCTCCGCCCAGTTTATAGATAGATCCGGCTGGTTTATCAATAGTTCCGGCCAATTTATAAATAGATCCGGCTGGTTTGTAAATAGTTCCAGACAATAACGCTTACAGGGAGAGCCCAACCTATTCCGCGAGCGACAACGCGCGGCGGCTCCCGTAAGGCCTATAAGCAATCTGTTACCTGAGCAGTGACCTGAAAATCGCGTTTCCAAGCGCGCGGGTTTGATGGAATGGGGTTGGCTCAGGGCGTTGGCTTCTGGGACGTATTTGAAGGGTTGGCTGTTTGAAAGCATCAGTCAGGGAAACGCTTCCTACCGCTTGTGCGCGTGAAGCAGATCTCACAACAACCACAAACATCCTCGTCTCTTGCCAGGGGGGGTGGAACCCACCAAAAAATAAAATAAAATGCAGGGGCCTAAGGACAAAATGCCATTAAAATGAAAGGGCATCAGGTAAGATAGGAAAACCCAAGCAAAATACAATGGACAGGTACCAAAGAATATGACGTCAGGCCCCCTCCACCTGGCAACTGTTGGACCTCGGGCTCCGGCATTTTCTTTTGGGTTGATCTTGTTTAGTCTCGTTTCCTTATTTGATTGGTTTTAAGTTTTAACCATCTTTGAAGGAAAACCACCAAAATGGGAAGACCCAACCTCCAACATACCCCAGCATCTGCAAAGTAAATGTCATCTTTTGTCACGCGACAACAGGAAGGAAAAATCGTGCGGATTTCGACCAGTATATATATAATTGGTTCCAAGTCTGACATCTGGATGGTTTCTAGAAACATATAAATAAATATAAATAAACTGAAGAAATCTCATTGGCTGCTGTGAGCTGCCTGTGCGTCTTTTATTGTCTTTTGTTGGCCAAAGGAGGCAATAGAAAATGAGGGGGCCAACCCATTTTCGAAGTTAATGTCCAAGTGATTCCAAATCTCTGGAAGGTTTCACAAAATGATCAGACCGTTCACAGCTGTGCATCTTTGCTATCATGCTATCTCTGTCAGTTAACTTGGTGGGTTGGGCACCTCAAAAAATAACATGCACCCACAAAATAAAATGCTGGGGTCTGACCCATTTTGTTTTCATTTTTTATTTTTAAAGGGGCTCCTGCCCCTTCATTCTATTTCGGTACAAGCATGGAGGGTCACAAAAAAAGCCCGTGCAGCCTCACTAGGTGCTTGAACATGATTGACATTGCCCTAGGCACGTACATGTGTGTGTGTGTGTCCCATGTCCCTTAAGGCTGCACCCCCTTGCGGTTGCTAGGGGCCAAAGCCGAATCGCTGACTTCCGCGCCGCAATGTCAAATCATTGCCTTTTCTGTTCTTTCCTTACTTTCACCTTGCGCTTTGGCTTGACACGTTTCTTTTGCTTTATACTTTCCCGGTGGCTAAGCCATGCCAATGAGGTTGTATCAAACCGCTGCCACAGGCGATGACATCATGTGAGTAAATTTCTTATGCTGTATATTGATATGATGAAATTCTGCTTCTTATGGTTTTGAAAAACTGACAACTCACCGCGGAATGCAGCGTGCAGCCCTGAGCTCACCTAAGAGACCTTGCTCAAACCCTCCTGAGACCCAAACATGTTTCGTCAGGAGCACTGTGTTTGCGAGCATTTTTGGATCCACTCATTTAATCTCATTTATAAAACGTTAAAGCCGGTGGCTTGTACTGCTTCGGTATACCTTTGAAGGTAAACCCAGCGCATGAACAGATCCAAACCTTCAACCTGGTAGGTTTACACTTTCAAAGGGAAAACAAACAAGTGAATGCCGGATTTCCCATGGTGTATCCTGTTCTTCTGCCAGACTGGATGTATGAATGCATTATTGTTGCGTCATGTTGCGTCTATGGATTTATGGGTCTATGAGCTGATAATATTGCGCTGATGAATATCTGGTGTGGCTCTACTAGTGTGCCATTTGGTCATTTGGTCTTCACGTTTGCAGCTGGGACTGACCCCCGTTAATTTTTCAATAAATACGCTACAAGTAGTTCCGGCCCTGTTGTAAATAGTTCCAGGGCTAAAAGGGTCCAAAACAGAAATTAGTGGATAAACAAGCCAACCGGACCGCTATAAATCTACATCACAAGAAATGCATGTCCTGAGCCTTAACCCCAACATACCCCAACCCATGATGACTACAGTCATACTAGTAACTAGCAACATAGAGGCATAGTTTCAAAGGCCAAAGTCGCAGCACCTTTTCTTGCCAGCAGTTCACTTGCTTTGAACATTCCTTACCAGCAACTTGAAATTACAGATCCTGATTCTGAAGAGCCTTGACTATGCCTTGCCTTGATTCTACCTATGCTGCCTATGCTCATCATCAGGACAAACCATGCAGCAGCTAACTGGAGGGACGGAACTGTTCCAGCCATCCACTGGGGCTCATCACAAGGTAGCCATCTGTCACCGGATCGTTTTTCACTGCTTGAATGTAGCTGGCCCTGGCAGCTCACACAGCTGATAACATATGATATATAGGTAAAACATAGTAAAACATGGTAAAGCAGGATCATGCCTGCTTGTTCTGCCACAGTTTACACTGGCAAAGTTATATTTGAATTTCAGGCGGTGCAGGAAGTAAGGGGGCGCTAGTCGATAGCATGGTGCTTCACTGGTGCTTGTTTTGTACAGTCGTAAGTTGTCTTGGTCCTGGTGCTCATCAGCAATAACAGTTCAATGACACCATACAGATATACAGTACAACACATTACAACAGCACAATCGCATAGCCATCATAGCCATCCTCACCAACAAAATGATGATTCTATAGCTGCCAAGGTGCTGTGCATCAGCAAAGCGGCCCAGGCTAAGCCTCACCCGCCAAGGATTTCAAGGATCTGAAGCACAGAATGTTGGTCGTGGTTGCCTATGGTTGCCTGATTGTAGGATATTGATGGGTATTGTTATTTTAGGTCATGGAAACACTATGGTCATGTGTTTCTTCATGAGCTTCATCTTCTCTTCTTTTGCGTTTCATCGAGTCATTCGGTTTAGGCCGGTGTGGTGGCGAAACAATGCCAAACGACAGTTTTCAGGCCTTAAAATTATCCAATTCTGGGCTCAGAACCTCCGAAGTGAGATATGACAGAATTTGATCTCTATAATCTCGCTTGGATGGACTCACCGCTTACCAATGCTCCCATGCAATTACTTGTTTACATAATATTAAATATATTAATAGTATACATAATTACGTGGATACTGTGATAGATTCTTCGGCCTACTAGGTTCAGACCTTTTCTCCAAATCACAGCCAGCAACCACCCGTCTTTTTGCTTCGCATCCTGACGCTTGAGTTTGTTTTTGGCCTTCAAGGTCTTAAGCCTGTAAGCCTGATCGAAACGCCAAAGGCTGCAATGATTACTAACGCTGCACTCCGGTTGCCTTGAGCCCTGCGACGCCAAATCTTGACCATGCACAAAAGTACACAAAGGCTTAACAATGCTTAACACCCAAACCGAACCAAGTCACACTATGGCTACCCCAATGTCTTGAATCGCCGCACCTCAAGTCATGAACCAATTCCCAAACCGTTTTCTTAGCATTTCTTGTTCTTTCAATCACAAAAAGTGTTGATTTCTTGCGGTCCGGACTGCAGCTTCACCTGTATAACCATTGCAACTGTAGAAGAACTCTGCGCAAAGGTCGGCAAATGTCGGCAAGTAAATCAGGAAGTGCACATAAATTATAAATGGATCACAATCTTGAAAGTCCTCGAGCAACGGGATGCAACATGATGTCAGATTGTCGCTTGTCAAACTGTCGACTGTGTTTGCCACCAATTAGCCCATGTGGCGCTCTCAAATTGGCTGTTCTGCCTTTGACAGATGGTGTGCATCCGTCTGGTCGTGTGCCCTGCTAAAACGGACGGATGACTCTGTGAAGCTGGGAATTAGGCATCTGTCGGACTCAACTATAAATCAACAAATTCAATGTAGCCTGTACTTCCTGTACTCTCTTGAGAACGACTGACACCTCAAAGCTTCTGGAGAGTAAGACAAATTCTCCCTCCGAGTGTCTCTCTTTGGCAGGTAAGGTAAGGTAATGACTTGGCCACTTGCCGACAAAATCTGAGCTGAATTCCTGGCTGCCAGAAAGAGAAGGAAAGGGATTCGTGTGTGACAGCCTCCGGTCTGCAACCATCAACAACGTGTCGTGGCAGACACGGTTCGAGTCTAGAGATTGCCTAACCTGAGACCGCCAAAAACACGCCCCTTATTAAGCTCTTTGGGGGCGTGTTTGCTATAATACGCCCCTCGGAGAGAATGCTGGGCATGCAAGACTGCTTATACACGGCTTCAGCATCAGGCACTGCTAGAGGAGGCAACAAGCTTCTTGCGAAACATCGCCATTCAAGATTTACGTACACATGACATGCAAGCAATGGCCCGCCAATTGTTTTCTGGTAAAAACATGCAGGTTCTCATGCTTTGTTCTTCAAAGGACGTGTCAGTGCTTCGTTCCTTGTAGCTGGCCTGAAGCTTTGGAGACATTTGGCAATGCCCGACTTGTGCAAAGGCCAAAAGCCCGCATGAGCTTGAGGTACGCCAAGCAGATTGGGCATGCAAATCTTAAGTCTGAAAATATGTTTATTACATGTTTTTTTTACTTTTTTTTTAAAACCATATATTACCATTTCATACGTACCATATCTATCCATATCTTACCATCATTGCGTGGCGCTGTAGGTGCGAGGCTGACATTGAGTTGGGGCCAAAACGCGAACCACGGCAGACCCTGGGATTTCATGAGGCCGACTTCCCGATTTGTTCACTCCAGGGGTCCTGCGTATTATGTGCATTTCGCCATGGACGCGGTACGTCAGGAGGTTTCTTCTAGCTTCTCATGCAGTATTGACTGGCTCAATGAGACCATATGACCTGCAAACAAAAACAGACTCCTGCATTTGCACTACTGTTTGAGATGGGGCGCGATTCATCTCTAGCTCAGCCGATATCTCCAGCGACGGAAACTTCGTACAGTAGGTCTAAACTGAGGCCCTATTCGGCGCAGTCAGAGCTCCTACTCCTCCCTGAAGGCAGCGACGAACACGTCAATAATATGGTAAAACATGCCAAGAGAACTGTGCAACACCTGGCGGCCAGCTTGGTGCAACCATGTGCAACCAGTCTGGTGCTATATTTTCAAGAGTTGGATCTTGGCTTCAAAGTCCAAGTTTATAGTCTGAGCTTGACAAAATTGGGCTCAAATAATTGGTTTTTACAGGCATAGACATAGAGGACTTTGATGCATTTTGAACAACAAACATCTGTCCTACAAGCATTTCTGTATTAATCTCCTTGACTGGCCAAGTTTGTCCATTGCTGACTTCCCCAGCACCAGGATGCCCAAAACATAATCGATCAAGCGAATCAATAGACAACATTCACGACTCGTGATGAATCAACCAGGAATCCTTTATCATTCACAGGTAATATTGGGCTCCATGCCAAGAAAATGTGTTCAATTGTTGAGCAGGCGAAACTGGCGATAAATCTAGATGCTGTAATTTCATGTATTTAAATGTTCATTTGATCTATCCGATCGTGATATCTCATGTATTCTCATGATATCTCAATCTCATGATGATACGTCGAGATCCCGAGGGTTAAAAACATGTTGAAAGCAATCCGTGTTATCCACTGCCATTACATCCGCGACGGCGCCCAGGTGGGTCCGTTTTAGAGCGGGGATTGGCGTGTGTTCCACCGAGCCCCAGATCACTCGGTGAAGACCGGTGATCTCAGGGCCAGGTCAACAGTTCCAGGTCCAGCCCCCAACCCCCCTGGGTCCCCTGGGTTCCAATGGAAAGAGCGCACAGCAGGCTCGATTCAACATCCTTTGCAACGGCCGGTTTTCAAAGGAATGTCAGCCGTTGACTGATAGAGGGGAGCTCAAAATCGAGAGTCGGAGCCACGGCATCAATATGAATCTCAGTGACAAGTGACAACTATGCTGCAAAGCGAAATCTGATTTTGGCACTTTTGATGTGATGGTGTTTTCCATCATGCTATATATCAATATTGCTGTTCCCGATTCTGCACAAGCGATCCCCGGTCGACCTAGACAGTCTAGACAGTCACCTGCGATAAACTCCTACTCGACATGCGCCACGTGGATTCGGGGACAAATGGCAAGCAGTCTCCACATGTCTCCTCCCTGAGGCTTGGAAAGTCTCTCCTTTCGCAGATCTTTCCGATGTCGTCACAAAGACTTCGTGCAGCCTCTAATTCTTTTGAGTCCCAGATCTGATAAATTAAGTTTCCAACACCGGTGACGTCAGGGTATTTGTTGTCTTACGTGTCTTACGTTTTCTTCTGTGCTTTTGGTTTCTATGCAACTGGAACTCCTGGCGCGTACACTTGTAGCACGGCCTGTTGAATTTCCTGCCACACGAAAATTCCAAAGCCAAAGCACCATGACAGCATGTCATACTCAAACAGGAATTGATTGCCAAACATCTTGGCTGGCAAGGTGCGGGCTACAAGAAAGAGGATTGGGCGGAACTTGGCCACAGGGATTTTTTCCAGTTCCTTGCAATTATTTATCTGGAACGGTCAAACAAATCAGGAGATGCCACCTGGTTGCTTGCATGAAATTCCCCTCTGCTTCCCTTCAAGTGGATTAAGCATAAAAACATCAACAACCAAATCAAGATGATTCATTCCACCTCCAGTCCTGCCTCTAGTTCTACCATGTCCTGCTGACCGGGAATCCTCTATTAGGAGCGGTGCTCGCCGCGGCTGGAGTTGGGTGCGGCTCCATTCTCGGGCCCCTTGGTAGCTAGGACTTTCAGCATCGCGCGCAAGTCCTTGGGGATCAGCTGCTGCGGATGGGTTTATCATTTATATGGACACGTGCTATATATTATCACTTTTATAGCTGCACGGGAAGAATGTGAAGAATGTGGGTATGTGGCTGCACATATAATGATTAACGTACGTATATTTATAATATATGTTATTATATGCTCATACTTCGCATATTTTATCCATGCAGTACAGTATACAGTGCATGTCATGAGGACATGGGAATCACATCATTTATTTCAGGTTAGACGCACAAATTTTCAAAAGCATTCCATCAGTTTCTCGTTGATAATAAGGCAACAACGGCCTTCCTGGCCACGAATGCCATACCCTTCCACTGGCCCTTGGCCCTTGCCCAAATTACCATGGCGACAGCAAGGAACTTTGACTTCTTGCTCCATGCGCGCCAGCGGGATTCCTTCCAATTGGAGAAAGGCGGGACCAAAGACAGTGTCGCCTGTCAAACAGAGCCTTCAGACCTGTAAAATTCCATAAGCTGGCCGAACTTTCGCTTATCAGTCTTATATATATCTATCCAAGGCCCATCACAGGCATCCTTCGGGACTCATCCCAGCTATCGCACCTCCTGATCTTCCTGAGGTGGTTGAGGGCAAGGAAGAGGACTTCCTGATCCACGCCAAGAGCATCGCTGATGGGAGGTTGTTACATGACGATGACGATAACCAACTACCCGGCACCCAACTACAGTCTATGAAAAAACCTTACCAGTACTTTAGCAGTGCCAGGTACGACCGAAAGAGTTTCCAAACCTGCTAGCCTGCATAAACTCACAATGCAACTGCTATGATCTGCTATGATCTGCTATGATCTGCTATGGGCTGCTGAATGTGATTTTGCAGCATCCCGGATCTCTGGCTTTCAGCACCGAGTGTCGCTGCTATGTTGCGACAAAGCATTTTTCAATGCACGGAAGGTGACATATGGTGACATGCATAAATGATTTTGATATATTATTGATACGAATGATACGAACATGCACCCAATGATCAGGCGAGCTTCTGGTAGCTGCTCCCAGATGATGACGACGTGATCGATGTCTGCAAGGCGTTTACAAGGCGCATGATGCTGGATTGTTTAGATCATGCTATGATGTTGGGCCCGACCACAAGAAATATAGCCAGGGACAATGAAGACGGACCATCTGCTAGAATTCATTTAGCTACAATACTGGCGCAGAATTGCTCGCCGTGTCACATGCGTCTGGTAGACGTTTTGCTCGTCATCATTGGGGCTGGATGCCTCACAGCTATGTCAGCATCAATTGTGTACAGTGTACATCATGTACAAGTGCATGAAGGAGAGTCATGGCTGGACAAATTCAGCCACCTACTACAATTTGATTTTGAGGAATGGGAAAATGATGGAAAATGCAAATACATTCCTGCATCACGCCCCGAAATCAACCTGTAATAGCCTGATAGACATGTTTGGCACGTAAGGCCAGCAGGAGGGAGTGCTAGCAGCTAGCACATACAAAAGACATGGGACACATCTGCTGCCGCCAAGTAGCACATTGAGGAAGGTGTGGCTTTTGAAAACCTGAGGTCTCGGCAAGTGAAAGATTGTAACGGCATAGGTCCATGGCCTTCACTGACGATGAGCAAAATTACTAAAGTCCGTTGCATGCGGAAAATTGAATGAAATTGAACGGCCTACATAGGGAACCCAACTTCCTGCAAGTATTTCAACAGCAAGTTTTCGCTCATCCAAGCTGCCTCCATTTCCATTTCCTCTATATAATCACCCGTTTTTTTGTCTGCAGCTTGCCATGGAAATACCGAGAGTATGTAATGCTGCATCACAGTTTGCATGATTCCATGTCACCCGCATGCTGAAAACTATACAACACGTCAGAACATATCATATGCCATAAGTTGCAATAACAGTTTGGCATAATTTCCCATCCCTCAGTGGCCCCGTGAAGCTTTCAGCACCCAAGTGACTTACATCCAGCGTCCCACGCATCCCCAAGGAGCTCTTCCCTCAGCGATTCAAACGCTGGAAGATCATGGAAAGCGGTCGCGTATCCACAACACATCCAGCCGACCAAGAAACGCAACAAACATCAACAAACAATAGCTGGATGTGTTCATTCTTGCTCATTCTGAATTCTTGTTCTTGAGACTTTGGACGAAACATGACGAAACAGGAAAAAGGATGAAAACGGAGCTTTCTCCTCACTGCAGGTGACAGGTCTGACACATTCCGAAGGCCCCCAACTGCCCAGGAACTTTCTTCATCACTGCTGCGAGTTATGGAAGAATGGCTGCTCCCAGGTGTGCCTGGAACAGAGATACCTGGCGACTGTGCTAGGCGATGATGGTGGGGAGGGCCCGGTCCAGGGTGGGAGCACTGTTTCATTGCGCCTTCCTAACCACAACATATCTGAGACAATCCTATAATTTTTCATCTTCCCACGGCAGAGAGGCCGACCCTTGCCCCATCTGAGAATCCACCCCTTCCCAGCATTCCAAGCCGGCCAAGCTGCTCTTTTGATAGCTGCTTCCGCTGGCATCCGTGGTCTCTGAGGTCACATCTGATGGGGCGCGTGGGAAGCGGCTCACACCACTGAGTCCACTGAGGCTGCTGGCACTTGAGCTTGGCCGAGCTGATGCTGAGCTGGGCGTCAAAAAGCGCGGCTCCAACAAAGCCTGCCATAAATGCGGCCAAACACAGCCAAACATTGTCATCAAACATCCCAAACTGTGGAGAGGTATGGAGAGGTTCTGGTCTCAAATTAGAAGCCAAATAACGGACAACGTGGACCCAACGTGGACCTGACATGGACCCATTTGAAGTAAAATAGGGATAGATAGGATATACATGGATATACCATACAAACCGTGTTCGAAAGGTGGGGGTCACCCCGGTCACCCCGGTCACCCCATGCTGAACATGCGGCCAGGCCACTCCATGGATGTTGGACTTGGAGCTATCTTCAAAACGGAGACATAACGTCAACCACAAGGTTGCTTGGTTCGCCGAGCTAGGCTTTTGAATGAGACAAGGATGACCTGAGCACAGCAGTTGGTCGAAATTGGGTCAGGGTCTGACAACGCCTCGGCAGGATCTACAAAATGCTTGGTTTGTAGCAGTGTTTTTTCATATACAATCCACTCGACGCTTCTGAGAAATATATGGAACTAAACAAATGGTCAATCTATGTCAATCTTGCTCCCTAGGTGAGGGATTTGGAGGCCTCCAAATCATCCAAGAGACCAAAACGCTTGTGAGGACACACGATCGCGTAGAGGCCATTTAAGTGCCTGCAGGCCATTTAAGTGCCATGCACTTGGATGCTTTATGATGCTTTCCAGTTTGTCAATTCCGGCTCCGCCTGTGATCATTTTGAATATGATCGGGGGATCTCCATGATGGAGCCAAATCCATGCATGGGGGTGTCCGGCCAACTGCAGCACATGCAAGGAGCCTCATGTGACTGCTTTGAAGTCCACCCACCACCAGGCGCGTTCCCACTCGCCAATCTTGATGTACCTTGGCGTCCGGCAACAAATGAGCTAGTGCTGCAATGTGGTGTGGCAAAACGATAAAACTGCCTATAAGATCCTATATGCATATCTACGAAATGTCTGCAACTGTAGCGTCCTACGCGAAAATATAATTGGGGAAAAACTTCACCACGACGACGACCACCACCACCAGCATCATCATCATCATCATCATCACCACCACCACCACCGTCATCATCGTCATAATCAGCATCATAATCAGCATCATAATCAGCATCAACTTCAGCATCATAATCAGCATCATAATCAGCATCATAATCAGCATCATAATCAGCATCATAATCAGCATCATAATCAGCATCATATTCAGCATCATAATCAGCATCATAATCAGCATCATAATCAGCAACAACAACAACAACCAACAACAACAACAACAGCAACAACAGCAGCAACAACAACAACAACAGCAACAACAGCAACAACAACAACAACAAGAACAAGAACAATAACAAGAAAAATAAGAAGAACAAGAACAGGAACAAGAACAAGAACAAGAAGCAAAAGAAGTGAGCAGTGCTTTCACGTACGAACCTTCCAGTCCTGGCCAACTGTGGGCTCTTCCAAGATCTCCAATACGATTTTTCAAGGCACTGGGATGACCTCACGAAAGTCCACAGCACATTCGCCCACGCAGTAGCTGCGGGAGTCATCTAGGACAGCCACCTGACACAGAAGCTGCAAGCTGCAGCCTGCCTTTCTGGATACCACTTGCCACTGGCCACAAGTCCAACTATGTTTCAAACTGATTCAACAACATTCAACAACATTTAACATATTTATATATATATAACATCAAAAACGTTATCGAACATATTGTTTGTAAACATCGGGATGGACAATTATGGCACTATTGACTATTGACCCTTATGACAGAAACGTCAGCGTCAATTCCAAGGCACGTTGCAGAAGTCACTGTGGACATCCTGCCACCAGTTCTACATTCAGCTGTGAAGAAATCCAATGGGCAATGATGGGGGCAGTTTTCCATTTTCAAAGGGCTACTTTCCGTCCATAATTTTCAAAAATAGACCAAACCTCAACCTCGACTTCAACATACTTCAACTAAGCTGGAACGAAATGGGTCGTCCCTGCTGAGCCCTTCTCCATGACTCTTCGCTTCTTTCAACGCAAAAAAAACAATTAGACTCTTATTATAAGAGTCGTGTCTTACGCCTGCGCAGTAACCAGCGCCTGACACTGCATGTTGTCTTCAGCAATTTCTATGTGCATGCTCTCTGGCTTTGCTCTGAAGAGTACTTCAGCAATGATGAGGCATGGATCGAGTTTCCAACCAGTCCAAGCTGCACACCCAGTCAGCCCGGTCCTTCACCACAGCAGAGCAAAGCTGATAGCGTGCAGAGACTCCGCGGCCCAGGACCACCAAATCCCCTTGCCTTGGTCCAGCATCAACAGCTTTCCAACACACCTCTTGCCGTCCTGGAACTCACAGGTTTCAGATATTCCAATAATATATGAAAGGCATCTAGGAGTCAGGATATTGTCAGGAAATCCCTCTTTTCTTTTGATCTGAGGGATCTCCCTAGGCCGACAAGCTGCTCTGGAATTTGGGAACTGTAGATGTGGCCCTGACCTGCATCCCCTCCAGGGGAGAGCTCCTAAGCTGCAAATGAGCTGAAAAAAAAAACTGGTATGTAAATCCTTATCCCAAAAGCAAATCATGTGATTTCCAAGCGGCGGTCTTCATACTTATGTCTCGCCGCTTGATTCTGAACTGTTTGAACTAGAGCTTGTTGCATCTACATCAGAGCTGCTTTCAGCTACATCATATCCGTAGAGAAAGTTTCGTTCAGCAGTTTCTTTTTCAGGGAACAGCATCTTTTTCACAATCCCATGGCGGGGCCATTTTGCAACATGGCAGAAAAGTTTGACAGTGTTGCTGGGAAAATTAACCCATCTGTGGAACAAATTGCTATCAGGTCAATGACTTGGAACGCAACGCACATGGGATGAATGGTCTGCGGTCTCCGGGTTTTTGTGGGCAATTGGTCATTCTGACTGATATCCTGATGTCGTTCAGAGGTCGTTCAGAGGTCGTTTGGGAGCCGAGAAAAATGGCTAAATAATGACCCTTGAATACACGTGCATTGGTGGCACAGCACGGGGAAGAGTCTGGGCTCGTAAAGACATGGTTCTAGAGGGAAACCGCTCAGGTTAGGGTCTCGTTGCAGAGATTACAAAGACCGTGCCAGATGCAATTTGCCAGCCCCAAAAAATGCATTTAGGGTGGTTCCGGGTGTAATTTGGCTGCTGATTTGTTCTAAATGCATCTAGACCTGTATATAAATATATGTAAATATATACTTATATAACTTATATACGTATAATTAGAAGGTCGTTCCAATGTCGTTCTAGATGTCGTTCAAAGGGTCGTTCCCCAACTAAATGGCACATTCCAAAATTACCAAAAACATCCGAAATAGCTGCGGCGGTGCCTGGAATTCTGAACGAAGGATCGCACAATACTACTGTCAATTAACCCCCCTTTTTTTTGGCTCAAATGAGGTTAGGACCAGGTCACCCGGAATCACGACGTCACGACGTCCATAGATTTTTGCGGATGTCATAGCAGTGCCCTTGGGAATATGAATATGCTGTAATATGCTCATTCCTTTTTGTCAAGCACGTTTGCAGGAATTAAGGGCATCCGGAGAGCATGCTAGTATTTATCGAACGTCTAGGCACAATATTACAAGAAGCTACACTCTCCGGTGAGATCCGGTGAGCTTGAGTGCAGCATACCCTTGCATACCTGATTGCGCTACATCTTTTGAGATCTTCCTGGACCAAGCTATCAACTGCTGATCCATGTGCAAAATCTTGTTTAAACATGTTTAAACTATAGCTATAGGGCCCAAAACCTAGTCCAACCCCACCCAGCTCATGCCCAGCAGCAGGAATCGGATGGAGCATTTGCAGTCCCGCAAGCCCGCTAGCGGTATTGGAAGGCTTAGGTGAATCGTCGTCCACACTGATGATCGAAGTGGATTTGCACACCTCCAATGGCCATTGGGCGGGTGGATAACCTTTCTATGTGTGTGACAAGCCGCTCCCTTCATACAAATATAAACGAAAGTCACATTGACATTGTGTGACAACCCACTTGCGCCCGAGTTGCCACGGGGTGTTCCTCTTCTGCTTTGGGCGGCGCTTCCACTAACCTTGGACGCGCTACAGTAGCAAGCTCACTGAGCACGAAGACCAATATTAAAATGAAGAAAACATATTTATTCGGAGTCTTCTCACCAAAAGCCAACACTATCCAGCACCAATAGACTATTGCTGTGTCCGCAAATGCAGCACGAGGTGCCATGAAAGGAAACCCAGAAAGCCACCAGAACAGGATTGCGGAGGGGGAGGGCTCTGTGGTGTTTCCTTTCCCTGAAAGGACCGGATATCCACAGGTTTGGCATCAGAGTTGGAGAACTGTCCTGCAGGCATGGGCGATGAGTTGCTGGGGGCCGTGTTTAGATTGACGATCCTTGAAGACATCAACACTTCTCGGAGGTGTTTGTAAGCACGCAACCCAATTACACCAACAAGTCGATCCAATCTTGGGGTCTCCCAATCTTATAGGACCCAGAATGCGTCGTGCTTTGTCCCTCACGTGCGGCAGATTTCAGCAAATTCCTCCTTGCTTATTGCGCCGACGCTGGGAGGAAAGCAGCGTCACAGCCTCCTGGCACTGGCACGAAAACAGCATGAGCCTTTACCCTTTAGAAAGGCCAACGATTCGATGTTCTATTAATGAATAATGTATTAATGTCTAAAACAATGATGATGATGATGATGATGATGGTGATGATGGTGGTGGTGGTGGTATCAAAACTTGCCCTCCACCATCCCTCCCCCTTCGGTCATGATCTGGCAAATTCAACTTCGGCGCAGTCACCAGAGGTCCCTCTGGGTTCTTCTGAATGTAAGGTGAAAGGAACCTGCCAAGCACCAAGGACGTTGTGTGCAGGATCCAGTGCAAGCTGGTGTAACGCTTGGCCTCTGAAAGTAACGCAAGTACTGTAACAGTTTGAGAACTACCCTGCGAATTCGAGATCCAACCTGCAAAGAGCCAGCCGGCCTGCAATTCTCGATCTGAGAGCAATTAATTACCTACTAGACACACCAGCACTAGCAATCTCCGTCACCGCCCAACCGTACGACTGCATCCCCTCGACTGTTGCACCTCGGTTCCAACAGCAAGGCAGTAGCATGGTCCGGAATCGGCTCATCCAATCGCACGCACAGGGTCAGCTTGTCTTTCCGGCCGTTGGATGGTTGCACGAAACAAGGATGACCTGGTCAATGAGATTGACCGAGAAAGGACCCTGGTGGCTGTGCATGTTGGATAGTCCCATGTTGGATAGTCCAGGCCCGAAGGGTGGCTACCTCAAAATTCATTGCCGTCCCAGGGCGTACTATAGGGGAAGCCTATCACCTCCGTGAAACAATATCACAGAGAGAGAGAGAGAGGAAAAAAAGATACCTCTCTCTCTCACACGCATAATATATTTCTCCCCATATTATTCAATAGTTTTGGGACGTTTCTATCGTTTCTTGCTTCCCTTATCTTCCCTTGATTTTGGATGTGGCACTTGAAGTTCCTGGGGACTGGACCATGACGCCGGTGCTCGCACACGTGGACGATATGGCCGTTGAGATGCCTGGAAAGCGGGCCTGAAGGGTCCTCCTGGGGCTGCTGGAACCACCTCCACAGTTGGGATCCGTGATTAGATATTTTGGATGACAGCCTGATATACACACACATATATGTATATCATATATGTATATTTATATAATTATACATAATTTCTCACAAAGGATATAACTAACTTATATAACTTGATGTAACGAGTGATTTAACCAAAAGATTGGACTTTCCGAAATGATTGGAATAAGAAACAGTTCATTAGTAATTACCTTAGGGAGAGAGGGGTTTGTACAAACATTAGGACCACAGGGAGGTATTCCTATGGGGATTTGCAAGGGAGAAAACACAACCTATATATAATTTGTTTTGGGGGGGTTCATCTTAACTAAAGAGCACCGAGGCTGCTTCTTACAAACCTCTGAGCGTCCTCCCTGCAATCTTGAAGGGAATCGAATCAATTCCCAGGGCGCCTCATCTTGCCTTGGATAAGCACGACGTGTGCAAGAAGTTGGCTTTATGCAGCCCATTGGTGTTTTTACAATAATTTGCTTCAAACCATTCACTGCCCAGTACTCATGAAGCCATGCCTGTCAAATGGATCCATTCTACTGTACTGCACAGGCTTCATGCAAAACCTGTCAGCCTCTCCTAAGTCTTATCAGATCTTTTATCAGTAATTATGGCGCAGAAAAAAAACATGCCAGAAATCTATACCGGAAAGCCTTGCCCCCTTCCCAGTCTCTTTTTTCTTGGGGCGGACCCCTCTACACCAAGGGGCTGCTTTGCAGCCCACCGATCACCAAACGGGCCCCGGCACGCCATTCTTTGTGAACCTGCAGGCGCTGTCATTCACGGGGAGGCCTTACATTTCTGATGCATTCGGATTTCTCTCCCTAATATCTTGATATATGATGATATATAATTCATTGAATTTCATCTTACCCGCCAGCTGAATCCTTTGAGCAAGTAGCTGGCTTGATGTCATCAAGAGCCACTTGACATTCGCCCACTCGAAAACTGCGAGAAGGATCCAATACCGCTACCTCCAAAGCTGGGTGCTAACATTGGGAATGCTGGAAGGGCCTGGGGTGCCGGTGATGAAAATGAAGCCAAGCTATGCCAAGATGTTCCAAATCCATTCTTGCCACCGGCCAATTCGGTGCATAATCCGATGGAGTGGGATGGAGTGGGACAAGTCAAGGATTCTCTGAACTAGATGAATTAGGAATTCCTTTCAAGTGACAAGGCCATGCAAAACCAGCAAATGCTTCCAAGGCGCAGTACAATGCGTGCATCGCCTTGGTTTTATTGCAACGAAGTAATTGGCATGCTACACATTGCTCCACTGAGCTTTCCGCATACCAGCAGCACCATCGTAGATCTCAATAATGAACTATCATCTCAAAGAGGATGCAATGAGATAGGGCAAGCAATGGCTACAACTAAACGACTATATTAAACACTCATTGATGTCAATGACTAGTAAGTTTTCTCATGTTGTTTCAAATGATTCCCAACGGGCTCCTTAGTGGCACTAAGGCTCAACAGGCTCTGCAGCCAAAGCACTGAGCACTGGCATCCACGCGCGTAACCACTGCTGCACAACTTTGATACTCCGGATGTACTCCGAAGCCGAAGCCCAAAATGACCAAGTCACCTTGCCTCACATGATCCGGGCACATTCTCGGAGCTGTGTCTTTACTGATACTGATACCCAATGACAGTCACCAGTTACCCTCGCAAAACGGCCGCATTAGCAACTTCACAGGAGGGCTGAAAGGAAAATCCTCTCCAAACTTTGAAACCATGGAAATGTTCACTAGGCGCATGCATTGGCCAGTGGCGAAACTGGGAGGACTTGAACAGAACAGAAACCATATGGATTCATTCAAAGCGGATCAACTTTGGGGTTTTTCCGTGCAGAGAAAAAGCGTCCGCGTTGTTTCACTAATTTTCACTAGCTGCCGTAGAGTAGCACCTCCCTTGCTGCATTGCAAGTTGCTCTGGCTTTTCGTTGGTGCGACGGCAGGTGTCGCTTCGTGGACACAATGCTTTTAAACTTTCCTAGTGGCGGTTGCAATTGCGGGAGGATGTGCTGGATGAGAAACTCTCAAGTCTGAACATGAATGGGATCCTAAGAACGCGGGTGAAATGTGAGAAAACTTAAGGCTGAAATACCATCGTCTATGAGTCTGTCTCTTCGTCTAGCGATCTCCTTCACCATCTGTGGGACGTGTCATGGAGAAAAAAAACATGGACTCATTCGCTGACTCTGCCTTTCCCCAAAAGATCCTGCAAGATCCTGCAAGACCTCACCAGCCAAGCTGCATCTGGTGGCAAAATCAGTGATTGCAGCCTGGCACAAGTGATTCAAAAGGAAATTGCGCTAGCATGCGGTAACACTCCCAGCATCTCCCAGCACCATGCCCTTTTCGCTCTCTTTCATCATCTTTCATCTATATATATATATATTTCATTATCTCGTCTTCATCAAGATGTCAATGTGGCTTCTGACACCAGAGAGGCGTCCAAGCCTGCTATGGAATACTGTGTGACCGTGCTCTAAATTGTCAGAGCCTGCCAATGGGCCAAGAGCCAACTTACTGTATACTAGTACTTACTGTAACAAGTCTTATTTCCTTGGCCCACTGCTGTCTGCGCGACAGTGTGCTGTAAGAATTGTAAAATGGCCAGAGCATGCCAATGGGCCAAAGAAAACTTACTGTAGCAATCTGTAACAAGTTTCGTTCCCTTCGGCCCACTGCTTCCTCATGACAGCTAATGTTAGCCTTGGCGAGCAACATCCAAAGCTGATCTTCTTACGTTGCAGCAACTTGCTGTGTGTTGTAGCCGTGCACTGTGCACTGATGTTCTGATTGTTCCGCCTGTCATTTGGGCAACAACTTTGTTGGTCCCCGGGCTTGACTACCTCGCCGCAAACAGTCGACACCAGCACGCCTCCTGCAAGGACCATCCCTTCTGTGACAAGAAACTTCCAGATTTTGATCACGGGCACAGCCCCAACGACATGCCACAACATGTCACAACGACTTCCCCTTGATGCATCTGCTGGGGCAGAGTGAACGAAAGATTGCCACTGCCATCCACAATCAGCATTGCATAGTCAGGCATCACCTTCAGCGTGGAAGGTGTGCAACAAAACGCCAAAGCTGAGGAAATTGACTTGCCCAGCAGTCCTGGACAGAGTTGCCCTGTATGGTGTTCTGTTTGACCATCTTGTGGCCATCCCAGCAAAATTGGTAGACAAGTGAGTGGATAAAAACTGCGTAGGATCAAAAAGTCAGGTCCTTTGGTCATTACATAGGCACCAGTTGGGACATGGAGATCAGCGTTTCCTCCAGCCCAGCTTTTTCAACGACGGTCGTGTCATTGGAAAAGCAGGAACGAAAGCGCCCGAGGCACATGCCATGCACATGGCTGAGCAGCCAATGTGAAAAGATGTCAAAAGCAATGCCATAAACTGCTCCAAATTTGCCGGGCCCATGCAACACACAGGTGCGCATGCCGCGAAGCATGCTAAACCTGCACTTGCAGTGGCCACAGCATATAAGACCAAGATCACTGAAACCAGCTGCATGGTCGAACTCGGTGTTGCAATACCAAACTCCGAAGTTCTTGTGACTCTGGACTGGCTCTTGGGCCGAAGTGCCGGCCATGACTTGCGCTGATATGAAACTGACGCGTGAGCCATCGACTGTCTCTATCAAGAGCCAGTAAACACTAGAAGAGACATGTGTGTTCTGTATCATGTGTTCGTCAAATCTCACCGAGCATGACAAGAGATGCAATTTTCTTCTGATTTATGCATCTTCTCTTGTCTCCAGTGAACCTTTCCAAGCAAATCTAGCAACATCATGCAAGTCGGGGGTTGAATGAACACAGCAAAAGTGAATGAACATGCATAAATGGCAATCATCCCATACGCATCCATACGCCTACCGTTTTCAAACAAAAGTAGCGCCTGCAAAGGCCAGGAAGCTCCTCTCTTTGACCGTCAGTGATGCCGTGGAGTAATGCCTCCGCCAATGAGAAGAGGCCTGCAACACGCGGCACACAACATGGCCATGGCCTGGGCCCCTGCCATCCCCCGCCATCTGCCTGCTCCACAGCTGCCATGAGTACACGTGGGCATTTGGCGACTGCGCGCCGTGCCACCTGGACGTGGCAGGCCACTTTCCACGACGATTCAGCAGCTCATCACTTAAGGCTTGCTGTTGGTTTTGTTACAAACTGTGGGGCAAATCTCGGTGAACTGGATCTGTCAAGTGCAAGCACATCCCAGTTTTCCCCAAATGCCTAGCAAAAGCATGGAAAACTGATGAAACAAACCCTAAGAGCTGAAGGAGTGAAATTATATATACAGTACACACACAGAATATGCATATATATATATTATTATTAAATTTATTTATATAATTAATTTATTTATTTATACATTCGCCAGATCCACAACATCATCCGCTTACATGGCGCCTTTATGATCTTTATGTCTATTTCTGTGTAAGACCTGTAAAAAGAGCACGCTTCAAATCCTAATCCTGGACAACCAACATGGACAAATCGCTGGCCAGCGGCCTATGTCTGCTATGTCTGACCAAAGGCCAAAGCGCTCTGCGCTCGAGCGGGTCACCGCGTCGTGCACTAGAGCCAAGAAGCTAGACCCAAGACAGAGCCAAAGTGTTCCAAGACAAACTGACGTTAAACGGGTTTTATGAATGGCAGATTCAAGAAACGCTACAGATCGCTATGGTAGAGCTCCATCGACCCCGTAAGGTAAAAAGATCAAATCTTTCCATATACCCTGACAAAATCTGACAAACAATGGCTCCATGTATGGCTCAAGTGCAGCCTGCTACATGCTCATACATGCTCAATGACAGGTTTGGATGAGCATCCTTGAGGGTTCTTGAGGATCCTTCAGCATCCCATATCACCGGGTGGAAACGGCTAAAATCCCCCGAAACTCTCCCCCTGAGCCACTGAGCTCTCCAACAGGCTCAAGCCTTTACGTGAATGGGCCTTTGCCCAATCCGGCCGTAATCGAATAGCCTGACTCAAGCATGGGACAATACAAAAAAAGGGAAATTCATTGAGACTTTGATCCAACAAATCATCTATCCACCCCGGGCGGGAGAGCCCATCTTGCCAGTTTAATTTTTAAAGATCTTTAAAGGCTTCTGCTGGGACTGAAATGTTCCAAGAAAAAATCACAACCTTTGACCGACATCACCACAATAATTATATAATCCATCCCATCCCCAATGATCAAATGACAAATGCTCCAACCTTCCAAACATTTCGCTCATGGCCAATCAAACCACGCCTCCTCTGCCGCTGCAAGGGCTTTGTCATGGTCGCCCTTTTTGGCATATGCCGCCGCCAGGTTCGAGTGGATCGTAGCTGCAAACTCAGCGTCGCCCTTCGCATCCTGGGCATTCGAAGGCCCGTCAGGAAATTTCTTCGGTCTGTCGTATCTCGTGGTTCAAGTACAGAATGCTCACAGCGAATCCAAGTGGAAAAGAAACAAAAGAAATAAAAGAAATAAAAGAAATAGAAGAAATAAAAGAAAATGTTCAAGAAATGAGCAAAGAAGTGGTTCAAGATGTTTCTCTCGTATGCTGTCAGCCCGAAATCCCCGGAACCTCCAAGGCTTCTCTGTAGCAGCTGATGGCTTGCTCCAGGCGACCCTCCTCGCAGGAAAGGGGCACAACCTTTGGTCATGGAACGTCCATTGGCACCTGGAAACTGGACGGCCCCCCGCTCCACCGCGAGATGGAAGTACTGTAATATCTCTATAAATATATCATATCTATATATCATATCTAAATCATATATCTATGTGTCTGGATGGTTTTGACCCGGATCTTGATGTTCTGAGGTTTCTGCTGCAGTCAAAGCTATTAGGATCGTCGACGTTGAAGCTGATCAGGTGGTAGACAGCGCGTACTATATCGTATTGTCAAGTATTGCCGTGACAAAAAATAGCTCCAGCTTAACAACCTGATGTTACAAATCAAATCTGAGCAAAGATGCCCGGCGAGCTGTATAGGACTGAGTCGGACTGAGTGTGATACAACTAGCCGTAGCGCAGGCATGGCACGACTAGTGCAAACATCGTGCGCATGCTATGTATGATTAGTATACATCTTCTGAATACAATAGTCGAATACATTTGAATACAATAGCATATAGTAGCCAGATACATACATACATACATATATATATATATATATGGTTTTATATTATATATATATAATTATAGTTGTATACCAGGCCTCAAGTGTAGGCAACTCTACCACCCAATTGCACGCCCCGGCCTTGAAGTTGGCATCGCCCTGGGCCTTCTTGGGACCTCGTCGCGACAGCTGCACGACCAGTACTAGGTTAGCGCCAATGAAAAGCCATCACTGCCTGAAAGCGGTCAACTGCCAAGATATGGTAACATATTTATAGTTATTTAATGTTATTTATATGTGCATGTATATATCTATATGTAAAATAATTAGTAAAATTTGATATACTAGTTGTTATAAGCTAGCCAGTTTGGTACTGATATGTGCTCATCAATAGTACGCGAAGGTATAGACCAAACCAGTACATGGCTACGGGTTTGAATGAGCAATGAATCCACCAAGGCGCTGGTTTTGGCCACCACTACCTGCAGATTCTCTGGCTTGCACCGCACCTCGAAAAGAAGCAGCAAATTTGTATGAGTTGTGTGAGAAGGTAAATGGATTTGGAAAATAGAACTGCGTGGGCATATGGTGATCTGTGCTCTACCTTAAGTTTGCAATCATTCTCTAGGAACTTGCCTATGTAATCCTATGTCTGCACGAAGAGGCTGGACAACCTCTCTGACAAACATCCCAAGTTGTGCAAAAAACACCTCAAAGGTTTTGCCATGTGGCGCGTTCATCTGCCGGACCATCTAACTTCACCTCCAAAGGGCAGAGTTGGTATAGATCTGGGGGCGATACTATGGTCATGTCATATTAGGTCATATTCATACCCAAAGCCGAAACCCAATGGAAGTCAATGGATGCCTTGAACTGGAATTGCTCGGCACTGTTTATCAATCACAGGGCCCACGACCCCCCCCCAGCAAAACCCCCCCCAGAAGTATGGTAAGGTATGGATAAGGATGAAACGGTTGATAAGGGCCAATCACTAGTGTAACACATTCTTAATAAATGCTTATTAGCGATTTGTGGTTAAGGGCTGAATAAGGTCTTGATAAGAGATTGCTTTTCCCAATAAAATTAAAATTTCACTATTAGAGCCTTATTAAGAAAATATTGTTTTGGGGGGTGTTGTCCAACCAACAAGACAAACAAATGGTATTAAACCTTTAATAAGAATAACGCATTCCAAAACCAATTTTAGCACCAATAAATCACACAAACTTAATAACAGTTTATTAGGGAACTCTGATTTCTGACACTGCTCATGTGCGTTTTTTTTGGCGACACAACCTTACAAAGATAGAAAAAAATGAATAGCATTGTGACACGGCTTACAGGCAACTTCTATAAAACGATGGAAAAATAAAATGGACCAAAGAAAAACAAAACCAAATCCAAAAAAAACAAAACCCAACCCAAACCTCAATTTGAAAAAAAAAAACAAAAAAAAAAGAACCAACAAAAAAACAATCCAAACCTAAAGTTGAAAAAAAAAACAAAAAACAAAAAGCAAAAAAAAAACAAAAGAAATAATTAAAAAAACAGAGAAAAAACAAAAAATGAGCAAAAGAAAAAAAACAAAAGAAAAAAACACAAAAAAAATGAAAACAAATGAACAAAAAATAGAAAAAATAAGAACAAACAAAATAAAATAAATCTCATTCCAATACTTTGATCCACCCCTTATCAAGCCCTTATCAAGCCCTTATCAGGCCCTTATCAAGCCCTTATCAGGCCCTTATCAAGCCCTTGTCAAGCCCTTGTCAAGCCCTTGTCAAGCCCTTATTCCTTATTCAGACCTTCTTGAAATCTCATTTCTCAACATATTTTGACAAACATATTTTGAAAAACAATCGTCTGAATTTCATTCCAATACCTTGAAAATGAACCACTAAATGTTTTAAAACTGATTGTGGACATATTTTTGACAATTACAAATAAAGTTTTTAAAATATCAAAGTATTCAGCACATATGCATAATTTTAACATTTCAATACGTTACAACTATATGTATAAAACTGAGTTGTGTCTCCCGGTTGTGTCTTCCCCTGGACGCGAGCAGTTCCTGACGCCTTAAACGCGCGCGCGCGCGTTAGCGGAAAACGACCGTACCACAGCTTCACTGCTCCGAACGATGTCTTGGGCCTCAGTGCGAACACCACTGATAAGAACAGCCACCGTTGAGGCCACCAGGCTCGTTGATTGTTTTTTTTTTTCTAATTTAGGTTTGGTTTGGGTTTTCTTTTTTTTTGCATGTTTTTTTTTCGAATTTAGGCCTGGATTGGGTTTTGTTTTTATTGTTTGTTTTGTTTTTTTTCTGTTTTTTTCTAAAATTAAAAGATCAACCCCTTGAAGCATTTTTTCTTATTAAGGCCTTATTAGCAAAACAGGTTCTCAAACACCTTTTTTGACGCCATAATTGCCTTCACACCAAATAAGGTCTTATTAAGGAAAACCTGTTTTTTAGACCGAAAAAAGCAAACTTCCTTATTAAGCATCTATTGCGCTTCCGGGGGGGTTTTGCCGGGGGGGGCTGTGCACCCTGTGAATCAAGAGATTCAAACTTCCGCGGCATGTGGGATGCATCCGCGATGTATGATTGTTTTTCTTGCTATGGTATACGGGCTCTTGCGTCGAAAGAGGACAGGGGTTGGCTTACTGCGGCTGTCTTCTTAACATAATCAATTTCTGACAGTTGGTGAGCCTCCCATCGCCCGGCTGACTCATCCTTCGACATCGCTGTGGCACGTTTGCCATTCCTAAGCGCGCAAGCCCTTGCACCCTGCATCTTCAATTGCAAGATGTAGCACGTGGGAAGCCCGTGGGGATACAAATGGATGTACATTTTTAGTTCTCCAGCACACCATTCAAGAACCTGGAGCTCCACAAGCTTACTATGATAATATCTATGATATACAAATCTTTAAATTCACCATCAGGGTCACCAGGGGACACATTTATAGATGATCCATGTTCATCCAATCTCAAAACTTACCTGGCCAAGTCTCAACTCGGGTTTACTCTTCAAGCCTTGAATCTCCACCTGTGTTCGGAACACTCACAATCCTTTGAGATTGACATGCAAATAATCAACACCGCTTCACTCTGATGCACAGACAAAGAAATCAACAGAAATCAGGCGATGCTAAAGGAGAGATAAAGGCTTTTCCAGGACAGTGTTGTCCAGTTTTATCATGTGTTATCCAGGTCTATTGTCGATCTTTGCTCTTCCATGTGGGATGAGATTCTCTTGGTGTGGCCGCAGGAACCACAAGAAATACGGTGTGTTTTAGCTGGCGGTTTGAACCCATCCCTCAAGAAAGTCAACAGTGGATCATCATTCAAAAGCGGGGACTGCAACACAAATCATGCAATGCTATATGGCAATATATAAGATTATATTATAGATACGCTGGCTTATACTGCCGGAGACATTCAGAATAAGTTCGACATAATAAATGATTGATAATGATTGTATAATCATAAAAAGTTATATATATATATATGGCAGTGTGTCAAAACCTTGTACCCCTGGTGAACATCAAAATAGCTGGTAAATGGATGTTCATCCCCCTAAAATGGTATTAATAGGTATTGATCCATACCCATATATGTACATAATCATGCATACATCCATATATATATATATGTGTGTGTGTGTGTGACCAGTGGATTCAGTGGATGAGGCTTGGCACTTCCGGATACTTCCGGCACGTGCAATTCCACACTCTGCAGAGCACCTGGCATCCCACCGCAATCTCGCCAGGCGTCGCAGGCGCTGCCGGCTCGGGAGGTGTCTCCTTTGGTGCATCGACCTGTGATAACACATGAAGAGGCTTTGTGCTGTTGAATTGGTTCATATCGTTTGGGACTTGAAGGTCCCAGGTGCAAATTGATTTTCGTAGTTCCTGTTTAGCATGGGCATGGGTGAACTCCTGAAACGTTTGTTTTTGTTCGTTCTTTTGAACCTCACCATCCCACTGTCATGTTTACCAAAGAGATTCAAAGAGTCTTCAAACAACCTCATCAAAACACCATAGACCATATAGGCAAACATGGCCAAAACAATGGCCATGCAAAGTATCATCCTCCTTCAAGCAAAGGCATCCGTGCCTGAGGCTCAGGTTGTGCTGGCTCTGCCTCGCCAGCTTCCTGGTACGAGTAGAAGCTGTAGTCAGCTGAGGTCCGAGGGTGGTTGGAGCACCATTTCCCTCCATAGTTGGAACACAAACGAAAGCCAGGCCATCAACATCCGCTGAATCCACTATAGGATCCCGTCTCATGTCTCGTTGTCATTGGTCAATTCTCTTGGTCTCGTGCCCTAAAAGTTCTAAAGCATTCCTCCTGTCCTCTTCATCGTCGAAACTTACGTCACCCAAAGGGGCCTTGGGCCAGCGACCAGGGCTTGCACTGCACTTCATCATGTCGCGCCCAACATCATGTAGCAGCATGTAGCAGCAAAACAGAGCAAAACATGGCTAGCAGAGCAGCTAAACATTCTGAGCTCAAGGAAAGGAAGAATACCAATGGCATATGTCCATTGAGCCACTGCACATCTGTCAAACTAAACTACGGAGCGCATTGGCCAGGGAAGCGACCTGTTTTTTACCACCAACAGTGACCATCAGTGACCATCAGTGACCATCAGTGACCCATGTCCACATCATTCCACATCCACTGTGTGCTGAGGCTGCGGCATCGTTGGCCGTCCGTTGGTCGGCTTCTGTCTTCACCGGGGAACCGCCCTCAGTAGAGACCTGGTCGTCCGGCTCCTCGATGCCGCCGTTCGGCACCGGCTTCTCCGGCGGATCCGGCGGCGCGGTGGGGTCCGGTTTGTCACTTTTGACGACCATCCTTGGGCTCAGACATGCGCTGACTGAGATGGATAGCTTCGAGTATCATGTTGAGAATCGTTGATGAGCATCATAGAGTTAAAAGATGTTAAAACGAGGTCATGCACATGGCAGCTAATCTCCAAAGTTGATGAAATTTGGCCCCCGAAACACCTTGAAACGCCAAGGTTGTACACCTGAGTGACCCAAACCAATGTGCCATTCCTGCTCAATGTCTACCTTAACCTGCTACTCTTCAACAAATCACAAGAAAATACCGCCACGATCCGCCACGTGCAAAGCTGGCAGTGCTTTTCTGCCCAAGTGTCGGCCTGTCTTTCACCTTGAGACTCACCCAGCCCGTCGATGGCCCCGTACCACTGAGGCGGGTGTACTTGAGACGCTCGCCCACCAGCTCTTCTTGACGGATGAGGGCGCCGGTGGAGAGTCTGGAAGATTCTTCCTTGGGAAAAGGTCCATCATGAAACCAGACCGAGGCGTTAGATATTGACCTGCAGAAACAACAGCGCACACATGATGTCAAGGGATTTTGTCCCACCACTAGGTACATATTGCGCGGCTATGCAATGAATTAGGGATTTTGTCAAATCAAATCAAGCATGGTACACCCTTGTTGTAAACATCGAAGGCCAAATGCAGCTAGCAGCTAAATGTTACGCTTCGTCAATGAGGCATTTGCAAACCCCGACTCCGCGGTGCGACAACATGATGGCAAAAACAACACCGTATGTGAATGTATGTCATATCACAATGTGGAAGAAGCAGCAAAGAACAAAGCAATAATCACATATCATGTACATATCAAATCAACAATGTGATAAGCACAATGTCATCATAGTGGATGCGCGACCCCTAGAGCTCTGCAAGTACATAGGAATGTTTTCTGTGACTGCTTCCAGATGCTTCCAGCTCCCGCCGCCACCACCCCATCCCCGCTAAGCATCTGGTGAGGACAACTCCCTGCCGGAGCGGACCACAATGCCTCCCTTGTCCACACCACCTACGACCTCCCATAGCTGGTGGTCAGCCATGGCAAGGAAAATTGGAAGCGCCGTGCAGTGTTCTCAACAGCTATCGAATCTACTGGTCAGCATCCCTTCAGAGGTGCTTCCATGGAACAACAAACTATCAAAAAGTGTCAGGAGCCTAAGCTCTGGGAGAGATTCGAACAGTTTGGCTCTCTCTCCCTGGTTTTAATGTTTTTTCTGCATCCATAGTATCATGCGCTGCCTTCAAAACTAACTGCAGTAGATTCGGTCAACACCTATGAAACCAGAAGCCTACAGCACCTGCCAGGAGTCCCAACGCTAACATAGGACTTTTTGTTTGCTGCCCCATTCCAATGATTTGCCTGGAAACTGGGGCGCTGCAAAGAATTCACTATCTGTGGCGCGTTTGCTGCAACGCAAGCATTGTGAGCAAAAGCTGGCAGCAGTTCTGGGCTGGGAACCCAAAGCAACATGACTGACCTGCGTGACTGTTTATCATTCAATCAGTCAATCTCCTTTGGGAGAACAAATCTATCCGGCTAAGCTACCCACCAGCAAAAAAAGAAAGACCTGCAGTACCGATGGGTATAGCATACGTCATATAATTATATAATGATATATTATAATGAATAAATAAATACATCCTTAGGTTTAAGGAGCTAAGTGTTACATCTTGACTTTTCTTCATGTTGAAATAACAAGCAGACGGGAACACACAAAAATATCCTTGAACATGGGTGTGGAAAAAAAAAACTAGCGCAAACCTAGCGGGTTTGCTAGCGCTGCCTTGCAGAATTGGTGAATTTAGTTGCGTGCCGCCTCATAATGAAGAGGAAAAACAACTAGGTCCACGCTAATTATCAACAACTAGTACAAAACTTCTGTCAACTATTTTTGGCAAATGGTCATATAATTACATACATAACATATGATCATAACATAACATAACATTACCTTACCTTACATTACATCACATCACATACATATTATTATAGGGGTGTGAAATAGTTTTAGGATTTTTTTTTTGAGCAGGTTTGGTATTTTTTTTTGGATTTTTTGGCTGGTACCATTTGCCTAGTGTTTGCAACGGTTTGGAACTTGAATTTGTCATTTTGCATGGTATTTGCCACATTTGGGCATGTTCACCTTCCATTTTGCATGGGATTTACTACATGTGGGCATGTTCACCTTCCATTTTGTATGGTATTTGCCACATTTTGGCATGTTCACCTTCCATTTTGCATGGGATTTCCTACATGTGGGCATGTTCACCTTCCATTTTGTATGGTATTTGCCACATTTTGGCATGTTCACCTTCCATTTTGCATGGGATGTTCTACATGTGAGCATGTTCACCAAAATATTTACAGATGCGGAAGCTTGGGATTAGATAAAATGCGGGTGGGGGGGATTGAGGGAGGGCGCTAGCTATCTATCCAGCTAGCTAGCTATCTAGCTATGTAGCTAGCTATCTATCTAGCAAGCTAGCTATCTATCTAGCAAGCTATCTATCTATCTAGCAAGCTATCTATCTATCTAGCTATCTATCTACCTATCTAGCTAGCTATCTTGCTAGCTATCTATCTACCTATCTAGCTATCTAGCTAACTATCTATCTAGCTATCTAGCTATCTAGCTATCTAGCTTTCTATCTATCTAGCTATCTATCTAGCTATCTATCTATCTAGCCATCCAGCTGTCTATCCAGCTATCTAGCTATCGAGCTATCTAGCTAACTATCTATCTAGCTATCTAGCTTTCTATCTAGCTATCTATCTATCTAGCCATCCAGCTGTCTATCCAGCTATCTAGCTATCGAGCTATCTATCTAGCTATCTATCTATCTAGCTAATTATCTACCTATCTATCTAGCTATCTATCTATCTAGCTAGCTAGCTATCTATCTAGCTACCTCTTTATCTATCTAGCTAGCTATCTATCTATCTAGCTATCTATCTAGCCATCTATCTATCTAGCTATCTATCTAGCCATCTATCTATCTAGCTATCTATCTAGCCATCTATCTATCGAGGTATCTAGCTATCTATCTCTCTACCTATCTATCTATCTAGCTGGCTATCTATCTATCTAGCTATCTATCTACCAAGCTATCTATCAGCTATCTATCTATCTATCTATCACATGTAATCCTGTCAGCTTTCCAGAGAAGGTTAGTTCGCAAAAACCAACTAATGTAACTTGGGTTAAAGTTTAAATAAAAAAAAGCGGGAGGGGGGGATTGGGGAGGGCGCAGCGCCTCCCCCCAAAGCAGAATGCAAGCACCTCTTCTCACATGTTACGTTGCTAGTTTTCAAGAGAAGGTTGGTCATGTGATACTCAGGGATGTAAATACTGTGCAAAATGCATCTTACATGAAAATCAAGTATTTAAAGCAGGCAAAGCAAAAAAAAAAAGCAGAGAAGCAAAAAAGCAGAGAAGCAAAGAAACAGGAAACGCACAAAAGCAAAACAGCAGAAAGGCAAAGAAGCAGGAAAAGCAGAAAAGCAGAGAAGCAGGAAAAGCAGGAAAAGCAGAGAAGCAAAGAAACAGGAAGAACAGAAAAGCAAAAAAGCAGAAAAGCAGAGAAGCAGAGAAGCAGGAGAAGCAGAAAAGCAAAAAAGCAGAAAAGCAGAGAAGCAGGAGAAGCAGAAAAGCAAAAAAGCAGAAAAGCAGAGAAGCAGGAAACGCAGGAAAAGCAGGAAAAGCAGGAAAAGCAGGAAAAGCAGGAAAGCAGAGAAGCAGGAAAAGCAGGAAAAGCAGGAATCCAAAAATAATTCCTAAACCTGATCAAAAAAAAATTCCTAAAATAATTAGCCCTCCTTATTATAGTATTACATGCGCGCACACACACACATATTATATATATATACGCAGATAGATACACAAGTAATATGTATATAATAATATATCAAATATATACATTTCCCAGAAAACACATGAATAAGTTCCAGTGCGAAGAACGTCCCACCGGAACGTCCCACCGGAACCTTCACTCTCCCTCTCTTTCTCTCTCCCCACTCGCTGGATCGTCTGGTATGCAGCAAATCTGCACAGTCCATGGACAAACAAAAGCAAACGCCAAGTTGGTCTTTACGAGTTGACCGATCCCTTTTTCAACGACTGGATCGGAGTTTGTTGATTTTTACTGCTGACGCCGCATGACATTGGCTTTGGACTTTTCCGAAGAGTTGGGCAAAGTATCAGCAACTCCACGCCTTCTTCATTGGAGACTGGTGAAACTAAAACGACGCCAATGATCTATAGTGAAGTCCCACCACAACATGAAGCCTCAACCAGCCTAGCATTGCCCATTTCCATCCAAAAACAGACCATCTGACATTCATGTTCTTTTGCACCCGACTCACCGGATTTTGAGTAGAGTTGCTTTGACGCGGATGCACAGGCTCACTGGCAGATTCACTGCTGGATTCGCTGTTTCCATCCTTCCACTACCATGGACCTTGACCCATCTGGGGTCCTGAGCACCCCACTACTTTCACTACTGGGCTCTTTGTGGCCGCTGGCAATTCAAATCACCGAGCTTTCAACCTGGAGGCGCCATGGAACGCCATGGAATGCCAAACTACCAATCGCCAAACTCCAAGCCTCTGGGGCAAGCCCAGATTGGCTCCACTTGGTCCCGAGCGCTGAGGCCTCAAGGGCCATCACCACAAATGCACTAATGATTCACTATCACTAATGGATCATATATATTATATGTCAACATACCAATACAAAGAAGCACACCAAAAAAAAAAATATATATATGTATGTATGCATGTTATAAACATGCACCATATCATAAAGCACAAGACGCACAATATATCACAATATATTACAATAATTTACAACATATTACAATATATTCCAATAAATAACAATATTACAATATATTATCATCTATTATAATAATGATTAGTAATGTAAGTGTGTGTTTTTACATAGTCAGTCATTGCAGCTGGGCTCCACACAATGCATCATCATCGAGGCAGCTCAGTTCCAATGCCATGGCCTCCCACTTATCCGAAGGCACATTTTGACCTGCACCGAGTTGCGCAAGGCGAACAAATGGCACCACACGAGCAGAGAGTTGGTGATTGGTGTCCATATATTACCCAATAAAAAAAACCACAATATTGAAACCAACATAATGTCATTCAATGTCATTCAATGTCATTAAGGCTGTCAAGAAATTCATTTCATCGTGCCTTTGGTCTTGGACGCACAACCCGTACTCTTCGTACACTGCGGTGGCTGCGCCGACTGCTGACACTGCGGCTTTCGCCACCTCCGAGGCCAAGCAGGCCATGCAACAAAGCGCTGGAAGCGTTTCAGAAGTCAATGGGAGGGATCCGTGCATCCTGGAATCCTCATCAAAATCATCAAATTTCATCATCTTCCATTGACAGCATGCCCATACAAACAGCCTGATGAACTGGACTCCAACTCATCGGCCCCAGAGAGTTTTCAAAGGTTCTGCTGGCGTTCGCAAATCATCCAAGTAGCTGATGCATTTTGTCCAGTTCTCTGATTGATTCTGAAGAATCAAATTTACTTTACAATAATCTATATCAGAATGTCTGTTCGACTCGACTAATTACCAGACCAATTTGGCGGATCCCTGAGAAGCAAAAAGAAACCAAACTCAGTTGCCTACCCGTGGACCACGCCCCAATACACCTGCAGCGCCAGCGACATGAATCTGAAATACATTGAAATACGGTACAACACTATAATGTACAACTCCAACATGTCGAAACATTGATCAAAGAGGCACACAGGCCCCAATAGACATAGGAACATCATGCAAGGACCCTCAATACTACAAGTTAACCACGTGTATGATGGGTTTTGGATGGTTTGGGGATGTTTGTGACAAATAATGAAACCATATAAAACCCATGGCAATTTGTAACAAAACCCTTGGCATCCCTTGGCAAGGTTGGTGAGAATTGATTAAATCATCAGCCAACGAACACGTGTGCTGGCCGACCTTGGTGGTGTGCCGGGTATGCTTCGGGTATGCTTCCAGGCCTTTCAGGCCGGGGATGAACCCAATGATTTCAAGCCAATGGGCCGCAATTCCTACCCAGTCCTTGTGGAAGTGGGAAGTATCAGTATCTAGACTTTGGTTGTATAATGTTATTAATGTTATATCATTATAACATGTTATAACATATGTTATAACCGTTAAAATATATATCCCTCCAGCGAAACTGGTAGCAAGTGATGAGAAGGCAGGGCAAGAATTAAAGGACCGGATAACCCCACATGTTACCAACTTCTTTAGACTTAGACTGACCATAGAAGAGCAAGAAGGGAAGAGGAAGTATAAGAGTGATGGAGCGGTGATGGTGGGTGAGTTTGTGTGTATGTATGTATGTTCATGTACAGTGAGTGAGTGAGAGTGTGAGTGAGTGATGCGAGTGTTTTGTGTGTGAGTGAGGAATGTGAGCGTGAGTGAAGTGAGTGAAGTGAAGTGAAGTGAAGTGAAGTGAAGTGAAGTGAAGTGAAGTGAAGTGAGTGGGTGAGTGAGTGAGTGCGGTAGGTGAGGTAGGTGAGGTAGGTGAGGTAGGTGAGGTAGGTGAGGTAGGTGAGGTAGGTGAGGTAGGTGAGTGAGTGAGTGAGTGAATGTGAGTGAATGTGAGTGAGTGTGAGTGAGTGTGAGTGAGTGTGAGTGAATGTGAGTGAGTGTGAGTGAGTGTGAGTGAGTGTGAGTGAGTGTGAAGCCTCCCATTAACGTCCCCACCACCGGCCAACGTGGTGTCGGCTCGACCGAAGCCGAACCGTTTGGTAAGGACGAAGGCATCGACCTCAGTGAAGAAACAGACTTAGACGGAGCACAGAAAGCGAGAAGGGAAGAGGAAGGATAAGAGTGATGGAGGGACGATGGTGGTAGGTAGGTAGGTAGGTAGGTATGTATGTATTTAGGTATCTATGTATGTATGTACGTAGGGTAAGTTGTTTGTGAGTAAGTTGCTTCGCTTTCATCGAGTTCCACCAGGCTCTGATGTTTTTTTTCCGACACACTATCAAAACGATGGTGTGCTCACCATACTTCCGCTGACCAAAGTAATGTTCTGCACTCTTTCGAGCGAAGCCGCACATTTTGTGATCTCTTTCTGCATGCCCTGTGGCTGGTAAACATCGCTGGCACATGATGATGATGATGATGATGATGATGATGATGATGAGTGTATGAGTGAGTGAGTGAGGTGAGTGAAGTGAAGTGAAATGAAGTGAAGTGAAGTGAAGTGAAGTGAGTGAGTGAGCGGGTGAGTGAGGAGGTGAGTGAGTGAGTGATTTGAGTGGGTGAGTGGGTGAGTGGGTGAGTGAGTGAGTGAGTAAGTACATGTTCCACGCCTGCCAGGGCGTATATCTGACCCCTTGGCAGTGCACATTGTCTTTCGCTTGCTACGCAAAAGCGGCGGAGACCCATGCCTCCCACGCAAAAGACGCGGAGCCCCAAGGGACGTTGGGGCGTACATCCGACTCCTTGGCAGTGCGCATTGTCCCACGCCTGCCACGCAAAAGACGTGGAGCCCGAGGGACGCCAGGGCGTACATCCGACCCCTTGGCAGTGCGCATTGTCCCACGCCTGGGACGCGCCCGAGGGACGCTAGGGCATCCGACCCCATTGTCCCACGCCTGGCCATCCGACCCCTTGGCAGTATACATTGTCCCACGCCTGCCACGCAAAAGACGCGGAGCCCGAGGGACGCCAGGGCGTACATCCGACCCCTTGGCAGTGCACATTGTCCCACGCCTGCCACGCAAAAGCGGCGGAGACCCAGGGACGCCAGCGGAACCCCGGGGCGTACATCCGACCCCTTGGCAGTGCACATTGTCCCACGCCTGCCACGCAAAAGCGGCGGAGACCCAAGGGACGCCAGGGCGTACATCCGACCCCTTGGCAGTGCACATTGTGCCACGCCTGCCACGCAAACGAGGCGGAGACCCAAGGGACGCCAGGGCGTACATCCGACCCCTTGGCTGCTCACATTGTGCCACGCCTGCCACGCAAAAGCGGCGGAGACCCAAGGGACGCCAGGGCGTACATCCGACCCCTTGGCAGTGCACACTGTCCCACGCCTGCCACGCAAAAGAGGCGGAGACCCAAGGGACGCCAGGGCGTACATCCGACCCCTTGGCAGTGCACATTGTCCCACGCCTGCCACGCAAAAGAGGCGGAGACCCAAGGGACGCCAGGGCGTACATCCGACCCCTTGGCAGTGCACATTGTCCCACGCCTGCCACGCAAAAGCGGCGGAGACCCAAGGGACGCCAGGGCGTACATCCGACCCCTCGGCAGTGCACATTGTGCCACGCCTGCCACGCAAACGAGGCGGAGACCCAAGGGACGCCAGGGCGTACATCCGACCCCTTGGCGGTGCACATTGTCCCACGCCTGCCACGCAAAAGAGGGGGAGACCCAAGGGACGCCAGGGCGTACATCCGACCCCTTGGCTGCTCACATTGTGCCACGCCTGCCACGCAAAAGCGGCGGAGACCCAAGGGACGCCAGGGCGTACATCCGACCCCTTGGCAGTGCACATTGTGCCACGCCTGCCACGCAAACGAGGCGGAGACCCAAGGGACGCCAGGGCATACATCCGACCCCTTGGCAGTGCACATTGTGCCACGCCTGCCACGCAAACGAGGCGGAGACCCAAGGGACGCCAGGGCGTATATCCGACCCCTTGGCGGTGCACATTGTCCCACGCCTGCCACGCAAAAGAGGCGGAGACCCAAGGGACGCCAGGGCGTACATCCGACCCCTTGGCGGTGCACATTGTGCCACGCCTGCCACGCAAGTGAGTGAGTGAGTGAGTGAGTGAGTGAGTGAGTGAGTGTGTGTGTGTGTGAGTGAGTGAGTGAGAGAGTGAGTGTGTGTGTGTGTGAGTGAGTGAGTGAGTGAGTGAGTGAGAGAGAGAGTGAGTGAGTGAGTGAGTGAGTGAGTGAGTGAGTGTGTGTGTGTGTGAGTGAGTGAGTGAGAGAGTGAGTGAGTGTGTGTGAGTGAGGAGGGTGTGTGTGTGTGTGAGTGAGTGAGAGTGAGTGAGTGTGTGTGTGTGTGTGAGGAGGGAGGACGGGAAGGAGGAGGACGAGGAGCGGATACAGAACTAAAAACAAAAACCCCACACGTCAATGTAGGGAAAAACGTTCAGTCTGAAACGCAAAGGAGCTCGACTGGACCCAACGAAGCAGATGCTTAAGATTGAGCATCAATGCCAAAAAACTTTGCTCAACCAAGTCAAAACAAGCAAGCAGCCATGGACAAAGTTCCATTGTGATTCAAGGGGTGCGACCAGGCCCCCATCCAACACCAGCGCTCAGCCAAACACCAATTTCTCAGCTAGCTTTCCCACTCAGCCACTGTCCAATCTGCTGGGTTTGGCTATGAAAGCTGGCAGGCCTCAGAAAACAAGGCCATTGATTGAGGAGGCCTGATTCGCTGCTCCAGGCTAGGATCATCAAGAGTATAGCTATACAATGTTATACAATCTAATCAGTTGTAATTGCATATATATATACTTTATTTTGAACTCAGCAACTCACAAACCCTCTTGTTAATTTGGAAGAAATGATGTCCGGGTTTTCTTCTCCAAATGGTAATCTCGCATTGGTATCCATTGGATTTCAGATGTCACTGCATATCACTGTGTTGATGCCGAGAAGCACTGCCTTTGGCTTCCTGATCCCCAAAGTGGAAAGCCACTGCTGGAAACGAGAGCCTCACTGGTGGCCCTCATGGCTCCGGATGTGGCGAAACAAACTGGGGCAATCATAAACAACGGCTTTTTAACATGGCTACGCAATGTATCGAAATGTAACCACGGCAGTAACAATCCAAGTTTGAGTCAATACTTTTGATCGATAGCCGCTATAGCCATTAGATCCATTTGAATGGCCAGACATTGTTGCAGGGATATACACCCCCGTTGGTCATTCCGCCCACCTCCTGTGCGCTGATCCGCTTGACCCATGGCGTAGCCACAGTAGCCGCCCACCACAGCGCCAACCAAATGGGATAAATGTGATACACCATCCTGGAAGACCGACAGCACATGACAGAAACCACAAAACATCTCTCTCTCTCTCTCTCTCGGGGCTTAGCTCCAACGCTATCCATCTATCTATGTCTGCCTGCCTATCTGTCAATCTATTTATCAATATATACAGTATATATATGTATGTATGTATGTATGCATGCATGCATGCATGCATGCATGTATGTATGTATAGCCTCGTGCAGGCTTCTGGAACTACCTAAACCTGAATTAGGTTGGTAAAACTTGTCCATTCCGTGACGAAATTTCGTCGCGGAATTAACAAGTTTCATTAGGGTCATTATCATCATCATCATCATCATCATCACATCATCATCAACTGCTGCCGCAAGTTCACATGAACGTTAACATCCTGCCGCAAGTTCACATGAACGTTAACATCCCACCCCACCCCCCCCCACCCCGCGTGTGCGTAGCATCAACTGCTGCCGCAAGTTCACATGAACGTTAACATCCCACCCCACCCCTTTACCCCAAGGTTTAGGTAGTTCCAGAAGCCTGGACGAGCCTATGTATACATGACATTACCTAACTGCATGAACCTGCTGGGTTCTTCTGCCAAGAATATGACGCAATCAACTTCCAGAATCGGCGCATGGACATCTACGTGGACCCTGTCCACCGCAATCCACCCCAGCTGATGACGAGATTCAAAACGCCCACGCAGCAATGGCCCTATCTCTGCCACGAGCCAAAGGGAAGCTGTAAGGATGGCTGTAGCTGGAACTGAACGATGTCTGCAACCAGAAAAGCCTTGGAGGCAGCGAATTGGATCATGGCGTTCAAAAACAACAATAGCATGCCATCACGACGGCCAGAAAACCTCTCCTGCAACACGTCTCCTTGCAGCTGAGGCCACCATTCAGCATCATCATTGCGAAGACAACGCCAGAAAGCCCCAAAATCTGTGCATTTGAAGGGCCCAAAAGCCAATGGGAAATTGCAACTGCAACGCTGCAGCACACAAGGACTTTCCTCGCAGGTGTCAGGTAGCTACAAAACGCCGACCACAGAAAATTTGAATGGGGATGGATGGGGTATTTATATCTTCTGATTCTAACATGTTTAAACATGATTTTATAAAGATTTTCCATGATGTTCCAAAACCAGGAGTATCCAATACAACAGGCCCAGAAAACACTCAAAATCAGGCCCTTTTCCATGCAGCTGGAGGGCATCAAAGTTGAAGAGCCATAGAACCTTTCACATGGAGGTCCAACTAGTGAAAGCAGCATGAGATTGTGCTGCAAGTGGCCCCAGTCAGCCTTGGATTGTCTAGGAGTCTAGACAGTACTTGGAAGAGATTGGAAATGCAGCGGGGTTCGCTCACTGACTTTTCTTCCATGGAAAAAGCCACTATGGAAAAAGCAACATCGCGCCACTATGCCTGGAGCCTCAGTGCTCATCGCGATCCTGCCTGGATGCCAAGCAGCATGACCCAAAGAATGGCTGAGCAGTTGAAGGGGCAGCCATATGCTCAGCCTACCTGGGCCGGTTCCCGCGCTAGCTGGACATGTTGTTATGAGATGTTATGAGCCCATCACCGTGGTTGAACTTCTTGCCATGCTGGCAATGTTGTAAACAATGGTCTGCCATTGGTTTTCAAACTTGCATGAAAACACCCGTCTGAAATGCCCATCAGCGTAATAAAAAAGGGGCTAAGCTAAGTATATGCAAAGTGGACTTGCTGAGGCCAAGGTGCTCAAACGCCAAGATGGCCAAGAGAAGCAAGACAAAACGCCAGGATGAAGCAAGGACAACCCATAGATTAAAGTGCAAGCAGCAGCAGTGCTGAGCACCACAGGGCTATCCAAAATGATATGCGGCACTCTCATGGCAAAAGTGACCAAGGTTCCATTCTTGGGCCAAATGCTTCGGTACACCGACTATCTAAGCTGCAGCTGATCTCACCTCCAAGCCGAGGCTTTTCTTTTGCGGATCCACGTGTTGCTTCAACAACATGAAGGCAACATGACTTCAGGTGGTTGTAATTCCACATTTTTCTTCCAAGACAGAGCTAGGAGTGCCGGATTCCGCCCTATGAGCAGCACTATGCGGCACTCCCCACCAAGGTTTCAAGCCCTTTCCACTCACGCCTAAGGGCCCAAAAAAACATTTCACACAGTTGGCCATCAGCTTCCTTCCCCGGGGCTGCAGAATCATGTCAACTCCTCTACCTGCTGTGTCTTTGAGTCAGTGCAAATGTCAGGGGTTTGCCAGTCCCTCCAAATGTGTCCTCCAAGCACCCAACTGCTGACGGGGGAGCTTGCAGATCGACAAATTTCACACACATGGATCAAATGATGGTAGTTCCAAACGAGATAAGATGCTGAATGCTGGGCGGCATCATATCCGCAGATGGAATTCAACTTCAGCATACTTCAGCATCTTCACCCAAGCTGGGACAGAATGCAAACCCTACGTGCCACTGCCGTCAAACCCACCATTTCATGGTCTGACCAGCGTTAACTCTGAGCATTGATTCACGAGAATCATCAGCTGAACGATGCCGAAGCTTTCGTTGCGAAAGCACGTGGTGCGTTACTTACTGCCATTTTGTCCTATCAGCATGTAACAACACAACTGGGTCACCTACATTAAAGCCTTCCATCCACATGGCTGAAGTTTGAAAAACGAAATAATTAAAACGAATGACATCTCGAATGACTGGATAATGTATGATGTTATGATGTTCGTATCCGGTATCCCCTCTGAAAGCCAGCCTGGTTGGCTAATCATTTAATCTAGTGCAGCTGATGATTCCCGCCTCAAACGCAGCCTCTTTTGTACACATATCACATCAGGCCGTTTGGCGATGATGCAGTTTTGCGGGCTATCACCTGATATCACCTGTCAATCCAAAAAGTGAAGCTTGAACTTCCGCCTTCAAGATTCGATCCACATGGCTCAAGTGGAGATTTGAAAATCACTCCCCCACAGAAGATAATGACCTGCTCAGACATCGATTTCTGTGATATGCAAACTAAACAGCCATACCGGACGCAAAGGCAAGCACATTCAAACCTGCAGCGACTGGTGATTTTTCTTCCTGCCTGTCCCAGTTTGAAGGGCAAGGTCACAAGACATCGCCACGTCGCGGATGTCAGGACTCTTTGAAATGTCCGTCGTAAAGCTTGGGGATGAAGCCGGGCCTGCTGCAATGTTGCCACATGCCGCTGGAGAAAGAACGACTACAACCAGTCACCCTATTTTATTATTTGTATTACCCCTGCAGAGGTGGAAAGAGCTTTTGGATGCTTTTGGCACGGAACGACTGATAGCAAAAAGGAATACGAAGGACACTATCATGAGAAGGCAATGGTTGAAAAAACTCTACATCTGCATGTAGGATATTAATGGATATTAGATGATATTAGTAATTAGCTATTGATAGCTATTGATAGCTATTGTACATATTGGGCTAAGTGCTCTCGAATTCCTCTTGGAGAAGCCCTACCAGCCCTGCCAACCCTCCAACCGCCTCTCACTTCTCATGCGAGGTGCCTTGCTATTAACTCACGAGAAGGCAAGAACTGCAAGAACTAAGAATTCATTGCTTCATGGCTTGACCAACGGAAGTTGTATGATACAATGATATACAATGTATGCAATGATTGCGAGGTTTGTGATGGCATGGAAGCGTCTCCACTGATGTGCAAGCAGTTCCCTATCTGCATGCGCCTCCGTATGCTGCAGCTGAATCTGAGCATAGGCCTGCAAAGAAGTGCAGTCCCAGCTTGTTTTCTATTCTCTTCATTTTTGGATCTGATTGGCATCTCTACTCACTGCCTCACAGCGTGTAAAGGATGCACAAACTGCAAATCATGAGAACACTCCAACACTTTAAACGACTCCAAACGCTGATGCATGGCATAATCAAAATTTTGAAAAGATTAAAAAATGACCACAGCATGCAAGTCGAAACGTGGCTATACCACAGCCTTCAGCGCACGAGTCACCACATTCCATGCTGTGCGCTCGGACCCAGACTCTGCATCGGCGTCCTCTTTGGGGGTGCCTATGGCACCGTGGAGTGAGCTCTCAAAATGTCCAAGAGAAAAAAGCGGTGCCAAAATGGCTGCTGACGCCAACTCATCTCAACTCGATCACTATGCAAATGATCATATAATGATCATTCATTATTATATGCATTCATACGCCATTTGCATTCTTCCTAAATCCAGCGGACACATTGGCATGCCAACATCTACCAAGCCTTGGCCAAGCCCTCTCAACAAGGAACCCTCTACCATCTCTACCCAAGTGCAGCAGTGTCCCACCATCAACTCACCAAGTGACGGCGAAGCTGAGCCACTTCATCGATGGCCAAAGCAGCTGCTTCTGCAGTGCTGAAGCCCCACTGCTCCTCTTCCTCTCTGGCCAGAAGCATAGGCCTCAGGGCTACTTTGGACCAATTTGATGGTGAGACATTTGAACTTTTGAATTGCCTGTTGCCATCTGTTGCTATTCATGTCCTTGCATGAACTTGTATCTTTGAATGTCCTGAGCTGACATGAGCTGAGCATATCCAACCATATCCATTTTCCAAGAGCTTCAAAACTCCCAATGTTCAATGAAACCTGGAACCCTCATCATCCATCATCACTAGTGGCCGTGCCAAGAGGCTTTCGCACCACGAAGACAGGCCGTGTCTCGGGAGGAGGGGACAACTCCACGCGGCGGATGCGGCCCAAGGGGTCGTCCTATGCTGGCTCATCTTACCAAACCCAAGGCAAGATCTGCAGAAAACTGCCGGGAAAAATAACCAGGTTTTCCTGCTCTTTTTCTGTAATTAGATGTTCGATCAATTTTTTTAACACAAATTTGGGCACCCAAATGCACCAAAACTTCTGCTCAAACTTCTCAATTGCAGGTGCTTGATTGACAGCGACGTGCTTCAAAGTGGCCCAAGTAATGCATCCCTGTATAGCCCGGTGAATGCCACGCAAAGAGTGAACAATTAATAAAGTTGAGCACTGTTGATCACTGTTAGAATCTCACGCCGACCAATCTCCTTCTCTGGGACAGCAGCAGCCATCTCCCGCGCGAAGCGCCAAGTTGCATCGACCAGAATTAGGTGCTTCACGCCCTGAGATGTGCAAATGACGTGATATTTACACTTGGGAAGTGGCCGCATCTGTGGGCTTTGAACATGAATCCTGTATGAATGTATCGGAACTTACCTTGCCACAGGAAAGAGAGAAGAATGATCAAACGTATAAACTATCAATCGTATTGATTCATCATGATTTATATTACGCCCATACCATCCTATACCTTACCCAAATGTGGCAATGAATTTGGGTGACTGGCGTAGAGTAACATCTTCAATCTCGAGCACACCGTCCCTCTCTGTGCTCCAAGTCTCCGGGTCCAAAACATCTCCTCAGGCGGCACCAAGGCATCAGCCAACATATGCCATCACTAATCAGGTGGCAGGTGATGAACGCATTAACGATCTCCAGTCTATCTCCTCATTCTGAGTTCAAACTTCTCATACAGCTAGCAGCTGGCAACTCTCCTAAGCTGGAAACAACCACAGGAGAGTAGAATCGCTGTTCCTCTTGAACCACACTTCCAAGTCCATGCCCATCTAGACAAGTGGCGCAAAGGTCTGGCACCTGCACCAGGGAAGACCAGCAGGCAACTCTGCGGCTGCTCGTAGATATGTTCCAGCCCCGAAGGTATACCTTCACAGGTCATTTATCATCATTCAGACACTCCAACAAGCGGCATGGACTAGAGATCAAGTGGGTCCAAAGCTTTGCTGATACTGAGCTGGTCTCCTCCTGTTAAGCTGTGTCAACTAGTTCCCATATTTGAATATATTTGATGCATTGCATTTCTTTGCCATATTGCTTGGGCCCTCTGATGCCCCCTGGATCCTCTGATGTCCTCTGGATCCTCTGGATGGTCAATGATGGTCACACTGGCCGGTCCAAGTTGCTCTTGGACTGCAGGGCTCGTGGCAGTCGTCTTGAGACGTGCTGCCGAACTCCGCTCACGCAGCGTTCCAAGATCCAGGCGCTTTGGTGCTTTTGCCGCCGCTCCTCGAGGGAGAAATAGGGAGAGATAGGTAGATATAGGCAGAGGCTTTGGGAAAGTACCAGGCACAAATCATGACAGAGTGCCAGGCAAGAGAATTCTAAACCCATAGGTAGACTGACTATGACTAATCTGTAATTTTGTCTGGATTGGAATCGATATGAATCGATTGAAATGGCAGCTGGACAAACGTGACCCTGCCTTTGGATGCCGAAGCAGGAGGATGCTCTCCAGCCCAGATGGTAGTCTAACCGGCGACGATGGCAAACCTCAGTGATGCGTGGCCGTCTCCAAAACTGCGGGAACTTCCAATTTCATGAAGACTGCGTCTATACATGCTACTAGTACAGTAAATATAAATCATGTAATAAATGTAAAAAAACCGTATGGTTAAATGTGGGGTGTCTAACTGCTAACTGTTAAAGGATGCGGGCGTGTAGATGCAACATGATTCGACAACCGGACCTATCCAAAACAATGAGTGCAAACCCCGCCAACTGACACTTCAAGTCTGGTCCAGTACCAAGCCATTTGGCTGCATCAGTCTTCATTCTTGCTGACTTTAAAATCTCTTCCCTTGACCCTTCTGCAACCATTTGCAACCCAGGCGCTCGAGCAAATGCATGCCCGCTGTGGCCGTGTACATTTTGCACACATTGGCCGCCGCGATCTTTGCGCTGGTGAATCATCCTCATCGTTCTGCGAGTCCTCTGTCTCCCCGGTCTCGGCATGAAGATTTTCCTTCAATGCAGGGAGTTCAATCAGGAGTGGGAAGAGAAACTAAGGTGAACGAAAATTGCAGATCTTGCAATGGGAGGTCCATTCGTATGAACGCATAAGATGCCCAGGGCCTCAGCGCCGTCAGCTTCGGTCATGACATGGCCGCCATGGCACCTCAGTTGGGCAAGTTCGGCCAGGCAGCCTGTCTGGACATGTCTGGACAAATCAATGGATGCATAATGTTCACCCCACACCTGCAGCATGTATGACATTTTGCCATGAAGATGGACAGTATTGGCCAGTAGAATCATGAAGAAACCCTAGTTCAAATTCTGACTTTACCCCAGATACCTGCAAACAAGGAGGGAACATTACACTTAGTCAGCAAAATCAGCCAACGCGGAAAAGAGCAATCCATGGGTAACATATGGCCACATCCAATGACATCTCGCCTTTTGAATTTTGATGCACGCCAAGCGGCACATCTCGGCGTCTTACGATGACACGCCGCCATCGAAATGTGTTAGCCAAATTGCTTCTGAATATCTCTGAATCCATGCCAAGTTATGTGGGTGAGGGGCATTGGCTAACCATGGCTAACCACCTGCTACCACTGCCAAAGCCTGTATTGTAAAGAAGACATTGATCAAATCATCAGGTAATAAGCTCATCAGAGGCATCAGCCCTCCGCAAGCCTTGTGCTTGAACTGTTCATGATCTGCCCCAGTTCCCCATGTTTCCCATGCCTCAGATCTGAGCACTGGTAAGGGCTCCTCACCAACATGAACAGTGCATCCATGGATGAATTACGAGAAATTACCAGCCTTCAAAACCTTGAATCATGTCATTTTGGATTGTTCTCTTTACTAAGCATGGTAAAAGCGTCTTGGTGACGTCGTTACAATCCTTATTATTGAACCCTTTGCAGCATCAGTATCTTTCCCAACATTTTGTGCAGCTTGGAACTGTCAAAAGTCAAAAGCACCATGCACCACCGGAGCTCCTCTTGCAAAAGAGCAGTGGCACTGGAGCAAGTTCCAGGCCTCAAGCTGCTCTGCTCTGCGTGTGTCCCACATCTGCTAAAAAGGCATAAGCATGTTGAAACTACTGCACACAAGCTTCCACAAGCATCCGCAAAGAAAATTGTCAGTTTGATGGCCATAAACAGCAAGACTCTTTCAGATCTTTCAGCCAACCTTCTGCACGAGGTTGTGACTCGTCATCCTCTTGATTTCCAGCCTCCTAACTCGCTTTTGGTGCGGACATGGATCCAGATTTAGGATTGATTTAGGTACTGCAGCATCAGCTCCCTAGAAACGATACGTTTCTGCATGATTTTGCATTTGCCGCATGCTTGACCTGGGACATCCAAAGCATTTCCGCTCGAAAACTAAACGGAAGTTTCGCAAAATGCTGCTGTTGGCTCAAGTCAACTGAATGTCACAGACCATCACAGGATGCCATTGAGCAGTATGGATTAGTATGGCCCAAACAATCACTGCCATGCATGATACTGCATGTTACATCATGTTATTCGTCCCATCTATTTCATCCTGCTCTCCAATCCCATGGCATAACCAAGGTTGGCGCATGAACGGCAGCTCGAAGCATGCTGGGAGGCAACCTCAGAGCACAACAGCAGCTACCAGCCGCACCACATTGGTCGTTAACATGAATGATGATCGGTAATCCTTGGTAATCCTTGGCAATCCCACTGTTACGGTCAGGGGCATCGCATATGGAATCATGTTCAATTTTATCAATGCTCAACACCAAGCAAGTTCCTGTTGACTGGCATTTGGCCCATGACCATCCATCCTACTGAGTCCTACTGATAGCTGTTGGATTTGGGCCACCCATGGCCGACCTCGGGAAACAAGGCTGTACCACACGAGTTGGACAAGGTGACTGCCTCAACGACGGCCCCTTGTGAGGCCATGGCAGCAAGGAGTTTCCATGCACAGCCTGCAACGGAAACTATAGATTGATGCTGCAGACCTCAAATCCATAAGCCTGCTATATCCTGCTATATCCTGCTATAATACCAGTCCCATCATGTCCCATCAACCCTCCATCTATGCCAAACCCCGGCCTGCCGGAATTGTCGAGGCTGACCTCGACAGGTCGATTCTTGGGGCGTCTCTCTCCCCCTTTGCAACACGACCCACCAGCAAACAAATGCAATGTAATGATCCTGAAGGTGACTAGGATACTTCTAGCCATAGTCGGTGCAAGACTCTTGTTGGCGACTGTGAGTGGCTCAAAATTTGTTGAATCGATTTCATCATGTTCATACTGGAACCTAGTACTAAAGCTTCGGAGCGTAGAACTTTTTGACGATGAGAAGGATCATCGAAGCCAACAAAAACTTCAATGACATATTGATAGCTATAGTGTCAAGCATTTGCGAGCTGCAGAAAAACATGCACCGCTCTGAGGCTCTGCAATTGCTGACTGCTGGTGCCACCAATGCCGGCAGCTCTCTGAAAATCATGAAAACATAATATGTCAATGTAAACTGTGGAGACATGGTCTCCGCAATCTCTTCGGAAAGCCAAGGTGGCTAACTCACCAACTTCAGGTATGCCTAAGCTGGCACAAAAGCATAGAAGTTGAAGTTTATCCAAATCTGTGACTGAGAGTTGTCAAACACACAATTGCCTTGGCAAAACAACCCTTTTTATCCCTTTCTGCAATATCAAGGGGTGACACACACACATGAAGGGGGCATAGTGACCGTGGTCCTTCGATGTCCTATGCCATCATCAGCCAAACAAACATCATGATCACCATCAAAATAACTTCTGATCATCATGAGCTGGGCGTTTAAAACCGAGGGATACCCAAACCACTGCCTCACCTATGAAACTAGACCGTCAACTGGAAAGTGATCGTAATTTTAGAGTGTCCAATATTTATGTATATATATATATCATGTGTGTGTTGCCTTCATTACCTTCATTTTTGGGGATTTTAGGGCATAAGAAAACAAACTCGTGGGTGTTTTCAAAAAAAAACAAGTTTTTACTTTGCGCTAAAAATACGTCATGGGGCCGTACCAAAAACAAAAAGGTCATTGGATGTCACAAGATCAGCCTTTGTCCGACCCCCAAAAGGTCCTGGAGCCGTGTGCGAAGAGATCAAAGTTGTTTTGAATTTGCAACAGCACATACCAGAACCAGCTAAAAGTATGTTGTCAAAAGTTTGGTCCTTAGGGGTGATCATACGGACGCAACTAAATCAGTATCAATTCCAACAAAACATCAACAAAAACACAATATCAAAATGAATGGAGGAAAAAAACAGTTTTTCAGAAAAATACTAATGATTAATTATGGGTAAATTACGGGTCCAAATTAAATTGTGGGTATTTTTTGTGTTGGCTACGGGTCTACGACTGAAACTCACTAAAAAACAAAGTGTTTTTCCTTGTGATTATGGGTATTTTCATTTTGGTTACGGTTGTTCTCCATAGATTACAGGTGGTTGGACGGATTACAGGGCAATTATGGGTAGAAAAGGTTTAAAGGGTCTATGAAGCTAAATTCCCAAACCTTAGACGCCTTAGACTCAATCAAATGTGATATGTTCACCTTGGGGTCAGAACAGCAACGTAATAATATTGTTGTTGCACCACATGTTGCACCCTTATCAGCCCTATATTGCTTCGATACCATCTCTTGGGTGTTTCATTGGGTTTATCCTGCACCCTTTGATGATTTCTATTCCCATCCAAGGTGCCTTTATTGGTACCATAATGTTGAGGTTGTAGATATTGTTGTATAGGTTGAATTCGGCCATATTCTGCCTATTGAAAACGGCCTAATCTCCACTCAACTGATCTCAGCGTCCTTGGTTTCAAGTGAAATTCCCGCTTGCTTGGATGAACCAACCCATGAATGGATACTGAACCATGTCCACCTTCAGCTTGTATGATATATATATATAATGGACAATCCGAAAAGTTTGGGTTGGGAAAAAAAACTACGTTTTTCAATTTTCAAACCCCCAAAAAATAACAATAATAAAGTCGGCAAAATGATATATATATATATATTATATACTTATATTATATGTGTGTGTTTTTGTTCTGCTTTGTACATCATCAATCTTGTTGCCTAAATTTCCGCTGTACTATCCGGCACCCCATGACGGTTGCGTTGCCAATAATGGCATTGCCATGCATTGCCTCTTTCTTGTCTCTTGAAGTCTTGGTCAAATCATGTCAAATCAATATCCCCATTGATTCCTACTATTCCCCAATTTCATGTCCCCAAGTCCCCAAGTTTCACTGTTTCATGTGCCCAAAGTTGTCAAACCAAATAAGAAACTAGGTTTGGGCCTAGTGGTCCTAGTGTTATGAACCTCCTACATTGAAATCATTGAATCTAATTGGTCTTTCTTGCTTCATCCCAGCCCCGGTCCCATTGGCAGGGCCGCCGTGGAAAATGCGGCGAAAAAGGCGGCTTGGTCCAGCGCAAACTTTTCCACTTGGCGGTGGAGAGCCGCATCGTACAGGAGGCCGATGTCAGATGGTAACAAATACCTCTGGTGGCCGCAGGGATGGACAGCTGCAGTACAACTTACAATATATTGAAAGTAACACCATGGAACTTAAAAATATGCAGAACCCAAACCACGAAGGGACCAGGAGCTGGCTGGTTAGCCCTCAAAACCATTCAAGACCCCAAGTTCGGAACTGATTCTCAAGTTCTCAGACATTCTCAGAGCATTTCATGTTCCCAAATCTCATATTCTGTGGAGGTTTGTGACTCAGCAGGTGCTCCCACTTTCAGGCCGATCTTCAAGTCACAGTGCTGGCAGTCCCCCATCAGCTCGATCTTTGTAGCGTTTAGCTGGCCGAGGCATTTTCTGCCGACGTTCAAATTCCAAGACGTCCTTGAAGTAATCCTTGGTTGCTGACAACGGCCTGTTTGGTTGAACAAAACCAAACTTGGAGAGTCGGGAGGGTGCATCCTGCATTATATTTACAAGGATGATGCATGATGCTGCACAATGCAGTAACTGCACGCACAGTGATCCAAATGATTCAATCATATTCAATCCATTCACAACCCAACGCGCAGTGACGCAAAACTAGAAACAGAATGAAACATACGTAAACTAAGCAAAGACGGAGGAAGCATTATTGAATAGAGTAGGGCGAGATGTAAACGGCAGTCTTCTTCCCTGCTCACGGCTGCAAATCCAGAACTTCAAACCTTCTTCGGCCATGCATGCAGGCTGCACCCCCAGTAGTGAAGTCCATCGACCAATGGTATGCGCACCTCAATGAGCCCCGGCTTGCCAGAACACACAAGAATGTACAAGCACCGGCGTTAGTAAAAGGGATCCCAACAATGTGCCGCAATCTTGCTCGGGGGCATCCCAAAAGGTTTACAACAAACGCCAATCAGCTTTTCCAGTTACAACATGTTACAACCACTAAGAAATATCCAGTTCCTCCCATGTTATCATATATGTTATCCATGCTGTTGCGGAACTCCTGATCTCCGACTTTCAGAATCTTTCAAGGGGGCCACCAAACCACCGTGCCACGGCACCCAAGAGGGCCACCAGCTCCTCATCCGAAAAGCCCAGTTGTCGAAAGTAGTCGCGGATGGCGCCTGAGGTCAAGCTGCCTCGGCCACACCCCGGGCTACTTTGATTTTGGTGAAAAATACGAAAACTCCTGACAAGCAAAAAGTAAACAATGAGTTTGCATTCTGAAACCAGGAAGCATCGTGAAGTTTCGACAGAATACTTCGAATCTGACTAGAATATACTAGAATGTGATGAAATGAGATAAAATGTGCAATGCTCCCGCAATGAATTGCCAAGTGTACGCTTGTGAGTCAGCAGTCAGAAGATATCATAAGTTGTGGCTGACCGCTACTGGTATCTCTACTGACATGCACATCTAATATTGTAATGCATGTGCTACTTATACATACTTATACATACTTATACTACATACGTTGGAGGAAGCTAGCCTCACCCAGACCAGCTGCCATCTGGCAAGCGATTCTCAGCATCTTCCATAGTGACATCCTTGCGGCCCGTGGGGACGTCAATCTTTGGACCGCCCAGGGCTTCAACAACCTTGGTGTGAAACAAGTCATGGCGGCCATGGCGATATTCAAGTCCAAACACAGTTGTTAAATGTTGTTAACCATTACTAACCCATGGCCCAAACAATCCAAACAGGTAGCCTGCAAGTAGCGGTTGACTTCAGCCAGTTCTGCCCTCGTCAGTCGCAAGTTCCAAGCCGCAGGTCAGAAAGTTCTAAAAACTTTGCTGAAGCAAATAAGGAAGCACTGCTGCGCCACTCACTGCGATGGCATCCGCCCATGAAACTTGACCTAGGCGGAATTGGAGTTGTTGACATATATTTCATCACAACGCTGCAGGTGTACATTTCAAGCTTCAAATTGATTGGAACCGTGGCATTAGAATATGTTGGAAGCATTTGATCGAGTGTTGCCAATGTCGATTCATTCGGCCTTTTAGTTGACCCATTCTAGTCGCAGAAAACTCATAAACTGACGTTCTTTCGGAATATCTAAAGGATCTAAATCATGCCAATCGATGCCAGCCAATCACATGAAACCAAATGTGTGGCCCCGTGATTTCTGTTGCGTTGCATTTTCCCACGATCTCTTCGATGAACTGCAAGGCCTGCCGCAAGGATGGCCCAATGTTTTCGTTCCTCGTGAGCTCAAAACGAATCGAGCCATTCCTTGCAACAGGGAAGCTGAAGGCGACTGCGAATGAGAAGGCCATTGTGGCATATTGCGGCATTGTCCACGTGCAATGTACCCAAGACAAATGTTTTGAACTTGAAAATTTTAAGCAGTCGCAGAATTGATCATATTTATCAATAATTGCTTGTAACATCTTGTAACAAGTATTTGTGTGTGATGGCTGTACCTTTTGCTTCTGGCATCAATCTGGTTCAAGCGTCGGCCCCTGGCCGTCAGAGCGCTTGGTCGCGGCGTCATGGAAGGCCAAGCGGAGAAAACTGGGCGCAGAGTCGGGATCCTCGGTGACTGCATTGGGACCAACTTGAAGAACTCTGACAATTCCGTGGGTATCTGAATTTCATTAAGTTATATAAGTTCCACTGCTTAAATTTCTCACAGAAGCTCAAGGGTGAAACACATTGAGTTTGCTCAAGCTTGCTCCTGCTGCAACCTGTTGAACTAGCATTCCAAGCCATTAGATGATCGAATGCAGAAAAGCTCACCAGGTGAGGGAGTTTGCCATCTGCATCAGTCTGCATCCATCATCATCATCATCATCCTCCTCATCCATCTGCTATTCTCAGATATTCTCTGTGCATCTGGGGCTCTCTTTGGGCATTCTTTGTTGCCATATCCCTGATGCACTCCCCCGCGCTGGGTGCAGAAGCTGCAGCTGTTTTCGGGGCTGTCGCCAGCAGCGGCATTGCACCAATGGCGAAGATGTCACGACGGGCCAAGGATGGAACGGTAAAGGGCAACTGGATGCGGTTGCATCGGAAACAACCTTGGCCAGTGGTTCCAATATGTTCCGATGGTCCCAGCATCCAAGTTGCAGAATTTTTGAATAGGGGAATGCTGGTTGCTGGCTGCTGAGCTAATCCTTCCCCACTGCAACATGCTGCAAATTAATGCAAAATAATGCAAATTAGATGTTTTTCTTGGGGCAGAGACAACCCATCAATTGGGCAACGACAAATCATGACAAATCAAGCACCAAACCAAGATGCAGCAAAGTGCAAAGGCAGTCAATCGCACCAGTGATGGTCTTCGTGATGTCTTGCTTTGGACATCTCTCAACATTGCGTGCAATTACCGGCGTTCTGCCTCTTGCATGTAAACAAAACTAATATACGCTTCAGGATGTATGAGCAACCTCTTTGCGGCATGCAGGTTAATTACCTCAACAAAAGCGTCGATCGTGTAGGTCTGGTATAAAGAGTTTGCATATATGTTTCCGTCGTTGGTGAAAGATATATACTCAAACGACGCGTCGCTTGACACCACTATATTGTGAAAGAAATAAAAGTGAACTCAAACGACGTGCTCATGCAATCTCATGTGCCCCTTGAGAGGGAAACAACTGCCAAACATGTCACGAATGCAGCCATCAGGCAGGAGCAAGCACATCATTTCATATAATTACAACATTCTGTTTGATCTCACCAAACTCAGCATTATGCATATCTCCATCGGCTCCGATCCATGAATCTAGGGCTAGGCTTCCTGCGAAGGAAATGGCACCTGAGACGGGCAAATCTGTGACAGCAACAGTGTCCGCAGGGCAGCGTTTGAACCTGCGAACGAATGAACATCAAAAACGTATGGAGAATTAATGAAAATCATCCAAATAAATTACAATGTATACATGCATTGCATGTCACATATACACATGATATTCCAACTGTGATGCAACGGATAGCATAGGAATAGAAAATAACAGAAACATATAACATATATATAATATTATATAATATTATACATATAATATATAATATAATACATATAATATATAATATAATACATATATAATTATGACCCATGTAGAAACAACGGATTTTTCAAAACTGGGCGCCCGACCACATCCACCACCAGGCCGGCGTGTGGCCGAGCCGGCTGCCCGGCGCTGAAGGTGGCCTGAAAAAATGGCCCGGAAAACGGCCAGAGCGCGGTTGTAGATGATTTGTAGATGATTTACCTTTGAAAAAAACGTATTGTAATACATATTTTAAATGGCAAACAACCAAAGAATTAAACTTTAAGAGTTGTAAAAAAGGAATTAGACATATTAAACGTATCTGCAGCTTCCATTGACCCCTTATTTAAGGCAATTTTGCCTTGCCGCTATATTTTTGTTGAAATAACCATAAATGCCCACAACATTGCAGATCAAGCAAGTCGGCCTGAAATGCTCAAAACTCCCACTCAAAAATGAGTTTTGCCTGCTGGGATGATGCTTGACTTTAGAACCTATGCTGCTCATGTCCAGCAGGGACCACAAGCAGAATCCCTGATTCACAGGAGCAAGCTGTGTGTAGTTTGGATGCTAAGCTTGTGGCACACAGCCTGATTGCCAAATTCCAGGAAAATATTTGGGGTCTAGCCAGGCGAGCTTGCCATGCCAAGTGATCCTATTTTGGCGATCCAAGCGGAAAAAAAACGAACCGCAAAACATGCGCAAAAACCAGCAAAAAGGCGCAAAACATGCTTTCTGCCTTGTTGGGTGTGGCGTATTATGCATATTTATCCATTTTGTTACAATCTGCAGATTGGACCCACAGTTTCTTGGATGGAAAACCTGAATGCTGTACCTTGCCCAGCTAGTGGCTAAAGCATGAATGATCAGTCCTCTAGACTAAGGAAGGGTAGTTGATGGGTCGCTAGAGGTTAAAGTGTTTGAGAGTAGTGTGGTGTGTGGTGTGTGTAACACATATCGCGGAAAGGGTTGAAACATTGCAGAAACGAGTGACGCTATTTTTCCAAACATTGCAGAAAGGCAATTCGGCCGATATAGCCTTGTGGAGTATATATATACCAGCATCTTCAGTGTGCCTCGTTTTCATTTTTGATATTCTAAGGTCTTCAAATATCCACTTAGCCATCCCATATATCAAAATGAAAACGAGGCCACTTAGAAGATGCTGTAAGGGGTCACTTAGATATCAAAGGGTCACTTAGATATCAAGGGGTAACTTATGATATCAAGGGATCACTTATGATATCTAGTTTCCCTATTAATAGCTGTTGGGTCTTAGGTCAATGGGTTTTACTGTATATAGATGGTGTTTGGTGTTGATTGTTGGCCCCATGCCCCATCCATCCCATCATCTCTCACCTGCCCTGTTCATCTCTCACCTGCCCTTTTTGGACGACAACGTGCTGTCGAGCTTTGTCATCTTCAAAGCCAGGCCAGATGGATGGGAGCAAACCATGGGTCAATGGGTATATATATATATTAAATATAATTAGTTCAGAAGGGCTTTCACTTTCACTCTCATGCCCCTTCCATCTGTCTTAGCCATCTAACTGCCACAAAGGCTGCGTAGCGAGTAAGGACTTGTCTCCCCAGCAAATTGGGATGTGCCATTTTGGCCATCATTTTTATCTTTCCCACCTTAGATTTGTTCTTTGACTCCGTCCGTGAAATAAAAGCAAAACACAGGTAAAACATGGTACGTAAAACATGTTCAACTGAGAGGCCATATCTTCGTCACAGTAGCAGCTGGCCCAAAGTGGACCAATCCGCTGAGAACCATCAAGGACCAAGTGGTCCAGCCTCAACTCACATTTTGAAATCCTAATTCTTACCAATCTTGCAAATGTGGCAAAATTTCATAGTCAAGAGACTTATGAACTTTCGGACGCAATTTCCACAATAAACGTCCTTCAGAAATGGCCTCTTCTGCGAGCCCTTGGTTGAGAGAGACTTGTTGTTGGGATGAAAATGTGAGTGGATGAATGGACTGAACAATCTTCAAAAAACATACGCCAGGTCACCATTAAGGGCCGAATGGAACAGGTAATTTGCAGTCTCTAACTTGGAGTAGTTCTCAGGTGTCAGGAGTGGACCTTGACGTAGTGTCACAGCTTCCCGCATAGCGCAAGCGTTGATGAAAACAGCAGCACGCAGCCTCAAAGACCACATTTTCCCAAACCCCCCTGCCAACGTAAGCTAGCTTGAAGTTTGAACATGCCAGTGCCAAATCTAAGAAAAACCCAGGCTCTGACTGCATATGAACATTCTCCAGATGCTTGTAGGCCAGGCCAACTGTCACCCCAGCGAGCCACTTTGCCAAAATACCCGACTCCTCAATTTGAAACTCTTAGAAATGGGATATAGCTGATACAACTGGCACAAACAATTTCAAAACTCAGGCCAAGTCGGCTCCATTGAAATGCTTCTGGGCAATCGTCGGAAATGTTCGGGCGTTTTTCTGCAGGTGCTTCCTTGGCTTTTATGCTGTAGCATCATTTTTTTTGCTATGGAACTCATGCCTTAAACTTCCAAAAACTTGTGCATGCTGGCAAGAAGCAAGCAAGAGAAATGCCCCCGGTTTCCTGAGCTACGAGTGGGAGGAAAAGGTTTGGGTGCTATGAGGGATAACTGCTTTCATGAGTGCATCTAAGAAGCTGATTTTGTGCCGTTTGCACAATGCAGAAAATTCAACATATGCCGCACGAAGTTTGTCATCCATTGTTGATCCTGGCCACAAGACCAAGAAAGGTAAAGATACTGCCTACTTCTAACCATCCAATACCAGAAAACAAGTGGTATGCACCTGGCCACAGATCATTGTCTTCCTTGCAAATCTCAATGAGTGCCTAATTGGAGGACCAAAGGTGGGATCTAGTTTATCCATTGGTAATTGGGACCTAGAATCCTAGAAATTAACCCATTGGTAGCACAAAGGTTGGTTGTAGATGCGATCCAGGCTACAGATGCTGCTGCATCTGGAATCAAGGCCAGGTCTAGCACATGTAACCAATCGTAGATGACCATCGAAGGATGGAACCCAGGAATCCGTACCCAGGGGTTGCTGCCACATTTGTCCGAGACGAACTCACCCATATCACATTGAGTGGTTCTGTGGGGTGCATTTCTCCCAAAAGCAGTGTAGAGGTGGGCTGAACTCGAACTGCTGGAGGCACGGCAATGGAAACATACTTCATCACTGACCCAAGTTGTTCTGACATGGTAGCACTTAGCCAAAGCCTTTTCGTCCCCCCTGTGCGCAAACAACACCCCCCTCCATCCATCAGCAATGAGGGCACCCTCCTTGGATTTCCTTTGGCCCATCACCTCACCCCATGGGGAATGACCCAGCCACTGGCCTGCGGCCAACTCTGCAAATGCCCAAGCTATCCAGCTGTCCAACGTGTCATATGTGCTATTGCATGACCTTGCGTTGTCAGTAGTATACAGTAGAAACCGTGAGTCCCAGGGAGATCCATGAACCAACGCACTACCAAACGATGCTACCATAAAGCTTCTTCTCCTGTGAGCTTCACCATCATCACAATGGAATATCAAGGGCACACATCGACTAAGATCAGTTTCCTCGGAGACACTGAAAATACAGCTGAAAAAATGATTAAACTATGCTTCTTAAGTAAGGACCAGTGCTTGCGAGGATCTGGGTCTGAAAGCACAGGGTGGTTCTTGAAGAACTCAGTTTCACGTTGATGCTCCCAGAATCTCAGGATTGCCTGCCAAGGATCAGGAAAGGGGAAAAACATTATTATATAAACTATATGTATAGCTGGGGCACTCCAGGTTCACCAAGGAATCGCTTGGCAAAAAGTCGTCGGTCATAATGGTAGATGCTGGCAAACCTAGGCTATGTTTTTAGATAACCATAAATTTGATATTATAACAACAGTAGGTGTGTGCCAAGTAACACTTCGGAGGGCAGGAAAATGTGCCAAGACCCCATATAGTAACTTTGTGTCAGGGACTTGTCCTCGAGCACCGTAAATACCCTTGGTATTCAATCATGCTGGTGTTCATGAAAAGATGGAGATTCATATGAATTGTTGCAATGGGGAATTTAAACATGATAGCGCCAGGATACTCTAAGGCATTGGGTAACATACGTCTCCATGGTTGCCTGGCAACCCATAGCCAAAAGTTCCGTGGGGCATTGCGACCAGCATCCGCTGCACGAAGTAGATCATGCATATTTTTCCTGGGCCATCATTGGTGTTTAGGAGGATCACATGGGTCTTGTTGTAGCATACTAGTGAATGCTGACCAGGGGCGGCAGGAATTGCTTTGGGACCCTTCTCTTGATCACTTCTAGCATCTTCACCAAAGTAGAAACACTGACCTCGATCAATGGATGTATTTTCTTAATCTAAGGATTGGGGCCTCGTTCCAATATGTGAAATGAACATTTGAACATCAAAGTAAAATGCATCCAGGCAACCTGCCGCCCCAGTTCGATGAACTCTTCCACAATGTCCATGATTACTGTGAATGTAATACATAAGAAATGTAAATTGTATCATCCCGATCCCCTATTTGGGTCAAATAGGATCCCAAAATGTTAGATGTGCATTTTTTTTAATGCATATGGTTCGGTCCCACAATTGTAAGTTTGATGGTCTGTTAAGTAGGTGTTTCACTCCTCCCCCTTTTAGGTTGATGGTATGTTGTTAAGTGTTGCACTCATCACCCCTTGAGCGACCCCCTCAGTGAAAAAAAAAGCAGTAAATGCAGGACTAGCAGAAGAAATCCAAGCTGAACTTTTATTGGTTATTCCTTAGTAAGTTGAATTGCACAATCAAAACAGCTGTTTCATACCGGCCCTTCAAGATTCCGATAGATCTATGTGATCAAATTGGGTGATCACCACCCCGAGAGAGTCACGATCATTTGATCATGTTAAACCCCAAAAGTTTGCCAGCTGCAGGTTCTTGGAAGCACTGTTGATCTTTTGAACATACATTAACTATGATTCAATGGGACACTTTCTGGGACCTATAATATATGTTCATCCTTGTACCCACCTATGCTGGGCAAACACGAAAACAACGCTACGTGCCACTGCCCTGCGGGTAATCCCACAGATTTCCATGCCTTTATAAGGGATTGGTGTAGGGAATCAAAATTACCAAATTAAATTGAATATGTTATACCCCAAAGTTTAACCCACATATCAAATTATCAATCCTCCTCATTGGGCGCTTCAGATGTGTCATCCTCAGCATCATCTGCCTCAGGCAGCGACGACTGATTCGTCTTCCTACGGGCTGGTCCCTTGACCAAACCTATGCGTCTCTTGGCGTCACGGAGATCAGTCAGGATGTCGTTCAATGGACCTTTGTAGTGATCAATAAAGTCCTTAGTTGCATGAATCAAAGTAAAATAATGGTTGTTTGAACAAAAACAAATTATGGGACTTTCAGATTGACTACGAACAAAGGAATCGTTTTGATCGGGATCATAGGGCTATTATGTGTAAGATAATCTAGCAAATCATCCATGGGGTTGCCAAACAGGGGTCATGTACTTCCCCTGCAATCACTTCCGAAGGCGGTGTTGACATTTTCTCGTGGACTTCCTTGGCCATGCCCGCTACCGCCCAGATGTGCTTCTCCATAACATTTACCTTGGGCCAGTGGGGATAGTTAATAATCCAAATCAAATGAAAAGAAATAAATCAGTTACTGAAACACATATGCCATTGGAACTATCTGGGGCTACAGGGTAAAGGCCATAATATCATATAATAGCACCTCTTAATCTTTGGGGAATATATACTTGTTTTGGGTGCTTGAACTGAAATTACCAACAGTGGTGCCCAAGTACCAAATCATCAGAATTTCGCACCTCAAATTCCTTGATCTCGTCCAAGCACTTCGGGATCTCATTGGCAGCTTTCTTCAACCTCGGCTGGGCAAAGAAGGGGAGAGAAAGTAAAGTTGATGAAGATCCCAAAAGAAAACATTTCTGACATAGTGTAATCTTGATACAAGGAACTTGTTAGACAGCTTTTTAAGCTCATCTAGAGCCAATTGCTCCGGTTTTTTTTTCTTTTTTTGTTTCTTGCTTGTGAGTCGGCCAGTCTTCAAATCCAGCTGGCCTGCACCCTCAAGAGATGCTAGTCCCATCCCCAACTGCTTAGCGAGGAGACTTTTCATCTCTGGTGAACGTATGCGTCCACTAATCCCCAAAGAGCTTTCACCCCTCTGTCCACTTCGAACCTCTTCACTTATCTCTGCCAATACTTTGAACATTCGTGCGTCCTTCACCCCAGGTGCTTGAGGGTGCGGCACACCAGTCTGCCCTTCCGTGGTGGCAAGGAGAGCTGTGGGCGTGGACCACATGGAGTGCAGGGGTCTGTAAACTGAATAAAAATGATAAAGCATCCCAACATGATCCATAATTTGGAAATTTGAAAAATTCACATGATCCATAATCATAATTTAAAAATTATAAATTTGGAAACATATTATCCATCCCAACACCCAACTGACCCCACCTTTGGTGAGCTCCGCAATGAATTCGCGGGCCTCTGGCGTGTCTCCATAGGTCTGCTTCAGCTGCAGCAGTGTTACCTAGGATCCAGTTTGCCGGGAAAACAGTGAAACTATGGAGTGATATGGTATGGGATGGTACATATGTGGATTAGTATGGTACCCTGCTGTTTGGATTGTGGCCTTACCATATGTAACATTATACGATATCATAAAATTTAAGTTGCTGGTTCAAGTTGCTGTTTTATATTTATCACTGCGGAGCTCTTCTGACCATCTGACATATTTCTCCTCAACATCGATCGCTTCAGTCTTTCCATCGTTCAGGAGCCACTGCTTCAACATGGTCCACCTAGGCAGGGAAAAAACTACATTGGTGGGTGGTAGTGGTTTTTATTAAAGGAATTGTTTCAAAAAGAACAACTGTTTTTGTTTACACCCCAAACCTTTCAGTGTCATTGCACAACTGGTACTTGGCAAGCAGTGCTGGGTTCAAAGTTTTGTGGATTGCGCGGCCCATAGCAGCATATTGCCGCTTTCGTTCTGACGACTCCATGTCTGATGGAGACGCCATTGAACTCAACTCATCCTTCTGTTGCTGGTCCAGCTTCACCAGTCTTGCCTTACCTTGTCCAGGTACACTGCGGTTGGGTGTCTCCTGGGCAAGGAAGAACTGTTGACAGAATTTAGGCATACCAGCATCGTTTTCATTTTATATATTCTAAGGTCTTAGGTAGGCCACTTAGCCACCCCATATATCAAAATGATTCAAAATGAAAACGATGCCACTTAGAAGATTCTGGTATATATAAAGGGTTGCTGAAAATATAGCGGTCAATCCTTTGCTTGAGAAAACATCCAACCCTTTTCCCCATTGAACCACAATCCCATCCTCGCTGAGTGAAGATGTCGTTGCTGGAGATGCCAGAATGTCAAAGCTTGGCATGGTGTTGATACGCTCAACTCGCTTCTTTTCCACATTCTCCTGCACCAAGGGGTTATCATGTGAAGGGCTATATCTTTAAAGGTAGCACAAATCAAAAACCGGATGGTAAGGGAACTATTTGAGGCAACTAGATTTAAAGAAGCCCAATGATTGTTCCATACAGCATATTCCATCTTTTGTGCGACCATATATGTGTTCCTATCCCATCCCGAATTCTCTGGGGCCTCACCATCCGACGAATCGAACTTCAGTCTTTTCTTTTCAGGGCTCGAACCCGTTGAACCTGAATTCACACGTTTGTCCTTGGGTGGTTCCAGCTTGGCTCGCTTGCTGTCAGGCCCATTGGAAGGATTGGAAAGGTGAGCACCATCTGGTTTCAGGTGCTCCTTCCGTTTGTGGTTGGCATCCAACTGAGCTGTGTTGGCTTCACTTTTGGGTGAAATTGTTGTTTGAACATCACCTTCAGACTTCTCAGCCTCACCTGTCTTCTCATCCTTTCTTGTCTTCGTCTTTCCTTTCTTGTTCTTCTCATTTGCTTTGTCTTCACTGCTTGCACTTGCCGATGCCTTCTTGTTGCCATCTTCCTTGCTCTTCATGGCCTTCTTCTCATCATCGGCCTTCTTTGGTTTGGCTTTCTCACCTTGTGTATCCTCAGCCTCACCTGTTTTCCCATCCTTTCTTGCCTTCGTCTTTCCTGGCTTGTTCTTCTCATCTGATTTGTCTTCACTGCTTGCACTTGCCGATGCCTTCTCTTTGCCATCCTCCTTGCTCTTCATGGTCTTCTCATCATCGGCCTTCTTCGGTTTGGCTTTCTCATCTTGTGTCTTCTCAGCCTCACCTGTCTTTTCAGCCTTGCTTGTCTTTGTCTTTCCTTTCTTGTTCTTCTCATCTGCTTTGTCTTCGCTGCTTGCACTTGCCGATGCCTTCTCTTTGCCATCCTCCTTGCTCTTCATGGTCTTCTCATCATCGGCCTTCTTCGGTTTGGCTTTCTCACCTTGTGCCTTCTCAGCCTCACCTGTCTTTTCAGCCTTACTTGCCTTCGTCTTTCCTGTCTTGTTCTTCTCATCTGCTTTGTCTGTGCTGCTTGAACTTGCCGATGCCTTCTCTTTGCCAGTCTCCTTGCTCTTCACAGTCTTCTCATCATCGGCCTTCTTCGGTTTGGCTTTCTCATCTGGTGTCTTCTCATCCTCACCTGTCTTCTCAGCCTTACTTGCCTTTGTCTTTCCTTTCTTGTTCTTCTCATCCGCTGTGTCTTCACCTGCTGTTGCCACCACTTTTGTAGTCTTTTCATCATCTGGCTCTTCCTTTGCAAGGGACTCTTGAGAACTGATGGATAGGAGTGTTGGCTGATGACTGACCATCGGTGTTTGCTTTAAAACTGGGTCCATGTAAGCCCTAGCCATCCAACTGTTTGAAACCTGTGACCAACGCTCTTCCTCTGGCAGCAACCTGTCCTCCTCACTTACCTTTGTCTTTCCTTTCTTGTTCTTCTCAACCACTTTGTCTTCGCTGCTTGCACTTGCCGATGCCTTCTCTTTGCCATCCTCCTTGCTCTTCATGGTCTTCTCATCATCGGCCTTCTTCGCTTTGGCTTTCTCACCTTGTGCCTTCTCAGCCTCACCTGTCTTTTCAGCCTTACTTGCCTTCGTCTTTCCTGTCTTGTTCTTCTCATCTGCTTTGTCTGTGCTGCTTGAACTTGCCGATGCCTTCTCTTTGCCAGTCTCCTTGCTCTTCACAGTCTTCTCATCATCGGCCTTCTTCGGTTTGGCTTTCTCATCGTGTGTCTTCTCAGCCTCACCTGTCTTTTCAGCCTTGCTTGTCTTTGTCTTTCCTTTCTTGTTCTTCTCATCTGCTTTGTCTTCACTGCTTGCACTTGCCGATGCCTTCTCTTTGCCATCCTCCTTGCTCTTCATGGTCTTCTCATCATCGGCCTTCTTCGGTTTGGCTTTCTCATCTTGTGTCTTCTCAGCCTCACCTGTCTTTTCAGCCTTGCTTGCCTTTGTCTTTCCTGTCTTGTTCTTCTCATCTGCTTTGTCTGTGCTGCTTGCACTTGCCGATGCCTTCTCTTTGCCATTATCCTTGCTCTTCGCAGTCTTCTCATCATCGGCCTTCTTCGGTTTGGCTTTCTCGACTTGTGTCTTCTCAGCCTCTCCTGTCTTTTCAGCCTTACTTGCCTTTGTCTTTCCTGTCTTGTTCTTCTCATCTGCTTTGTCTGTGCTGCCTGCGCTTGCTGATGCCTTCTCTTTGCCATCCTCCTTGCTCTTCACAGTCTTCTCATCATCGGCCTTCTTCGGTTTGGCTTTCTCATCGTGTGTCTTCTCAGCCTCACCTGTCTTTTCAGCCTTGCTTGTCTTTGTCTTTCCTTTCTTGTTCTTCTCATCTGCTTTGTCTGTGCTGCTTGCACTTGCCGAGGCCTTCTCTTTGCCATTCTCCTTGCTCTTCATGGCCTTCTTCTCATCATTAGCCTTTTTTGGTTTGGCTTTCTCAGCTTGTGTCTTCTCATCCTTTGTCTTCGTTTCCTCAGCCTTCTCCTTTGCTGGTGCTGCTTCACTTTCTTTAGCTTTGGGCTTCACAGTCTTTGTGTCTTTCACCTTGGCACCTGCCAACTCACTGTCTTTGACTTGTCCCGTCTTGCCCATGTTCACAGAGACTTCCCGCAGTCCTTTTCAGGGTAGATAGTGGGATATAGTGTGGGCCAATATCTAGGTTGAGCCATTTCCTCACCCCTAACAGCTATAATTTGATTGGTTCAAAAGGTACTCAAAGACAAAAACACATTTTCGGGCAGTAACCAGTCCTTGGTGCCAGTTTCAGAAACTTATGGCTCACCGCACGAGACCCCGAAAACGCTAAAATCGGTGCCAGCTGTGACACGCGAATGACACGGTACCCTTCGATATTGTAAGTGGCTCTTTGATATTGTAAGTGGCCCTTTGATATTGTAAGTGGCTCTTTGATATTGCTAAGTGGCCCTTTGATATTGCTAAGTGGCTCTTTGATATACAGCCAGTTTGGTGCTGTGACACGTGAATGACACGCAGTGACACGCAGTCCTAGAGCCGCCAATGGTGATGTCGAGAACTATCAAAACAAAACGACAATTTTTGGGAAATGTCTGGAAATCAAACAATTTACTGTTCAGCTGGTTCTTCGCAGGTGTGAAATGCAAAGCACTAGTGTGGGTGCTCAGTTCCACAAGAAATGGTTGAACTCTTTTCATCACGTGGGAACATCGATCTACAGAACACCAGCAGCTAGTGACCACAGGTGTGGGCCCCAAAGTAGATACTAATTTCAATCTACCATCCATTCAGACCTCTTCTATCTCACTCTCCTCGCATCGGCAGTCGCGGCTGATCTGCAGAAGGGAGTTCAGCTCTGTCCTGATGAAAGGGGGCCCCCCACCAAAGTAATGAATGATATTGGGAACGGGTTGAACCTAAACTATTTGACACAGGTCCAGCATCTTCAAAGTGCCCCGTTGTTTGATATTCTAAGGTCTTAATTAGGCCACTTAGCCACCCCATATATCAAAATGATTCAGATTGAAAATGAGGCCACTTAGAAGATGCTGGGTTGTGAATAATCAACAAAAAGCAAATAATTCAGCTTGGGTTCACAGTGAGAAATTTGCGGAGCTCTAGTGCCCAACATGCCAGGCAAATACGGTGATCTTTCACCCCATCCAAGTACCGGATGCATTCTTTTTTTGTCATCTTAAACTCTCCAGCTTTCAGTACTCCCCGCGGCATGGCTAATGTTTACAGCTATCAACAGGTGGGCTAGAGCTAAGTGGCCTGGATGCAAATTACACCTGTAAATTTCATCAGCAGCAATTGACATATTCATAAGTCCAACCCTAAGATGTTTATGGTAACCCATCAAATTAAGCAAATAGCCAGATCCCAATTTGAAATTCGTATTATGGGGTTTCACAGATTTGGACAGGCCCCTGTCAGTGTAGTTCCATTGTATCTTTTCCTTCAGCTGGTGGCTCGCGTAAAGTATGTTTGGGAAGCAGCACCTGTGGCCATCCCCTGCTTTGTCCCCTTCGCAACCCCAAAATATTCCTAAACCATGGATGGTCCCAATGGTATTTATTTTTGGTGAACTCCTTTGGTGGGAAAGTGAAACCCCTAGGGACGACCTAAGAGAGAGCGCCGCCATGGGCAATGCTTTCGCCCCTTGATGAGGTCATCGATTGCACCGTCGTCTGAAGAGGCAGGGTCATCTTCGGTGATGTTAATCTCCTTCAGGGGGCCCTTATGAACCCAGTTTGTCCTTAATCAAGTTGATACAGGACAGAGCCCCATAGTTAGCTATAGTTGGTCTATTAACTATATGCTGGGGTTATAACCATTTATACATATATAGGGGGGCACCATCTATCACATCTATAACTGGGGGATATCGGAATACTTCAAAATGATCTATACCCACAAATGATTATAAAACCATATTATGGGGTATCCAGGTCCTTCAAAGTGAGAATTTTAAGTGACCCTTTTTGGGAGATTTTTTGGGGTGAGTGAGTTGGAATTGATGGTTGAAAATGGTAACCTTGACCAGGTTCTTTCAGACAATTATACCGATAATTCAATCCTAACCAACATTTTCAACCCAAGTCCGGGGAAGCTGCAGGTTCACCAGCAGGGTCCACCAGTGATGCAATTGCAAGCCCAAAATTCAAAGGGTAGTTGGCCGATCGTGACAACAATTTCTTGTTTCCTGTCACCTGCACCTTACCACTTCTCTTGTTGATGGACTTTTTCACAAGTGGCTTTGGTTGGCTCCTGCAATGGAGAGGTTAAACCTAGTGATCAATACCCTGTAATAAATTGAAGGTAATTGTCCCTACTACAGTGCCGATGTAGCAATTTTTTGAAGCCCTTTGGGAGTTTACATGGGGAACTGCTATGATCGATAGTAGAGAACCCACACGAATCTATGTTAAAAAACTGCTAATGTTTATACAAACCCTTGTACATTGCAGGGAATCACCATTGGGTTCAGAGGCCCTCTATAATGGTAACATGTTCCATTCATATCCTAGATGGCACTAGGGATGTGACAAGATATTGTTGAATAGTGTGGTTCTGATCAACTGTACATAATTGTTTGCATTAGCTGTGTCCTTTCATTGCCTTTCTGCAGCAAGGTTTTGAGCTGTTTCACATTGATAGATCTCCGCAAAGACTGTAGCTTCCGAAGTGTTCCCCATAACCTGATGGTGCACATTACAAATCATAGGATCGTAAAGTCTTATTTCTGCCACTGATAGCCCCCTTAATTAAGAACACTTTTGCAGCTTGGGAACACCGTCATCTTCAAGCTTCTGGCACCATAGCTCCCCATGGGGAAGGCGACACGCCTATCCAATCGAAGTGTGGGATGTCAAAGATATGGAAAAACATTGCATGTGAATTATATATCAGGATATTGGCCTTGATTTTGACCATTGCAAGAATCTTCGCACTGGTCTCCAATGCCACATGACCTTGGCATTTTTGAAATCTTAGTTGTAAAGTTTTCCAAACACGATATAATGCATTGATCCACTGTGATCCACCATAAACACCCAACCAAGACACTGAAGAAAGAGGTTGTTCGATCACTATCTGGCAGCCCCTCTTCACAGCATAGAAGAGTCTCAGATCAGACGAATCTTGAAAATTGAACAGTGTGAATGATAACTAACATAAGATTTATAAACCATATTAAATCGATCCTAAATTGGCCAAGTAACATATATAGCATTCGGCGAACGAATATGTTTGCATATAGAACCTTATGGTTCCCTTCCTTTCCCTTTGGATTTGCCCAGCATCGTCCGGTCTGGCTGGAACTCAGGAATATCCAAGAGCTGCAAGGTGGTGCAAAGAAAATAAGTCCGCCAGGCCTGGTGTTCCAAACCTGCAGGCTTTAGCCAGTGGGCAGGATGGCAAGTACAAATGGGTGTTTTCCTAAAGTCAGCAAACCATTGGTGTACCAACGCTTCCAATTTAGAATTTAATTTTGGTGATTTGTGGGCCCCATTTAGCAAATCACCATACATATGGTCCCCACTACAAAAGATAAATTGCAGACTGGGAGCTGCTGCCATAATGGCCATGAATCCCACTGTCCGCATGAGGTCGTGGTTTTGAGAAAATCTGATCTCAGTTTGCGAAGGCTTCAGTCATCATGGGTATATACTCTGGTTGACAGCAATGCAAGAAATAGGGCTTCAATTTCACAATGGGTAGTTCTGAGCCACTCCATGTGACAAGGAAACCAATAATGCTCCCAACAAAATGAACCCACCAATGTGTGAAAGCTAGAACTAGGGACTAGCTTAAATTTGCACCCATGTTAGTTGTTGCATGACAAAATTGACAAAATAAGTTGAAGCTGAGTGGCATCAAACTCCTTACCCTTCAGTCCTGACATCCGCATGGCCTTGCTGAAAGATGCACATCCAGCGCACACTTCAACCTTGGATAGCTGAAGGGGCAAGGGCATTCATACCATTTCATACCCACTGGATCCCAAGTGCAGGCTTTGACAGACTACTGACTATAATAGTTTTAAGTGCAGATAGAAAACGAAATCATTTGGTTCCGTCGGCTGCGTCAGCTGCAGCAACCAGAGCACTAGTGGGATGATTCTACTTGCCCGCATGTCAACGAAGGGTTTCTAGTCTACAAGTTTGAGCCGTCATTCCTGGAAGACCAAGATACACTGAAATTTGGCACTGGCCAATCGCATATGTACAATGATGCACATCATGCATGCAGCATGGTCAATGCAATATAATATTTCCCAAAGATCGCTACGACCAGTCTTTGATCCCACACAGGCACATTTTGTGCATGTACTTGTATTGCTGCAGCCACGACCTCTTGAACTTGTGGGGTCAACATGAAAAACAATTGATACAATTGATGCATATTAAATACACAATAGTAGTCCCCAGAAATAGAGGCTAGGGCCACAGAGCACAGTTGCTGGAATAGACATCAGCAATGTTAATCCCCAAAAAAGCATCTCGGCAGCCAAAAAAGCAGCTCGGCAGGCTTGAGTGTCAGTAAGCCAGTGAGTAAACAAAAGCTGTTGTGTGCATACCTTTGGCTTATGACCTACTGTATGACCTATGACATATCATCAACTCACAGCCAGCATGGTCATCACTTATCAGTCTTTGTGCCCTTTTTCTTGGCACAGGGTTTTTTTTCTTGCGACCATCCTGTGCATCATCAGCTGCGAAGCCCTGTTCAATGGCCTTCGACCGGCTATAAAACTTGGCCCCTTTGGGGGATATGTAGACCTTATACAGGTTACCCTTTAATTTTCCGCTCAGTCTCTTACGGACCTCGATTTTCCATGAGTCCTGCAAGTCTCGAATGGTCTCAACAAGCTCGAATTTCCTTAGCTAGTTGTTTGGTCAACTGACCCAATGATAAAGACAGACTAGCCACATGAGCGATGTATATATTATAGTGTTTCCCAGGTTAATCATTGGCTAGATTCGCACGTCGTTCTCTCTCCTTATCTCGACCCTTTTGTAACAGTAAGAGCTGTTCTGCTGGGCATGGGATTTTGGCTGAAGCCTTATCAAGAGCAACTTGCTGGATTCTATTGATGGCGACTTTGAACGACG